TGAACTTACTTCTTTCTCCTCCCTACTGAGGAATAGCACCCCGTAATGTGGAAATTCCCCTCTCAGTCAGCCCTGACTGTAACTTGGAAGTGGGTAGTGGCTGACAAAACTGCAAATTTGCATCTGTTCTGAGTCTCAGTACTTGTTTTAGGTCTTGTGGAGCCCCAGTAGTTCTGGGACCTCCCTCTCCCTGGGAGCTGTAGTGCTTCTGGCCTGATGCTGTCCCTGTTGTCTAGAGGCAGACCTTTTGTCAGTTTCCCTATGCCAAGCCAGGCTGGAAAAATGACTCACTATGACTTTCTGGCTTTCCCCATTGAAATTTTATCTGATGCCTTTTCTAGATATGTTTAGAGAAGTTTTATGGAGAGGAGCTCCACTGTACTGGTATTACCATTCCATCGTCTTGGCTCTTCCAATTAATTTTTAATCATTTCTTCACATTTCCTTTATTAATTATAATTTTTTATTGCATTATTGTCAGTAAAGAATCTGTTTAGTCTTTCTCCTTTTTATTTTTATGAAGATTTAAATGCCCCAATGTGATTGGATCCATGTCACACCCAGCTAAATAAGGATATACAAAAGAGACAAAGTATATAGAGAAGAGACAAGGGGTGGGAGAGTGTGATTACTTGGGGAGAAGGGCAGAGGAGGACAGGGAAGACCATATGCAGAAAGTCATACTTGAGCTGAGTCTTGAAAGAGAATAGAGATTCTAAGATCCTGAGATAATAAGGGAGTTTATTCCAGGCATGGGATGTAGCAAGTGAAATCCTTGGAGATTGGAAATGGAAAGTATGATGAACGACAGTAAGGCCTTCAAATCCTTCATGTCCATCATGAATACACAAGGAGGCCCCCTACAATGCAGTAGGGATTTAAATATATGTTCATTGATATCTAGAACATTGGGGTGTACAAGATGAAAGGAAATATTAAAACTTCTTTTTTGTGTTTTTTTAACTTAAAAATAATTCTAATTCTAATAGTTCTAATTAAAATGGATTAACATAAGGTGGAGGACTTGATAATGTTTCCCTAATCTGTTCTTTTCCTTTCAGTGTATTATGACAAACCACAGTTATGTGTTCTTGGTTAAGTGAATTTATAGATTAATTGCAGAAGTAAAACTCACAGTTCTTAGTAAGAGATAGGCCATGGGGGATGAGAATGAGGAGTTGAGGATGACATCTAGGTTGTGAGCCTGTATGAGTGGTAGGATAGTGGTGCTCGGTTTTTTTTTTTTTTGAGAGGTTCAGCAGGCAGTTGGAGATGCAAGATTGGAGGTCTTGAAAGGTTCGACTAGTTAAAATGATTTGATAATCGTCAGCATAGATACTAATTGAATCTGTGAGAGCTGATGAGATCACCAAGTGAAATCATATAGAGGAAAAAAAGGAAGAGGGCCCAGGACAGTGCCTTTGGAAACATCTCTTGTTAGAGGCCATAACCTGGATGAAGATCCAGCAAAGGAGACTGAGGCAGAGGAATCAGACAGGTGGGAGGACAACCAGGAGAGAACAGTGTCAAGAAAACATTGAGATCAGGCAGTATCAAGAAGAGGGTGATCAGCAGTGTTAGAAAGGCTATATAGAAGTCAAGAAGGATGAGGATTAAGAAAAGGTTATGAGATTTGTCAATTGAGAGATCATATTAATAACTTTGGAGTCAGCAATTTTGGTTGAATGGTGAGTTTGGAAGGCAGATGGTAGAGAATTAAGAAGAGAAGAAAAGAAGCTTTTATTATATAATTATAGACAGCCTTCTCAAGGAGTTTAGTTACAAAAGGGAGGAGAAATATGGCGTGATATCTAGTAAGGATGGATGCAGTAAATGAAGGTTTTCAGGGATGGATAAAGCATGAGCATATTTGTTATTTTTTTTTGGTTAGGCAGTGGTGTTAAGTGACTTGCCCAGGGTCACACATCTAGTAAGTGTTTTGTATCTGAGGCCGGATTTGAATTCAGGTCCTCCAGAATCCAGGGCCGGTGCTCTATCCACTGCGCCACCTGCCTGCCGCTAGCGTGGGCATATTTGGAAGCAGGAAGTAGACAGGGGAGATGAAGATATATGAGAGAATGGGGATCATGGAGGAGGTTGTCTGGTGGAGAAGACAGAATGGAATGGAATCACTTGGTATACAGAGAGGACAGCATGCTAGATTCTGATACACACACAAAAGCAAAGCCAGTCTCTGCCTCTGAGGAGCTTGTGTTCTAATGGGGAAGGCAGTATGTGCGCTCAGAAGGGCTTTCTATGGCAGTCACTTGAATGGATTCATGAATTTCAGGAAGTCGCTATGAGGTGGTAGAACATTCCAGACATAAGAGACAGCCAAGCCAGAGGCACAGAGTGGTGAGATTGAGTATAACAGCAGAGAGGCCAAAATGATTGGACCACAGTGTGTGTTGGAGGGGAATAATGTGAAGCTAGAAAGATACGTTTGGGTCTGATTGAGAACTCAATTAGTCAGCAGGCACTTATTAAGCATGTATTATCTGTCAGGCAGTTTAAATACAAAGAAAGAAAAAAAGCATTCCCTGCCCTCAAATAGCTTACACTTTAAAGGGGAGACAATATACAAAAGAGTGAGAGGACTAGAATTCGGAGGGACTTGGGAAAGGTGTTTTATAGAAAAGATTTTAGCTGAGACTTGAAAGAATCCATGAACTCCAAGAGATACAGATGAGGAGGGAAAGCATTCAAGGTATGGAGGACAGCCAGTGAAAATGCCTGGAGTCAGGAGATGGAGTATCTTGTTTAAGAAACAGCAGTGAGGGCAGTTACTAAATCAAAGAGTGTGGGAGGTGTGGGAGAGTAAGGTGTAAGTAGGCTGGAAAGGAAGGAAAGGGCAAAGTTATGAAGGGTTTGGACAAACAAATTTAATCCTTAAGGTGAGAGGGAGCCATTGGAGTTTATTGAATCATGGCCAGACTTGCTCTTTAGGAGGATCCCTTTGACAGCTGAGTGGTAGATGGACTGAAGTGGGGAGAGACTTGAGGTAGGCAGACCATCCAGCAGGCTGTTTTAGTAGTTCAGAGTTGAGGTGATGAGTGGCCTGCACCAGGATGATGACAGTCAATTTCGCAGGAGAGAAGGGGGTGTGTAAGAGAGATGTTAGGAAGATAGAATTGACAGGACTTGTTAACAGATTGGATGTGGTTGGTGAGAGAGAATGAGAAGTTGAGGATGACATCTGGGTTTTGGGCCTTGGGACTAGGAAGATGGTGGTGCTCTTCACTGTATTAGGGATGTTAGAAAGGGGGCAGAGTTTTGGGAGAAAAATAGTGAATTCAGCTTTGGGATATGTTGAGTTTAAGATGTCTAAGGAACATTCAGTTTGAGGTGTCCAGTAGGTAGTTGGAGGTGCAAATCTAGAGGTTTATCTGCATAGACATAATAATTGAATCCTTGGGAGCTGATGAAATTACCAAACGAAATAGTTTAAAAAAAGAAGAGAAGAGGGTGCTGGACAGAGCATTGGGGGTCATCCTCTGTTGGCAGGTACAACCTGGATGAAGATCCGTCAAAGGCAGAAGAGTAATTTAAATGCCGAACAGGATTTTATTGGAAACTGAGTGGGGAAAATACTTGTGCTTTTTAGGAAAATTATTTTAGCAGACTATATGGAGGACAGCTGAGTATATGGGAAGTGATTAGAAGCAGGAATATCAATTAGGTGGCCTTTGTAGTAGGTGAGAGTAATCTTACAGTACCGTACTTTGAATTAAATTTTCTGTATTTTACTATTGAGTGTTTCTCACTTTTTTTTGGTATTACTGTCCTATACAATAAATGAAAGTTTAAAAATATATTGACAAAATCCCATTCTGTATTCAGCTATTCTCCAAGTATATGTTGTTTCTAGTTCCTTTGCTTTTGATGTAAAATTGCCATAAATATTTTTATAAATGCCTTTATCATCAGTTCATTCGTCCATTATGGTATAATTTTAGTAGTAGAGTGTTTTGGTCCTCTAGTAGTAGATATAATTGGTTTTGTAATTAATTGTAAATTGTCAGATTGCTTTTGAAAAAGTTTTAACCAATTTGTAGCCCCACCAACATTCTTGCCCTATATTAGTAGCCATTTTTGGTGAATTTGGAGAGTTGTTTTAAATTTGCATTTCTTGAATTATTAAATATTTGAGTAGTTTTTTTTCAAATAATGACTCATAATTGTCTTTTTTTTTTCCCCCTTAGAAAACTGTTAATATTCCTTGTCCATAACCCCCTTGGAAAATTTTTACAGATTTATTTTAGCTTCTTATATTTCTGATGTCAAATTTCTATCAGATCCTTGTTACAAATGTATTCATCTCTCTGATTATTTTTTAGTTAGTTTAGAGCTTTTTGTCCTACAGAAATATGTTATCTTCCAATAACATCCAATCCATAAATTTTGTTTGTTCTGTTTTCAAGATAGATGCATTTGCTTCCCTCCACAATTGACAGATATGGTATTCTTTCTTTTATAGTTTTGTTTTTTATATTTATAGCCTTGATCTACTTTGGGTTATTAAAATATGTTGGTGTATCATATGATACTATTAATTTGTTGTTATACTGCTATCCAGTTTTTCTAACAATTTTTGTTTTCCTGTTCCTTTCTCAAATGTTTTTGTATTTTGAATTTACCGAGTCAAGTCAGCAAGCAATTATGTGCCAGGCACTCTCTCAAATATTAATCTAACATATACTGGGTTCTAATTTTATATCTTCTGTTCTATTGATCTACTTTTCTATTTTAAATTCATGAAAGTAGCAGGAGGCATTTTAGATAGCTTTAAATATGTAAAAATTTGTGAAGTTTTAGTGTGTTTACTATGTTTGCACTCAACATGGACAGGGAGTATGCTTCCAGTTTCATTTTTCCTTAATTTCTTTTTATAATGCTATTACAAAGTTGTTTTTACTTGTCTATTTTTTTCTGTGTCTTGGTTAATAGTAAAATATTTATATTTTGATTAGTATTGTACAATGTATTTCTTTTTACTGTAGGTGCCCTCCTCGTACATTTTTACCAGCACTCTGTAAAATTTTTCTTGATGAAAGTGCACCAGACAATGTATTAGAAGTGACAGCCCGTGCCATAACCTACTACCTAGACGTATCAGCAGAATGTACTCGGAGAATCGTTGGAGTAGATGGAGCCATAAAAGCACTTTGTAATCGTTTGGTGGTAGTTGAACTTAACAACAGAACCAGCAGAGACTTAGCTGAACAGTGCGTCAAAGTAGGTATCTTAAAACTTAAATTTTAAATTGTTTTTTACATTACAGGTTTTTAAAAGATGCATACCTTAAATTGTTCCATTTGAGGGTCATTTTAACATGTTTGTATAAAACTTTAAAATTTACAAAGCACTTTTCTCACAACACTCCTATGAGGTAGATGTAAATATTATCATTGCCCCCCTCTTTTTTCATTTTTGGAAGATTTATCATATGGAGGTTGAGGAATGTCGCAGACATGCTGCCTTTTAAATAAATAGATGTGTATATATAAAATATTTTTCCCAATTACATGTAAAAACAGTTTTTAATATTTCTTTTTTAAAATTTTGAGTTCTAAATCCCTCCCTCTACCCCTCCTCCCATTGAGAAGACAAGCAGTTTGTTATAGGTTATACACGTGCAGTCACGCAAAACATATTTCCATATTAGTCAGATCATTCCCATTTGACATACAAAGAAGCTAAAGCTCAGAAGTGGTTAAGAGAGATTTACCAAGTCGACAAGCATTTATTAAGCTCTTACAGCTAGATGGTTGCAGTGGTTAGAGTGCTGGGCCTGGAGTCAGGAAGATCTAAGTTCCTATGTGGCCTCAGACACTTACTGTCTGTATGTATGTGTATGTAAGTCACTTAATCCCTGTTTCGCTTAGTTTCTCAGTCCATAAAATGGGGATAGTAATGCAACCTATCTTCCTCATTATCAAATGAGATAATGATTGTGAAGTGTTTGCACGGTGCCTGGCACACAGTAAATACTAACAAAGTATTAGTTGTTGTTAGTGCTCCTCCTCCTCCTCCTCTTCTTTGTCTTCTTAGCAAGTGGTAGAACTTGGTCTGAAGACCAGGTCTTTGGATTCCAATTCCAGGATTCTATGTACTACATTTATATCTAGGAGGACTGCTAATAACTAACATTTATACAGTGCTTTAAAGTTTATTTTCCTACAACATCCTTATGAGATAGGTAGGTGAGAAAAATTAGGTCTTCTGGCAAGATGAAAAAAATTTTTTTTTCCTCGCCTTTATCTTTTGTTTTTTGGAAGTGGTAGAGAGCGATAAAAAATATATCCTTTATTATTCCAAAAGGTGGTTTCATAGGGTTCAGGGTAAGAACTCTTAACTGAGGGGGAGATTGTAACAGAGACCTTAAAGTCCTTTTTTTAAGCTTTCTCTCATACTGCTTCAGCTTCTATAGGTCTGCTATAACTTGAATGTTACCTAGTCAGAGATAAGGCAGGTAATCCCTATTTTGTTGTATTTTAAATAACTTGTTAGACCAGTAGTTGTTTTTTACCCTACCTTTTATAGGCCTTACCAAAATTTACAGACTCCAAGTGGTCAATAGTAAGTTAGCAAGACTTGCCTGCTTTATTTCAGTAGCACCTTTCTAAGGATCTCTCTCTTTGCACTCTTCATATTATTATTCTGTAAAAGCTTTATTATCCAACACTGTGAAAGGAATAAGGACTTACATTAGTTAGACATCCTGGTTGAATAAAGAATTATCTTTTAATGAAAGAAACTTCTTGTTGCCTCATTGTCCTAATTTTCCTAGATTTGGATTGGAAGCTTATGATTTAAAGCAGTATGGGGAAACCATCTAGAGATTTTTGCTGTATTGGTAGAAATCCCATTCTCCAACAGAAAATGAAAAATATTACTTTTAGGAGACAATTTTTAAAATATTTTTGTGCTTTAATTATTCGTAGTTTTTAGAACTGATCTGTACTCGTGAATCAGGAGCTGTCTTTGAGGCTGGTGGTTTAAACTGTGTGTTGACATTCATTCCTGATAGTGGGCACCTGGTTCATAAAGATACCCTTCATTCTGCAATGGCAGTAGTGTCAAGACTTTGTGGCAAAATGGAACCTCAAGATTCATCATTAGAAATCTGTGTAGAATCCCTGTCTAGTTTATTAAAACATGAAGATCATCAGGTATGTGGACAGGTTAATGGAAATGAAGAAATTAATTGGAATTGTCTATGGTTTTTTTCACAATTAATAATCATGTTCTTTTTAGTTTTTTGGTGTTTTTGTTGTTGTTGTAGTTTGCTAAAGGATTTGGACTGTATTAAAAGCAACAGAACTTATGATGCTTTTATGTTTATGATTGATTTTGTGCAATTGAATTTGGTGTTAAAATAGAGAATATATGAACAAAGGCTAGAATGTTGTTGAAACGAGTGAAAGGACTAATATGTTTTAGAGTATGGTATTAAGTTTTTGTGACAAGCATTTTAGGAAGGACGTTGATTAGAGAGAGTAAATTAGAGAACATTCAGAGTTGGACAACCAGGATGAGAACCTGGCAGAACATTAACAATAGGAAAATTGCAAAGAGACAAATCTAGTTTTGATGTTAGGAATAACTTCTTAACAATTAGCTGTCTCAGAGTGCATTGGATTGTCTTGGGAAGTAAAGCATCTTCCTTTCAGGACTTCAAACAGATACTGGATGACTGCCTGTTGAGTATGTTATAATAAGGATTCTTTTGGGGCATAGGTTGTACTACATGGTCACTGATATCCCTTCCAAATTGAAAATTCTGATGTTAAGAGATAAGGCTGGAAAGGCACGGTGGCCAGATTGTGGGAGGGCTTGATGGCCAGAAGAGTTTGAAATTTATACAGTAAACCACTAAAGAGAGTCACTGAAGATTTTGAAAGGAGCAGTGACGTGATCAAATCTATGGCTAATAGAAACTGTTAGGCAGAAATATACCGAATAGGTTGAAAGGAGGAGAGAGGGAACAATGACACTGTTAGGAAGCTACCATAATAATCTAGGCAAGTTGTAAGGAGGATCTCTATTAAGTTAGTGCTTTGGGAATAGAGGTAAGGACATAGATTTGGAAAATGTTGTGGAAGTAGGCTTATGTGACTTGGTAACTTATTGATTATGGACAGTGATTAAAGAAGGAAATGAAAGAAAGAACAAAGAATCCACAAAAACTCCAAGGTTATGAATTTGGGAAGTTTGGGGTGAATTATGAAGCCTCATCTTAGGGAAGATGAACTCTGGCATGGGTTCTTAACCTTTTTGTGTGTGTTTTAGACACCTTTGGCAGTCTGGTGAAGCGTATGGACTTCTCAGAATAATGATTTTGTTACCTACATTCATAATTAAAGGAAATACTAAATTTCAGTTAAAGGGTAGTGAAAATAAAGATGCATTTTTTCCCCATCCAAGTTCACAGATCCTCTGATATCTATCCACTGGCCTCTTGAGGTGGTGGGGATCTGTGCACCCCAGATTATGAATCCCTTTCCTGTAGGCAGTTGGAAATGCAGATCCAGGCCTCAGAAGAGAGTTCATGAATGGAGAGAGAGTCAGTCATCTTCATAGAGAAGTTAATTGAAGGTATGGCCATGAATAAGATTACCAAGAAAGAGGTTGTAGACAGAAGACTGCTAATGGCAGATGCTTGTGGGATACCTATGCTAAAGGGTTGTATAGAAGATATGGAACCAAAGAAGGAAAGAGGAGGAGAAATTATAAGTGAAGGGAGAAGCAGGGGAATCCAATGTTTCTTAAGCCATTTTAGGAGAAGAATATCCAGTTGGAGGGAAGTAGTCAGGAGTTTTGGTAGCTGTAGAGGTAAAAGATGATGAGGACTTTAAAAATACCATTTGATTTGTTATTAGTAATCATTGAGCAATGATTTGGGGGGGGATAGAATACAAATTGCAAGGGATTGAGGAGAGTTGCTACTAAAGTAGAAACATTGGGTGTAGATGACGTTTTCAAGCATTTTAGCAAAGTAAAGTTACAGTGGAAAAGCAGTGAAAGGGGTGGAAATGTCAAGGGAGTTTTTTTAAAAATTGATGAAACTTAACCATGTTTTTTGTTGAGAGGAATTTGTTGATAGGGAGAGATGAAATGTGAATGAGAAATTGGGGATGACTGATAGTTCCTAGAGGAAATGGGATTACTATCACGTGTAGAGTAATTAGGTTTAGTGAAACAGAGAAATTTGGTAATGCTGAGAAATTGTGAGGAATAGGAGGGAATGTCTGGAGCTGGATCATTTGCATATTCAATAAGCATTTGCTTGTAAACTTGAATGGAAGGTGGTGAAGAGGAAAGAATAAAGGTTTTGGAATAGGTGTTATGGGAAAAGAGAAAAGTTATATCATAAATCTGTAGTCAGAAGTCATCTATTATAAAAATGTTTTTCCAAAAAAAATCAATTATATTTATTTTTTAGATTCTGTTAATTAAAATCAAGAATTCTTATAAGTAGCTAACAAATTAATTTCTCATACTTGTTGAATTGACAGGATTTAGATGTCAAAAGTTATAACATCAATATTATTACCAAATATTGTTTTTTTTTCCCTGTCTAAACCCAATGTGACCTGCTTAGATTTTTCTTAGCATTATCAGTGGCATTGTTTTTAGTGTCTTAATGGTGTCATAGTCTTTTAGGTGAGTTTCAGGTTATTCAAGTTATAGATTATGATCTCTTTATCTAGAGATTCTATTTTCTATTTCCACATCTAGGTTTCAGATGGAGCTTTGCGATGTTTTGCCTCCCTAGCTGACAGATTTACTCGACGTGGTGTTGACCCAGCCCCATTAGCCAAACATGGACTAACTGAAGAGCTATTATCTCGAATGGCAGCAGCTGGTGGTACTGTATCAGGGCCATCATCAGCATGCAAACCAGGGAGAAGCACAACCGGAGCACCATCTACAGCTGCTGATTCCAAATTAAGTAATCAGGTTTCAACTATTGTAAGTTTGCTGTCAACACTTTGCAGAGGCTCTCCAGTAGTCACACATGTAAGAATATTTTTTACTATTTTTTATTTCAAGGATGGTATTTTATGGGATGATGGAACAGTCATTGGTAAACAATAGGCATAATTATTCTTATCCCTTTTTCTAGGATCTCCTGAGGTCTGAGCTTCCAGATTCAATTGAAAGTGCTCTACAGGGTGATGAAAGATGTGTGTTGGATACCATGCGTTTGGTTGACCTTCTCTTGGTGCTGTTATTTGAAGGACGAAAGGCCCTACCGAAGTCCAGTGCTGGATCTACAGGCAGAATTCCAGGGCTTCGTAGATTGGATAGTTCTGGAGAGCGCTCACATAGGCAGCTCATAGACTGTATCCGAAGTAAAGATACTGATGCACTTATAGATGCAATTGACACAGGAGGTATGCAGATTATCTTCAGAAATGAGGTCATGGATAATAGAATTATAGATTCTGATTATTGTTATTATATGTCTCTTGACATTAGAAGATACAGAAGTTCTATTGCAGTTTGTCTTATCTATGTTAGCCTGCAGTTGACAGTTTTTCCACTAGATGGTGATACTGCCTTATAATTAAGGTTGAGAGGATTGCTTTATTGACTGAGAGAAATGTGAGACCAAGCTGATTGCTGCTGAATGATGAAATACTGGTCTTTAAAAAAATTTCTTTTGGAGGCAGTTGTAGGATGAGGAAATTGGCATAAGGTAAAGTAATGAAAAGATAGAACTGCTTTTATGATAAGATTTAGTTTGTAATCTAGCCATTTTATACAGTTTCTATCTATTTTATGACATTTGAAGATATCTTGGGGGATATTTGTCTTATGAAGACCAGTAAAGTAATGCCAGGCCTCACATATAGTTTTCTTTTCAGCTGTTTTTATTCTTGTCAACCTTAATTTCATTGCTGCCTATGAGTTGAAGCCCAGAAGTAATCTGAATTATAGACTCTCATCTTTGCTCATTTTAACTCTAGGGGAGATGGCACATCTCTTTTAAAAAGACAGACTTGTGTTTTACTGACTTTACTTTTACTTAAATTTGATCAAAATTAGTGAATTTTCAGTGCTTATGCTCTTTAGTGGGGGGAAAACATAAAGCAATTCAAACTATCATAAAATTCATGCTGAGAAATATTTATATTGACTTATAATAAATTCATTCTGTATTGTACTTTGTAGCCATAAAATACTTTCACATTTTCATTTGATTCTCAATTATGTTTTAATTATTTTTAATAATTGCAGCATTTGAAGTGAATTTTATGGATGATGTAGGGCAAACCCTTTTAAACTGGGCCTCTGCTTTTGGAACTCAGGAAATGGTAAGATAAATGTAATAACAAGTTTTTCAAAGGCAGAGAGATAAATAAGGCATTTTTTAAAGGTTTTTTTTTTAATTCTCACAGGTAGAATTTCTGTGTGAAAGAGGTGCTGATGTTAACAGGGGTCAAAGGTCGTCATCCTTACATTATGCAGCCTGCTTTGGAAGACCTCAAGTAGCAAAAGTACGAATTTTAGCGTTAGTATAATAAATTGTGTATATGTTTAAGAATTATGTTGAACATTACGAAAAGCAAAATAGATAATTTTGATTACATTAAATTGAAAAGTTTTTGCACAAACAAAGCCAATGCAACTAAGATTAGAAGGAAGGTAGAAAATTGGGAAAGAATTTTTACAACCAGTCTCTCTGATAAGGGCCTCATTTCTAAAATATATGGAGAATTAAGACAAATTTATAAGACTCCAAGCCATTCCCCAATTGATAAATGGTCAAAGGATATGAACAGACAGTTCTCAGATGAAGAAATTAAAGCCATCTATAGTCATATGAAAAAATGCTCTAAATCATTATTGATTAGAGAAATGCAAATCAAAACAACTCTGAGGTACCACATCACACCTATCAGATTGGCCAACATGACAAAACAGGAAAATGATAAATGTTGGAGAAGATGTGGGAAAATTGGAACACTAATGCATTGTTGGTGGAGTTGTGAAATGATCCAACCATTTTGGAAACAATTTGGAACTATGCCCAAAGGGCTATAAAAATGTGCATACCCTTTGACCCAGCAATAGCACTTCTAGGGCTATATCCCAAAGAGATCAAACAAATGGGAAAAGAACCCACATGTACAAAAATACTCATAGCAGCTCTTTTTGTGGTGGCAAAGAATTGGAAATTGAGAGGATGCCCATCAGTTGGGGAATGGCTGAGCAAGTTGTGGTATATGAATGTAATGGAATACTATTGTACTATAAGCAATGATAAACAGGCTGACTTCAGAAAAACCTGGAAAGACTTATATGATCTGATGTTGAGTGAAGTGAGCAGAACCAAAAGAACATTGTACACAATAACATGCATGTTGTGCGATGACTGATATTGATAAACTTAACCCTTCTCAGCAATAAAAGGATCGAAGACATCTCCAGAGGCCTCGGGATGGAAAATGCTATCCACATCCAAAGAAACAACTATGAAAGTTGAATCACTATCTTTTTTTTTTCTCTTCTGTTGTTTTGTTTCCTCTTTCTAATGGTTCCTCTTATTGGTTTTAATTTTTATTTACAACTTCACTAATGTGAAAATATGTTTAATAAGAATATAAATGTATAGACTATATGAGATTGTGTGCTGTCTTAGGGGGGTGGTAGGGAAGAAGGGGGAGAAAAATTTTAAACTTTTATTTTTAAATTTAAAGCATATGGAAGTGATTGTTGATAAATCCAAATAAATTAATAAAATTTAAAAAAAATTATGTTGAGGGGAAAGATTAACATACATTAATGTAATCACATTTTTTCTTTGTGTTATCAGTGTTCTTGATGAATCTTATGATTATGGTCAGTACAAGAAAAATATTCTGTTGTAGATTCTCTTATGGTATTTCATACTCATGGTTTGAAAATGGTATATACTGGTTTGTGGGAACTGAGAGGTTGGTTAAGCATTTGAAATGAGGCTTCTCATATCTTAGATGTTTTCCCACTGTGTGATTGGAGAAATCAGAACCAAAATGGGGGAAAAAATTAGCTATTTTCCTCACTGGATTGTTGTGAGGAAAGTGCTTTGCAAATCTTAAAGTGCTATTACAAATGTGAGTTGTAAACTCTTTAGAATCTTTAAAATGAGCCGTCTCTTCTTTTTTTAATAGTATTTTTTCCCAGTTATGTGTAAAGACAATTTTTAATGTTTATTTAAAAAAAATTTTAGTTCCAAATTCTCCCCCTCTCTCTCTCTCTCACCATCCACTCCCTAAGACAAGAAGCAATTTGATATGTCATGTAAAATTTATTTCCATATTAGTCATGTTGTGAAAGAAGAAACAAGCCAAAAGAAATGAACCATGAAAAAAAATAAAGTGAGAAAAGTATGATTTGATCTGTGTTCAGACTTCATCAGTTTTTTCTCTGGATGTTGATATCATTTTCTATCATGAGTACTTTGGAATTTTCTTTGATGATTGTATTGCTGAGAAGAGTTTAGTCGTTCATAGTTGATCATCTTACAGTGTTTCTGAAATCTGCCTGCTTGTCATTTCTTTAGCACAATAGTATTCCATTACAGTCACACACAACTCCTCTTTCCTTCGTATGCTTCCTACAGCACTTCTGCCCACCCTAAGCTTAGTATCTCACCTCACATTTTGTTGAGAAAATATGCCTCTCTGCATCTCACACCTCTTTAACATCATCTCTCATTCTCTCCAGTCCCTGAGAAAGGGATGGCCCTTCTCCTTGCTGCAGCCTATTTCTTCATATGCTGTAGCCTTCATCCCATTTTCTTATGTCTCCTGGCATTATGTCTCCTCTTCCCTCTCTCTCTAATCTTCAGTTTCTCCCAGTCCTCTGGTTCTGCTCCTGCTGCCTACAAACATGCTCAGCTCTTCTTTTCATCCTTAAAACAATAACAACAACAAAACCCTCACTTTGCCTTGCTGTGCCCTCAAGCTTTTGGCCTATTTCTTTCCTTCCTTTCACTACTGTTAGAAAAAGCTGCCTGTTCTAATTGCTGTTATCCCTTTTCATTCACTTCTTAGCCCTTTGTAGTTGGACATCGGACCTCATCACTCAACCAAAACTGCTCTCTTCAGATTACCAATGACCTTTGTCACTGATGTCACAGATAGAATGACTTTTTCTCAGACCTAGCTTCTTGACTGCATTTGATGTTGTAGACCACTCTTTCCTCTTGGGCATTACTTCTCTCTGAGTTTTTGTGACACTGCTCTGTTGATTCTGTTCATACCTGTTCGGTCACTCATTTTCTTTTCCTGTATAATCATCCACGTCATACTTCACATGTGAGGTTTCATCAGTGCTCCCTCCTGGATTCCCATTGCTCCTCTTTCCATGCTTTCTCAGTGATCTCATCAATTCCGGTAGATTTGGTTATCTCTATGAAGATGGCTCTCATGTTTATTTATCTAGCACTAATCTTTCTCCTATCCTTTAGTCTTATCTCCAGTAGTCTATTGGACATTTTAGATTGGACGTCCCAGACGCATATCAAATTTAATAAAAGCCAAACTCCCCAAATCCACTTGTTTTCCAAATGTATCTAGTTTTGTCATGAGTGGTGGCATGGTGGTATCATCCTTGAGTTATCCAGATTCTTTTTTCTTTTTTAATTTTATTTATTTATTTATTTTACTTCAATAGAAATTTATTTATTTTTAGTTTTCAACATTCACTTCCACAAATTTTTGAGTTCCAAATTTTCACTCCATCTCACCCCTCCCCCCACCCCAAGATGTCATGCATTCTGAATATCCCTTCCCCTAGTCTGTCCTCTTCTGTCTCTCCCCCCTTCTCTTATCCCTTTCCCCTTCTATTTTCCTGTAGGGCAGGATAGACTTCTGTACCGCATTTCCTGTATTTCTTATTTCCCAGTAGCATGTGAAAACATTTTTTTTAAACATATGTTTTTAGAACTTTAGGTTTCAAATTTTCTGTCTTTCTCCCTCCCCACCCACCCTCATTGAAAAGGCAAGCAACTCAGTATAGGTTGTACATGTGCAGTTATGCAAAACACTTCCACAGTAGACTTGTTGTGAAAAACTAACTCTATTTCCCTTAATCCTATCCTGCCCTCCCATTTATTCTATTCTTTCTTTTGACCCTGTCCCTCTTCAGAAGTATTTGCTTCTGATTACCCCCTTTCCCAATCTGCCCTCCTCTCTATCATCCACTTGCTCTCTTGTCCCCCTCTTCCCCTATTTTCCTTTAGGGTAAGACAGATTTCCATACCCAATTGAATGTGTATGTTATTCCCTCCTCAAGCCAAATCCTATGAGAATAAGATTCACTCATTCCCTCTCACCTTCCCCCGTTTCTCCTCCACTGTAAGAGACTTTTCTTTTTTGTTTTTATTTTTGTGAGATAATTTACCCCATTCTACCTCTCCCTTTCTTCTTCTTCGAGTATAATCCTCCCTTATCCCTTAATTTTATTCTCCAGATATGACCCCTTAATCTTCAACTCACCCTGTGCCCTCTATTTATCTGTCTCTCTATATATATATACATATAATTTTTTTCCTCCAACTACCCTAATACAGATAAAGGTCTCATGAGTTATAAACATCCTCTTTCCATGCAGGAATGTAAACAGTTCAATCTTAATAAGTCTCTTATGATTTCTCTTTCCTGTTTACCTCTTCATGTTCCACTTGAGTCCTGTATTTGAAAGTCAGATTTTCTATTCAGCTCTGGTCTTTTCATCAGGAATGCTTGAAAGTCCTCTATTTCACTGAATGACCATTTTTTTCCCCTGAAGAATTATACTCAGTTTTGCTGGGTAGGTGATTCTTGGTTGTAATCCTGTCTCCTTTGCCTTCTGGAATATTATATTCCATGCCTGCGGTCTTTTAATGTAAAAGCTGCTAAATCTTGTGTTATCTTGATTGTGGAGTTATCCAGATTCTTAACCTTGGAATCATCAGTGATTCTATTCTATTCAGCTTCTATCCAAGTCTTGTCAATTCTGTCTGATGTAGCAATCATTTGCCAAGTCTCAGTCCTACTTCTACTACGTTTATTGTGCATATACATTCTTTCTACTTTCCTTCCCTCCATTACCCTAGTTCAGACCCTCATTCCCTCACAATGACTTGCAATAGCCTCCTAATTGGTCTACCTGCCTCAAGTCTTTCTTTTCCAGTTCTCTCTTCATACAGCTGCAAAGTGACTTTCTGACAGCAGAGGTCTGACCATTTCCTTGCCTTACTCAATAAACTTCTGTAGCGCCATTTAAGATAATATATAAACTCTTTCTGTTTTGAATTTAAAGTCTATCTTCAACCTACCTTACTAGCCCTATTATATATTTCTCTTAATTCATGTAATTTTCATATGATTCAACCGACCTAGGCTTCTTACTATTCTTCATATACAGCGTGAGATCTTTCCTGTTCCTTTGTACTGACTGTCCCCCATTCCCAGAATGTATTTCCTTACCTTGCTACCTTTTAGAATCCTTAGTTTCCTGCAAAGCTCAGCTCAAGTGTTACCTTCTACATGAATCCTTTCCTGATGCCTGTTGTTGATAATGCCTTCTTCAAAAAATTACTTGAATGTATTTTGTTTACATGTAAATATTTATTATTTTTACCTTTTATGAAATGTAAGTTTCTTGTAGGCAGAGACTCTGATTTTTTTCTCTTTATATTCCTAGCACAGTGTCTGTGGCATAATAAGTTCTTACTAATAATTTCTCATTGATTAATAGTAGAAAGAAATATAGTCTAAAATTCAAGAGTCTAGAATATAGTTGTTAATTCTGTCACTAGGTAGGTAATGTTGGAGAAGTTATTTCAGTCACCCCTTCTTCGTTTGTAAAATGAAAAAGATTGTTTCTTTTCAGCACTTAAAATTCTATGATTCTAATGTGATAAAAATACAAGATGAAATTGCCTGTTCTTGAAAGTAAGAGTCTCTAGGAGTTAAAAGGGAGAACTGAGTAAGGAATAGAATAGTCTTTTTAAAATTTATTATTATTTTTTAAGGCAGTTGGGGAACGCACGGCTAGTTAAGTGTCAAGCGTTTGATCTGAGGTCGGATTTGAACTCAGGTCCTCCTGACTTCAGGGCTGGTGCTCTATCCACTGCTCTACGTAGCTTCCCCTTTTTTGTTTTGTTTCAGTCTATTTATTTGTTTGTTTTTTGAGAGAATAGTCTTTAAAACTTACATGGAGGACTAGAGGGGAACACTGTAGCATGAGTAGAATTGGGACAGGCAAAAGGGTAGGAATATGATATTTTAGTTACCTAGAACAACATGAGGATAAAGGTATGAAGGTGGTAATAAGCTTTACATGAGACTAGACTAATTGGAGTCTACAGTTAGTATTAGAGAATTGTAAGGAATCAGGCAAAGGAATTAGGACTTGATAGTAAACTATTTAGCAGCATGTGGAATTATTCAAGTAGTGCTTTAAGAAGCTTAACCTGGTGACAGTGCAGGATAGTTTAATGAAGCAGTTCTTATACTTTTTGGTCTCAGGATCTCCTTTCAGTATTAAATTACTGAGGAGCTTTTGTTTATAGGGTCATATCTACTGATGTTTTTCATATTAGAAGTTGATTCTGAAATATTGTTTCTTTTAAAATAAATTCATGTTAGCATATATAATATATTTTTATGAAAAATAACTTTTCAAAAGCAACATTTAGGGAAGAGTGAGATACTCACAAATCTCTTTAACATATGACTTAATAGAAGACAGTTGGATTCTTATATCTACTTCTTCATTGTTTGTGGTGATATGTTGTTTTGGTTGGAATGTATGAAGAACACTTGGTCTTACACAGCTGTGTCGTTGAAAGAGAGCAATATTTTAATAGGTATATAATATTTTAGTATTATTATGAAACTGGTTTTGATGTTGCAGGCTCCCTGAATGGATCTTGGGAACTACCAGGGATTTAGGAATTATACTTTTGAGAATCACTGGATTAAAAGAAGATGAAGCTTGGAGGCAGGGAGAATAGCTAAACCTGTTAGATTAATCAGGCACAGGTAATTAAGACCTGTAATAGAGTGGTGAGATTGACAATGCAAATGAACACATATGAAAGACATTGTAAAGGAGGTACTGACATGTCTTGTTCCTGTTTTTCATGTGAGGAATAATAGAATTAAAGTTTTAGTCCCAGGTAATTTGGAAAGTGGTGGTATAATTGTTAGAGACAAAGAACTTGGATGTGGGATGTTTTAGATATATAGTAATTTGAATTTGGAACTTTGATTTTTTTAGGGGACAAGTTGTCCTAAGTTGAAAATGTAGTTTGAGATCTGGTACTGAAACTAAAATTTTAGGACTTTTGATTCAGATAAGATCAGGAACTGGAGTTTGGATCATGTAATCTTTCAGTTCCTTTTAAATTTCTAGGAGTATAGAACTAAAAATTTTTGTTACTCATTAAATTTTTTTTTATACTAGACCCTGTTAAGACATGGCGCAAACCCTGATTTAAGGGATGAAGATGGGAAAACTCCTTTAGATAAAGCACGAGAACGAGGTCATAGTGAAGTAGTAGCTATTCTTCAGTCTCCAGGTGAATAATAACATTTCTTCTTTTCAGTAATGTTTCTTAAACTTTTCAGCCAATTTGGCAATTAGTTTTTTGCATGCCTATAATGTGAAGTAGTTATATAATCTTAGGTAACTAGTAGTGTTGCGTATTATTTCAGGTTGGGGTTATATGACTGGAACCTCTCATTGGGTTGGGGAGGTAAATCAGTTTAAGTAATTTTAGAGTATTAAATAGCTGCTTAGTTGACAAATTTTTTCCTTTTCATCACATTGTTCTAGAATTTACATGTAACTTGAGGTTATCATTTTGTAATTATTTGCTCCCAAAGCCAATTCATTATTAGATTAACAACTTTTTAAATATTTGTATTAATAAAGTGAATAGTCTGATAAGTAAAAACTACTGAATTAGGATTTCAGTGACAGCATAGATTTTTTTAAGTGAGTGATAATAAAAACTTAAATTTGGTCAAACACGTAAGTTTTGTTTGTTATAAAGAGTTCTAGAAATGTCTTTTATTGACCAATGCCTACTGGTTTAAAGGTGACTGGATGTGTCCAGTCAATAAAGGAGATGATAAAAAGAAGAAAGATGCAAATAAAGATGAAGAAGAATGTAATGAACCCAAAGGAGATCCAGAAATGGCACCAATATACTTGAAAAGATTATTACCAGTCTTTGCACAAACATTTCAGCAAACTATGTTACCTTCAATCAGGTAAATGATTCACATGCTCATCATTTCCTCACATTGATGTTAAATTTGTGGCTCTTTAGGGAAACCAAATAAAGCTATCATAACTTTAGAACACATTATAAGATAGAAGAAAAACTTAGAGTTTATTTTCTAGGTGCTTAATTACATGACATTATTTACAAGGCAGCTTGATTGTTCATCTTTTTAAGAAAATTCTAATTTCTTTTATGCCAAGTTTATCATTTGCCCCAGGTTTCCACACTTGTTTCTCAAAATGCTTTATATATGTTTCCATTGTTTTTTTATGAAATTAATCTAAAATAGAAGGTTTTTCTGTTCTGATTATTGCATATATAACTTCCTTTGTAGCATTTCAACCTTTGAAGGTCTTGGGAGGGAAATGTGAATTCCATACTAGCTGTTATTTTATGTTTGACAGTGTTTGGCAATATTCTTAGGCATAATTATCCAGTGAATTTGTTCCTGTATTTACTTTTACATGTATAGTTAGGCAGAGCAGATCAACACATTGGTCATGTCTGAAAATGCCTTATTCTGTTCTTCTGGTTCACAGCCACTCTGCTGTGAGTTGTGAGGCAGACTTCAGCATCTTTCCTTTGTAGTCAGTATTGCTTATCAGAGTTCTGAAATCTTTAAATTTCTTTCCCTTTATACCATTGTGATTATTGTGTAAATTGACTTTCAAGAGTTGTTTTGCATTAATTCAGTTCATGCAAGTCTTTCCAAGTTTTCCTAGCTTCACATTTGTCATTTTATAATAATATTCCGTTACATTCAGTAGCCACAATTTTTTTATCTGTTCCCCAAGTCAGGGGGTATCAACTTTATTTCCAGTATCTTATGACGCTTTAAGTCTTTGACAGTTAAATGATAGTACTATGGGAACATTTCAGAAGCCTTTAAAAGTAGTCATTGTTGATAATAACCTAAGTTATTACTTTATGAAAGAAACCAAGAACATACATAGCTAATCTTAAATATGTACCAAAGAACTAAAGGTGTTCTTAGGTTGCTTGTGATTATCATCTTTTGTACTGTGACTTCATAGTACTGTTTAGGTTTAACATATACACCTGTGAATTTGGGAAATTTTAGTATTTCTTACTCTGTAGTTATTTTTGAGTGATTTTTATTATTTTTTTTCATTTTAGTTTTATGGGAATAATTTGTTTTTATTTTAAAGGAAAGCAAGTCTTGCTCTCATTAGAAAAATGATTCATTTTTGTTCTGAAGCACTCCTTAAAGAAGTTTGTGATTCTGATGCTGGTCACAATTTACCTACAATACTAGTGGAGATTACTGCCACTGTTCTTGATCAAGAGGTAAATTATTTAATAAAGCTTCTTTGCTTCTTATATGTTTATCTTATATATATCATAGAAATCATATGATTCTCAGGTAAATTTTGATTTAAATTAATATGTCATTCTTTGTGTAGCATGTAATGGAATTTAGTTAATTGAAACTAGTAAACTTGTCTTAATCACGTTCTCCCTGATTTTCTGTAGGATGACGATGACGGCCACTTGTTAGCTTTGCAGATCATAAGGGACTTGGTAGATAAAGGCGGTGATCTGTTTTTGGATCAGCTTGCCAGGCTTGGAGTAATTAGTAAAGTGTCAGCCTTGGCAGGACCTTCTTCTGATGATGAAAATGAAGAGGAATCAAAACCTGAGAAGGTAAGTGGTCTTGGAAGCAAAATATTAAAGGATATTCTCTGGAGGAGGAACATGTTTGTACCTGTGTAATATTGCTCTTAAAAAAAGTGACTATAAAACTTGTCAAATGAGAGAGATTAAGTAACCTGCATTAGGTCTCACAGCTGTTTAATGGAAGAACTGGAACTGGAACCTGTATCTTCTGACACCTTGTCCAGTGTTTATTTTGACCGTGCCACTTTTTCTGTGTCACTGGTTATATATACTCATAATTTAATCACTTGTTTTGGTTTGGCCTAAAAACTTGTCATGAGGGGGCAGCTAGGTGGTGCGGTGGATAGAGCTCTGACATGGGAATCAGGAGGACTTGAGTTCGAATGTGGCCTCAGACATTTGACACTTACTAGCTGTGTGATCCTGGGCAAGTCGTTCAACCCCGATTGCCTCACCAAAAAGCAAAAACAAACAAATAAATAAATAAATACATGTCATGTTTATGATAAATTAATTCCCAGTGTATGGATACACGTGCTTACCTCTATATTTTAATTTATAATTTAGAGGTTTTTTTATATCCTAAATTTATCATTTGTTGGTCAGATTTTATAAATGTTTTCTAAATTATTGTAATTCAGATTATTTTCCTAGTTTCATTTAACTTTCTTATTTTTATAGGAAGATGAACCACAGGAAGATGCTAAAGAATTGCAGCAGGGTAAACCATACCATTGGAGAGACTGGTCAATTATTAGAGGAAGGGACTGCTTATATATCTGGAGTGATGCAGCAGCTTTGGAATTATCTAATGGCAGCAATGGGTGGTTCAGATTTATCTTGGATGGGAAACTTGCCACGATGTATTCCAGTGGCAGTCCTGAAGGCGGATCTGACAGTTCAGGTAACAATTATTTTCGTTTGAAGGTCTGTTTTCTCTAGATTTGTTATCGTTAAAGGTAGTTTATGTAAAGAAGTGATTTTTTAAAAAAAAATCACAGTACTGTCATGGACATATTAATCATCCAAATTCCATATTATTAAGCATAGTGGGCATTAAAACCCAGGTCCTTTGCCTCTACAATTAGCTGTCATTCTGCTGCACTGATTCTTTTCATCTGATTGTGGGGTTTTCACATATTCTGTAGCTAAGCCTTGGTGGTACCCCAGCTGCATGCTAACTAGACCTCTGTGAATCCCAGGGGAATAATTTTCATATGTGTAATCTGCCTCACTCTATGTAGCCTGGTTGTGCCCATGGACCTACCTATACTCTGTGGGCATGGCATCTTGTGTAGCACCCACAGCCTCCTTATCCCTGTATTCTGGCTTTAACCCTAATTTGTCCATAGTAGGTTAGAGGTATATTATTTCCTCCCTACCCACATCCCAATTATAACCCACCCAATCAGAGACCTGGTCACAGGCACAACGATGCTACTATCACTCTAGACTTTCTCTTTTTTTTTTTAATAATGTTTAATTTTTTTCCCCAATTACATATAAAGACAATTTAAAACATTCAATTTAAAAACAAATTTTTTGTCCAAATTTTCTTTCTCCTTCCTTCAGCTCCTTCCCTGAAATGGTAAGCGATTTAACATAGGTTATACATGTGCAATCATGCAAAGCATATTTCCATATTAGTTGTGTTGTGAAAGAAGATGGTTCTTTTTTCTTCTTTGATCTCTTAGCAGTATTACTGGGTCAAAGGGTATGCATAGTTTAATAACCTTTTGGACATAATTTAAAAGTGCTTTCCAGGATTACTGGAACAGTGCAGTTCTACCAACAATACATTAATGTACTTGCTGTCCTATAGCCCTTCTAGCATTTAAAATATTCCTTTTTTTAAGTCTCTTTTGCCAATCAGTATGTGTGAGGTGATGCCTCGGTATTGTTTTAATTCACATTTCTCAAATTATTAGTGGATTTTAGAACATTTTTTCATTTTAAGCTATCAATAGTTTAATTTCTTTTTCTGAAAACTACGTATTCATACCCTTTGAATATCAACTGGAGGATGGCTCTTATTCTTATAAATTTGATTAAATTCCATATACATATATATGTGTACATATATAGATATATGTAAGAATTTTAGTAATGAGATCTTTATCACAGAAACTTGCTATGAAGATTTTTTCCAATTTACCTGCTTCTCTTACAATTTTACCTGAATTGTTTTTGTTTCTATATATGAAAAAGAGCTTTATAATTTTTTTGTAATCACAGTTGTCATTTTTACATTCTGTGGTCCTCTCTATCTCTTACTTGGTCATAAACTCTTCCACCTCCATAGATCTGATAGGTAATTTCTTTCATGCACCTATTTTTTTAACGAAGTTTTTTGATGTCACACTTTATGTCTAAATCATTTGCCTATTTGGAGTTTCTCTTCATGCATGGTGTGAAATGTTTGTCCTTACCTAGTTTCTGCCAGACCTCTTTGTAGTTTTCCCATCAATTTTTGTTAAAATAGTGAGTTCTTGCCCAGTTCTTGCTCAGGTCTTTAGGTTTATCCAGCATAAGGCTTCTGTGCTTCTTTGATTCAGTATGTTGTGTGCCTATCTGTTCCACTGATCAACCTCTCTATTTCTTAACTCATGCCAAAATGTTTTAATAATTACTGACTTCTTTATAACTTGAGTATAGTTTGATATCTGGTCCTGCCAGGCTTCTTTCCTTGATTCTCTTGATGTTAAGTTCTATAGAGTAATCCTTTGGTAGTTTGGTATGGTGCTGAATAAGTAAATTAATTTGGTTGTGTTGACATTTTTAGTATGTTTTGACCTACCCATGAGAAATTAATATTTTTCCAGTTACATATGCCTGTGTAAAGAGTGCTTTGTAACTGTGTTTACATGACTCCTGTGTATTTCTTGGCAGGAATACTCCCAAGTATTTTATATTGTCTGTAGTAATTTTAAATGGAATTTCTTTTTGTTTCTTCCTGCTACATTTTTTTTGATATAAAGAATTTATTTTTTTTAATATAAATTTATTTATTTTTAGTTTTCAGCATTCCCTTCCACAAGTTTTTGAGTTCCAAATTTTCACCCCATCTCCCCCCTCCCCCCACCCCAAGATGTCATGCATTCTGAATATCCCTTCCCCTACTCTGTCCTCTCTTCTATCTCTCTCCCCTTCTCTTATCCTCTTCCCCTTCTATTTTCCTGTAGGACAGGATAGACTTCTGTACCCCATTTCCTATATTTATTTCCCAGTAGCATGTGAAAACATTTTTTTTAAAACATATGTTTTTAAAACTTTAGGTTTCAAATTTTCTCTCTTCCTCCCTCCCCACCCACCCTCATGGAAAAGGCAAGCAACTCAATGTAAGTTGTACATGTGCAGTTATGCAAAACACGTCCATAGTAGACATGTTGTGAAAAACTAACTCTATTTCCCTTAATTCTATCCTGACCTCCCATTTATTCTGTTCTTTCTTTTGACCCTGTCTCTCCTTAGAAGTATTTACTTCTGATTAACCCCTTTCCCAATCTGCTGTCCTCTCTATCATCCCCCTGCTCTCTTGTCCCCTTTCCCCCCTATTTTCCTGTAGGGTAAGACAGATTTCCATACCCAATTGAATGTGTATGTTATTCCCTCCTATAGTTTTCTGTCTTTGTTTTGACTCTCCTTGGTTAGGTATCAAGACTACATTTGTGTTAATAGGAAGAATTTGGCAGGACTGTTTCTTTTACTTTTTTGGGGGACAATTTATCTATTATTAGAATTTATTGTTCTTTAAATGTTTGATAGAATTCTTCCGTAAATCCATCTATGCTTGATGTGGTGTTTTTTTTTTTTGTTTGTGTTTTTTGCAGGGAGAGATCATATATGGCTTGTTCAGTTTCTTTTTCTAAGATAGCATTATTTTAGCCCTCTATTACATGTTCTTTTAATTTGGACATTTTATATTTTTGTAAATATTTATCCATTTCAATTGGATTGTCAGTTTTACTGGCATATAATTGATTAAGATACTTCCTGTTAATTTCTTTTATTGCTTTCTTATGGGTTGTGAATTCATCCTTTTCATTTTTGAAAAAGGTAATTTGGTTTTTTTCTCTTTTTTTAAAACCAAGATTCAGTTTTTTTTGCCTTTATCAACAATCACTTCCATAAGCTTTTGAGTTTTAAAATTTTTCTCCCCCTCCTTCCCGTTCTCCCTCCCCAAGACGGCACTGTCTGATATAGGCTATACATATACATTCCTATTAAACATATTTTTGCATTAGTAATGTTATAAGGAAGAATTAGAACCAATAGGAGGATCTGCCAGAAAAAGGAAACAAAACAAAACGGAAGAAAAAAATAGCAAATAGTATGTTTCGATCTGCATTCAAACGCCATAGTTCTTTCTTTGGATGTGGATAGCATTTTTCATCATGAGACTTTTGGAGATGTCTTAGACAAGATTCAGTTTTGTTAATGTCGCCTTTGATTTTAAGGATTTCTATTTTGATGTTTAATTGCAGGGGGAGGAGGGAGAGAAGGCTACTATGTTGCTTTTCTAGATTTTTAGTCACAGTCCCATTTGTTGATCTGTTCTTTTCTCTCCTTTTTATTGATAAAACTATTTGGAGAGAGAATATTTCCACTAAATATTGCTTTGAATGTGTCCCCCAGATTTTGGCATTTTGCCTCATTGTTGTCATTGTCTTTATTGAAATTGTTTTCATGACTTGTTCTTTGACACACTTATTCTTCAAGTGACTTGCCCAGGGTCACACAGCTAGTAAGTGTTGGGTGTCTGAGGCCAGATTTGAAATCGGGTCCTCCTATCCACTGCACCACCTAGTTGCCCAGACACACTTATTCTTTAAAATTAAAGTCATTTGTTCTCCAGTTAATTTTTAATCTTTGCTTCAAAAGCCCTTTTTGAATAAAATTTTTGTTGCGTTGTTGCCCATAAAGATGTGTCTAATACTTCTGCCTTTCTACATTTGTTTTTGATGTTTTTATGCTCAAACATGTGGTCATTTTTGGTGAAGATGCCATACACAGCTGAAAAATGTGTATACTTTATCTTCTCATTTTCTGTTCTCCAGAGGTCTGTCATATCTAAATTTTCTTAAGTTTTATTCAAATCCTTCATTTCTTTTTTTGTTTAATTTTTGGTAAAATATGTCTTAAGTCTGTGTGGGACAGAGACCACCTACCCAGATTAAAAACCAGAGTCTTGACAAAAGTTTGCAAAAAGGAGGAATCTCTTTATTGACTTTCTCGAGAAAGGGCACCCTGTGCTGTCTTAGCTGCCCTAAGAGTGGAGGTGCTCTTTGTTAAAGGCAAGATTATATAGACCCTAATGCAGCGGCCCACAGTAATCCCCTTCCCGTTGGCTCGTCGGCTGAGCCGCAGGTGTACAATCTATTTGTGTAAAAACTACCCCAGTAACAGAGAGAACAAAGAGGTATAGAAATTATGTTAGTGTGTTCCCCTTTTCAGGGCCTCACAGTTTCAGCAGCCTTTTACCCAAGGTCATATAACTAGCTAGAAGTGAGATAGACAGGATGCTCTTATGGCTCGGGAATTTCTGCTAACACTATCTAAGAGTAGGGGAGGGAGAAGGCTAGGGGAGGGGGTCTTGTATTCTGAGGGGTCTTTACACATGTACCACTGAAAAGCAACAATACCAGAACCATTAACAAGAACTAATGACACTTTGAGGAGGCTTCACTTCTGAGAGATCATCTCTCACAAGTGTGAGAGGAATGAATTGAGGTCTCGTGGTGGTAGAATTTTTACTGTCTTTTTTTCCCTGTAACTCAACATTTCCTTTAAGAATTCAGTTTTTATACAGTTCCTTTAATAGTTTCCTTTTAGGAATTCAGGTGTTACTCCATTTGCTGCGTATATGTTCAGTATGTTAAATCATTGTCTATGATACTTTTAGGCAAAATATAGTTGCTGTTTCTGTCTTTTAATTAGGTCTGTTTTTGCTGTTGCTTTTTCTGAGATCATGGTTGCTAACCTTCCCTGTTTTATATCTGTTAAAGCATAGTACATTATGCCCCAGCACTTTATTTTAACTGTATATGTCTCTTTCTGTTTCAATATGTTACTTGTAAACAACATATTGTTAGATTCTGGTTTCTTATCCTTTTGCTATTGAGTTCTGTTTTATGGATGTGTTCATCCCATTTGTATTCACAGTAATGATTGCTAATTCTGTATTTCTCTCCAGCCTATTCCCTTCTATTTATCTTTTTTTTTTGTCTTTTCTCCTCAGAAATGTTTTGCTTCTGATCACTACCTCCCTTAATCTGTCCTCCTTCTTATCTCCCACTCCTTTCTGCCCCTGACCACATGTACGTTTCTAATTCCGCACCTGGATCTATGGCCTGGAAAAGGATAGTGAGCGGGAATGTGCCAGTAAATATTTAACAACTAGCTCTCTAAAAAAGAAATGTACTTATGACATGCTTAAGTTTAATTATTAACATTTCCTCCCTCATTCTGACAATTAATCAAGCTATGATTTTCGTAGCATTTGCCTATTTCTGAAGTAAATTCTCACACTTAAAATTTTGAGCTGGCACTTCTAGTAGTGTAGGACAGAGCTGCCAGTTGATACCCATTCCAGTATCCCGTAATAGTTGGAGTCCCCATGACCTCTTCCTGCCTCCTCTGCTTCTTGTTCTGGTTCACAGCCTCAGTCTGTTTTCAGTCTTTGCATGACCTGCTCCTGGCCAAACTTGATCCCTCTGTCTGCAAACCTCTTTGTCTTCTTAGACCTACTTGGCCTGGAAAAATGACTCACTTATTTTTTTATCCCTGTATTTCTCCACTAAGATTTGGTCTGGTGTGTTTTCTAGATCTCTGTGAATGGGTTATTTTAAGGGCACTTGGCTATATTACTTGGCTACTTTGACTCTGCCTCGCCCTGCACCCGTTCCCCCCTACCCCTCTCGTATTCCTCCCTTCCCCGTTACTCTTCAAATAACAGGGTATTCTACTTTGTCCAGTCAGTTCTCAACAAAAATGATCTTTTTTTCGCACAGCAATGCTGATGTAAATCCAGTGTTTCTCCTTCTATTTCTTCCTCTTATACCAGTGAGTATAGCAGAGGGCAATACAACCACCCCTCTCTAGAAGATATAAGAGAGTACTGAGCCCAGGTAGCGAGCTCTCCACAGCAGGATGCTTTCAGCATCCGCAGACCCTGGCCAGCTTGAGATAACTGCATTCAAGGGGCGTTCTGTTCCCTGTAAGCAGCCTTTTTTTTGTAACTTCTTGTGACTTCTTTCTGATTCCTGTATTCAGCTTCTTCCTCTTTTCCATTTCTGTTCTTTTTTTTGGGGGGGGGAGGTGGGGAGAAGGCTTTTCTCCTGAACCTTTTTCTGTGGCTGCTAATTCCTCATAAGCACTGACTCATCACTAATTAATGGTATGAAATGTATATTTCCTACTGTGCTTATATAATCTTCCCATATGCTGTAAACAATTATTAATTGATTCTTTTTTACCTTTGAAAAAATGAAAACAGTTTTACGCATATTTGCCTTATAGTCATCGTTACTTCAGTCATTGCTCTGCCTTTGAAAAAGGCCTCTCAATGCATTCATCTAAAGGGTAATTCTCTATCTGGTCCTCACAATAGTCTGACTCCATCATTTTATCTCAGAAGCTTTTCTCACGGTGATTTTATAAAATTTCATTATGTAGATGTTTTTTTCTGATGATTTTGGCAATGAAGATGTTCACATGAAAAAGGAATTCTGTTATTATGGAGATATCTTTAAAGAAAGACAGAGCTTTAAATGGAAGGAAACATTAAAAACAGCCACTTTTTTTTCCCTTTTTATAGAAAGCAGAAGTGAGTTCTTAGAGAAGTTGCAAAGAGCTCGAAGCCAAGTAAAGCCATCTACTTCAAGTCAACCTATACTTTCAGTTCCAGGACCCACTAAACTTACTGTAGGCAATTGGTCACTAACATGTTTAAAAGAAGGAGAAATTGCTATTCATAATTCAGATGGTCAACAGGCTACAATATTGAAAGAAGATCTACCTGGTTTTGTCTTTGAATCTAATAGAGGAACTAAACATTCATTTACAGCTGAAACCTCTTTGGGTAAGTTATATGTATTTAAATTTTAACAGGTATGACTTCATATAATACTTTGCATATACTGTATGTTGATATTGTATATTTTTTGTAGGGTCAGAATTTGTCACTGGCTGGACTGGCAAAAGGGGAAGAAAATTGAAATCTAAGTTGGAGAAAACAAAGCAAAAGGTATTTTTCAAGGAATATTTATTTCCTTGTGTTAAAGTTACTTGTAATAAAGTTTTAAGCTACAAGTTATTAAGGTTTGAACAAATCAAGTTTTATAGTGTCATTCTTATATTTTTCCTTTCTGTGTTTACTATTTTTATTTCATTTTTTCTAACTGATAACTAAATTTCTTAGTTCTAAATATCTATGTTTCTAATGCCAAATAACATATCTTCATTTTCTCTCTTATAATGGTAATAAAAAGCCACAATACAACAAACAGTTTTAAGGTTTAGAGGGATTGTTTTTTGGAGGGAGAGATCTTACTCTTCTAAATTTTGGCACTAGTGATAATTTATTTTAAAGGGCATAATTTTTAACAGAAATTTTTGTTTTTTATCACAGTTCCTGGTGTGAATATGATCCTATAATTTCTGCATAATAGAAATGAACAGGAAAGCAATTTGGATTTGTAAAAATATTTTACTTCTATATTTGTTTTACGTCATTAAGACTGTTAAGAGTAGAGTATCATGGATGAAATTTCTTCTACTTTGGGATGCAACAAATCTTTTTATGAGAATGATATCTCTTTATTTTAGGTGACCATATTCCAAAAGGGATTTTTTTAATAGCATATATTTGAACACATTTGTCTAGGACTTGAAATGCTAGCCATACTAAATGTGTCAGAGTGTGTGTGTGGTGTGTGTGTGTGTGTGTGTGTGTGTGTGTGTACGTGTGTGTGTGTGTACGTGTGTGCGCGCCAGTGCATGCACATGAACACATTAAGGGCTTCATTATTAAATAGCAATGTGTTTTGTGAAAATGATGTCCCTTTGAGATAAATTTTTATGTAGTAATATAGCACTTTGACAATTTGTTTTAACTCTTCTTTATTTCAGATTTATATGATACTCTTTGTGTTGTGTTATACTGTATCTTTTACAGTCTTTTGTTGATATGTAGCAAGATTGTTTAAAAAAAAATTAATGTGATTAAGTGGTAGTTGGGAGAGGGAAATAGGTAAATTTTTTTCTCCTTAATATTAGAACTCCTATGTAGATTATTTTCAGTTGTACTTAAAATAAACAACATTGATTCTACATGGTTCCATGGATTGCAAATTGTGGAATCTGTGGTATTTTTGGTGAGCTAGCTTTTTTTTTCCTCCTCCAAATAGTTTTTTTTGGGGGGAGGCGAGGCAGTTGGGGTTAAGTGACTTGCCCAGGGTCACACAGCTAGTGAGTATCATGTGTCTGAGGCCGGATTTGAACTGAGGTCCTCCTGATGCCAGGGCCTGTGCTCTGTTCACTGTGCCATCCAGCTGCCCCTAAATAGTCTCTATTTAATTTGAATGTGAAGAAACCACATCCTAAGACTTTAATATGTATAGAAGTTATGTAGATTAATAAGATACAAATTAAACCTAAATCCTATGAGAAATAAGATCATAGAAACTTCAAAGGCATTTTTTAGTTTTTATTGATATTTTTGTTTATTTCACTTTTCCATGTCTTTCCCACCCTTACTGAGAGCCATCTATTATAAAAACACAAAAGAAAAAGTTAATGAAAACTGAACACATCATCTGAGTCTCACATTCTATGTAGCATTCTGTATCCTTGGCCTCCCACCTCTATATAAAGGGGAGGGAGATGCATTCTCATATCTGTTCTTTGAAACCAAACTTGGTCATTATACTTTCTTAACATTCATTTTCAGTTTTGTTGTTGGTGGTAGCAGACTTTCTATTTTTATTGTTGTAATTATTGCATATATTGCTTTACTGGTTGTGCTTATTTCATTTTGTATTAGTTCGTATAAGTCTTCCCATTTTTCTCTGTAGTCTTTATATATACCATGTAGTAGTATTCCACTACATTTGTGTACCACAATTTTTTTCCTCTTCACCAATTGATAAGTTTCTATTTTGTTTCCAGAAGAACATAGAATCTGAATAATTACTAAAAAATATTGACTCCAACAGTGATTTTGCCTAGTGTCATGTTGTTAAGATGCTGATACCCAATATAGTTATGTTAAAGTGATGGAGTGTTTTAAGCTGATAGGGAAAAAACCCAGTGACTTTATTAAAGCTCTAATACTTTACGAAGAGTAAAGGAAAGATCAGGTAGATTTATTAAATGTGGTATAAAAATAGTTTGCTTTTTTTTGGTAGGTACGAACTATGGCCAGAGATTTGTATGATGATCACTTTAAAGCTGTTGAAAGCATGCCTCGGGGAGTAGTGGTAACACTTAGAAACATAGCAACTCAATTAGAATCATCCTGGGAACTTCATACAAACAGACAAGTGAGTTTAATAACTAAGAAATTCTAACAGAAACTTTACTTTTTTTCTCATGAACTTGACAAACATCAATAAAGGTGACTATGTTCCCAGATGAAGAACAGAAAAGATGACTGCATATGAAACCAAGATTCTTCCATTACGTAAAAGTTTTGGTTTTTTCCTGCAAAGTATTACCAGGCTTAACATCTTAACAATGTTCTGCTTGTCTGTGTTCTGTTCTTAATGTGCTTTTGTTCTCTTCATTGTATTTTAAAAGAAAATAATTCATTGACACTTTTCTTTTGGTATCTGTTTTCACTATTCCACCAACACTTCCTCCCCAAACTCTCTTCTCCCTCATAGCTTTTCTCCAAATAAAAGCTCTGCCTTGTAATGATTAAATATTTAGGCAAAATGTATCCTCAGATTGATAGTGTCTGAAATTGTCTCATTCTGTACCTCTAACATCAACTCTCCTGCAGGAGAGTTTTCATTGATGAGAGTTCTGAAGTTTTTCACAGTTGTTTTCTTTTAAATTGTTTTAGTCATTCTATAGTTTGTTCTGCTTTTATCCACTTTTCTTTGTATTAGTTCTTATAAGTTTTCCATGTTTTCTCTGAATCTGTCATTTCTTATGCTATGATAGTTTTTTACATTCTTTGTCCGTTCCCTGTTTGATAGGCACCCCTTTGGTTATCAGTTCTTTGACATGACTGTTTTGTGCACATGATTCTTTTTTTCTTTTTCTTTGATCTTTTTGGTGTATAAGACTAGTAGGAATTTAACCTGTTTTCAACATCACTATTTTAGGAGTGTTTTGAATATAATTCCAGATTGCTTTCTACAGTTTCCAGATTTAAAAAAAAAAACAATTCACAGATCCACCAATAGTTTGATACCTTTAGATTCTTATGTCAAATCGACAGACTTTGTAAAGAAGCTGAGGTGGAATTTTTCCTCTCTGCCTTTGTATTCAGAGAAGTTTAAAATTGGCATATAATATAGAAATTCATTTATTACCAGGGCTGATAACATTTGAATTAAAATAGGAACTTTGGCCTTTGCTTATTTATTCCGTTATCTACTGTATTTTCTCTTTAGTGCATTGAGAGTGAGAATACTTGGAGAGATTTAATGAAGACAGCTTTGGAAAACTTAATTGTACTCTTGAAGGATGAAAACACTATTTCACCTTATGAAATGTGTAGTAGTGGTTTGGTGCAAGCACTTCTTACAGTTCTGAATAATGTAAGTCTGTTCTTGAGTATAAGTTGAAAAGTAGGCTATGGTAAATAGAATTACTTAGTATTGTATTTAAAATCTCATTCCCTATATTAAAGATTTGATTTTATCAGGGCAATATCTGATTTTTAAAAGTTGAGTAAAAAAGTCAGTAATAAATTTATTGACTGTTCTTTATTTGTTCAGTTTTAATGAATCTCTTTATTTTTTTCCCTTTTCCTAATAATAGGAATATTTGAAAAGTCATCTTTTAATCTAGAGTTTGATCTAATTTATTGATTTATTTCATGTAGTGACAAAGGCAAATGAAAGCCATCGGCACTTACCTTAGTAAATTTCAAGCACTTACTAAGGTAACTGTTGATGATTTGCATTTACTATGTCCCTCAAAATCAGCTTATGAGTTTCCATGAAAGAAATTCATGATTATTTTTGTATCTAATAAAAACAATGTATAGCTTGTTGATCACTGTTTTGAATTTCTTTAAAATTTAAGCCTCTGTTAGTTTCTTTATCCTTTCTTAATGATGATTTAGTCTACTACTGTAGATTTAGACAGGAGAACTCCCTTGTAAGGAATTTCATAAAGGACCTTTAGGTAATAGAAAAATATTGGTGGTTAAGTATATTGAATTTTTATCTTGAATAGAATAATTTGTCTAGAAAATATATTTTAGGCAAATGTGAATATGATCACTGTCCCAATGAGGAAAGAATACTATTTACAATTTATTATATAATAAGATTGTTTTTCTTTTAGAGCATGGATTTAGAGGTGAAACAAGATTGTAGTCAGCTAGTAGAGAGGATCAATGTTTTCAAGACAGCCTTCAGTGAAAATGAAGATGATGAAAGGTAAAAGCCATTTTTTAAAAAAATTGCTTACACAGAATAATGCAGCTGCTTAAACAGTTCCATGTATATTGCTTGTCCTCAATGAATGATTGAATAAAACCCAATTTAGGTACCTTATTGTGTGAGTTTGTATAAAAAAGGAAGTCTCCTGGTATAGTTGAAAGAACTTTTGAGTAGAGTTGGGGAGTTTATGTCCTGCTTCTGCAAAGCACTTTCTAGCCACATGACCAGGGACAGGCCATTTAGTTGATGTGAATTTCAGTTTCTTTGTGTAAAAAGGAGGATTATTTTGTCTAGAACAATATAGCAATTTTGGGATATAATATGTGTAATATTCTTTACATACTTTGAAGTATTCCTTGACACCAAATATACCTTGTAGTACATGCTTAATAAATGTTGAATTAAACAAAGTATTTTCTTCATCTTCTATTTGAAAAAATCAAAACCAGTTTTAAATTACATGTTACTTGTACAATAGAAACAAAAAACAAATTGATGCAGAAGGATTTTCTTTGACAACAGAAATCTTTGAATTAGTAAAGCTTTTTTAGGTCTATGAGAAATAAAGTTGAATCATGCATAGATGCCTCTGCTTCCTCAGAAGTTTGCCAAAAATAAAATATGGTTTCACCACATAGAGAAAGCAGTATGACTATGAAGTCTTTGTTTGGTAGATAAATAATAAACCAGAATATTTGGTTTTTAATCTTTCCTTGATAAATTCGTTCGTTTGGTTCAGTTTCTATTATTTTATCAAATTGGATAATAGCTATTAGACAGATCTTTTAATATAATTATGCTTTTTATTATTCAAACAATATTTTGAAATTCTTACACTCTTTTAACAATTACTCTTATCTTCATAGTCGTCCAGCAGTTGCATTAATTCGGAAGTTAATAGCAGTGCTAGAATCTATTGAACGTCTACCTCTCCATTTGTATGATACCCCAGGATCTACATATAATCTCCAGGTAAGCATTGAGCTCATGAGCTATTAAAAATGGTGAATGTTTATAGTTAAGTGGTCTATCCTTTTGTTAAAAGGTTTGTTCTTCCCTACATTTGATTGACAGTATTGATTTTTACAAACTTTAAAAGACCTTTAAATTATTTCAGGCTCAAATCTTCTTTATGAATTACTAATATTATTAGTAGTGGTACTTTCAACTTTTATTTCCTCAGTAAATTTACAAAGGAATTGTTTTTCGCTACATAAAAAGGGTACAAAGATTTAGGGTCTTGAATTTAGAGATAATTTTTTTCTGAGCAGTATTTTCATGATACCCTGATACTTTTAAGAAATTTAATTTTGAAGTAATCTAATACTCGAATTTTTTTAATCATGTGAAATAAAGTGATTTTACACAATTTTTGGGCATAGTCTCTTTTTTATTGTTTTAATAGTTTAAAGTCATGAAGTAAGTACCCTCCTCTAAGCCTTCACTTTTTTCTGCATATATTTTAAAATTTGTAATGCTTTAAAAAAAAGTATATATGTGCTACAGGTGGATGTATACCTATTTTAGGTATATGAGAGCCTTATGATTTTACATTTCCCTTGTCACTTTACTTCACTGATTTTTATCCAGTCTATTAGTATTCAAGATAATTCTTTTTTTTTTTTGGTGATGCATTTGGGGTTAAAATGGCTTGCCCAGAGCCACACAGCTAGTGAGTGTTATGTGTCTGAGGCCAGATTTGAGCTCAGTTCATTCTGACTGTAGGGCCACCTAGGTGCCGCAGAGATAATTCTGATTATTGATTCTGCCTTCTATCATATTAAGTATCCCTCTCAACTTTATGTCATCTACAGATTTTATAAGCTTTATTGAAATCTTTTATATTTCATTTATAAAAATGTTGAGTAGTATGGGATCATTCTAAATCCTGTGGCATTGTACTAGGGACGACTGTATAGATTGGTACCAATTACCATTGCTTTTTGGGGTATGGTTGTTCAACTGGCTATATAAGTCCTTATTTCAATATCTTACCTGTCAAATTATCAGGACAGAGTGTAGATGGTTTTCTACAATCTAAGTTATAGCGTCTATGACATTTTTTTGATAAATCATACTAGTTAATTATATTACAGGAGAAAATTAGGTTAGTTTAGTTAGTGGTGAAATTGGTTTTAGTGAACTCATTCCTGTTCCCAAATGTCCTGAAGCTACTTAATAATCTTCTCTCTAACTTTGTGGGTTATTATTCTACTTTTGACACTTTTGTGTCCTTTTTTGAAATAGAAACAATTTGTCACTTCCTATTTTCCCCTCTTCTTTTTTCATGATTTTCCAAAGATTACCAGTTGTGGCTCAGTGATCACATCTGTAGATTCTTTTCTTTTCTTTCCTTTTTTTTTTTTTTTGCTTTTTGGTGAGGCAATGGGGGTTAAGTGACTTACCCAGGGTCACACAGCTAGTACCTGTCAAGTGTCTGAGGTCGGATCTGAATTCAGGTCCTGCTGACTCCAAGGCCAGAAGGCTGCCCGTCTCTAGGTTCTTTAAGCACAGTGGAGTGTAATTTGTCTGGGCTGAGAGTCGACGTAATTGAAGAGTCTAGATGTATTAATATTTTATCGTTGGTTTTAGGCTTAAATTTCTTTACGCTGTAATTGTTACACCCTTTCCAGTTTGATGTCATTTTCCTTACTGGAGAAGGCTGACACAAAATATGACTTGTATAGTGTTGACTTTTTGTTACATTTCATCATTAAACTAATATCCACAAGTATTGAGCCTTCTTCTTTTTTCCTCTCTTGAATCCAAACATGTGAAAAAGTCCTTTTGTTATCTAGCTGCATTTTTAGTGTTTTTCATGAGTCTCTGCTCATCCTAGGATTTTGACAATAACAGTAACTCACATTTATGTAGTATTCTATGATTTATAAACCACTTTGTTCACAGTAACTCTCAGTACTCTGCTTATGAGTTTGTGCTGTCGATTTGTATTCAAGCTCAGTTATGTTCCTTTCCTTCTTTAGTACATTTACTTCAGTAAATCTTTAATCTTCTCCTTTTCCTTTGTAGTTGATCCATATACCTTACATAGGCAATCCAGTCAGTGAATTTAAGAGGCCATATTTAGTTCCTTCTTGCAACTTTTGACCATTGTTCCTGAGAAGGACTCTAATTTCTCTTCCATTGACAGCCTTTCATGTACTTGAAGACAGCTATTTTGTACCCCTGGAATCTTTGCTGCTTTTTGAAACCAGCAATTTAACCTGTTCTGAATGCATCTAATAGCGTTATTGTCTGGTTCACATTTCTACCTAGATGCCACAAGAATAATGAGACATTTTATGAAATTTTTAAAGATTTGAGTGAACAATATTCCTCTGATCTACCAGTTTAGTAACCCTGTCAAAAAGGGAAATAAGGTTAGTCTGGCATAACTTGTTCTTGATGGAACCATAGTGAGTCTTTTTAATCCTTGCTTCCTTTAAAAGTTATATAACTATCTCTTTAGTAATCTGTTCTATAATTTTTCCCATCTTGGTCAAAGTCAAGCTTAGTGGTCTGTATTTTATAGACTATTCTCTTAACAGTTTTTTTTTAAAGCACTGCCTCTTGCTTCCTCTACCATATTTCAGATATAATTGACAGTGACTAATCCATCCATCTGCCAATTTTTTTCAGTATAGGAGGTTCACCTGACCCAGATAACTCTAATTCCTCAAAGACAGTCTCACAATCTTCCTACTTTATCTTGGGTCTCAACTCCCTGATAGCCATTTTCATTCTCTCATTTCCAGGACAAAGTTCATTCTCCTTGTCAGAGAAAACAAGCAAAATAAGAATTGAGCAACTCTCTTGTCATCTATCATCCCATCCATCTCAAGTAGTGGTTCTCTCCTGTCTCTGGTCCTCCTTTCCAATGTAGCGAAAAGTCTCTACTTCTTTTGTCCTAGATTTGCTTGACAGCCTGATTTCATTCACTTTCCAGTATATCAGGCACCTTAAAATCCATCACCAACTCTTTTGTTTGACCTCAGTTACATACAGGGACATCACACTGGATCTCACCATTATCTAGTAGTATTCTGCTTACCTAATTAAAAAAAAAACCTGACATTTTTGTGACTATAATCTTGTATCATATATCTTTATGTTGTACTCCACTTCATTTTTGGCCCGTATTTAAAACCTACAGTCCCTCTACACCTGTAAAAAAAAAATTACCTCTTAATTCAAACTTAAAACCCCAAGCTCAATTTCTATGTAGTTAGCATTAATACAAGATTATATATGAAACTGAATCTCAGTTTCTTATCACTTTTTTAATAGTATATAATAAGTCTTATACTTTGAAAACAGTCCTTGTCTGTACTTACTTTGAGCTTTTTTTTCTTCTGTGCGTTTTAAAAAATGTTTACGTGTCCTGCTTTTTAAAAAAATTAGTATTGCTACCTCCCTGCTGCTCAAACAAACATAATGTTTGTTTGGGAGATATGATTTATCATTGAATTAATCAGAGTTCTTAAGTCTTTCCGAGTTATTTTTCTTTAGAATGTTCTTTGTCCTTATTTGAACTGATTTTTTTTTTCCTGGTTCAGCTCACTTTACTTTGCATTGGTTTATGTTATCCAGGATTTTCTGCAGTCACCTCTTTGGTTGTTTCTTAGAGTGCAGTAATATTCAGTTATATTCATACATCGTAATTTTTTGTTTATGCAGTCCTCAATTGATGGATACCCTCCTTAAATTCTAGTTCTTTTTTCTTCCTATTTAATTCATTCATGAAGGTTGGAAAGTTTGTTTTGTTTTGTTGTTAACTATTCTTTCCTTGCTATTGTAACCTCCTCACCCTACTGCTTCACCTTCATTTGTTTCTCTGTTGAAATAGAAGCATTTGTATTCTACACTCTGTGTGTGTGTGTGTACACATGTACACATAGTCAGCTTTGCTTTGCTTTATTTCAGATGAGAGAAATTAATCTGATGGTGACTCCTTTACCTGTTCTTCCATGTTTGCATGCTCTTCTCCTGCCGTATCCTAACTGTGAGAACTAGCAAGTTAAATCCTTTTCTTTTTCCTTTCCATGCTAGTTTGTTTTTTGCTCTTTCACATCCCCCTCTTAAAAAAAAGCTCTCAGAATAGAACCAATCCATCCTTAGATCTCTAGTTTTTCTTTTTAAATTCCTTTTATATCCTTTGAAGACATTAAGTTTTCTAAGGGAAAATTGTTTCCCCCCTGTTACAGTATAACACCTTCCAGTTACCCAGATACATTTCTAAGTTACTCTTGATTCTAGTGTTTGCATTTCACAGTTCCTTCTTAGTTCTGGGCTGTTTTCTATTCTGTTAAAGGTATATTTTCTCCCCTTGAAAGATTATACTTTGCAGATATTCTCTGTCTTGAGCCTATATTTTTTCCTTTTTAGACTGTTGTATTCTAAGGTCTCTCTTCTTTTTGTTTGTTTGTTTTTTGGTTTTAGGCAATTGGGGTTAAGTGACTTGCCCAAGGTCACACAACTAGTAAGTATCAAGTGTTTGGTCTGAGGCCACGTTTGAACCCAGGTCCTCCTGACTTCAGGGCCGGCACTCTATTCACTGTGACACCTAGCTGCCCCCAGATCTCTCATTTTTAGTAGAAACTGTAACTTGAAACTCTTTGGTTCCTTTGAACTGTAGCTGCTTCTGTCTGGATGCTTGCAATATTTTTTTTTTTAATGGAGAACTCTGGGTTTTGGTATGATTCCTGGAACTTTTTCTTTTGGGGTTTCTTTCAGGAGGTAAATGGAGTCTTTCTATCTTTGTCCTCTCATTCTTACAGATCTGGGCAGTTTGCATTTATGATTTCTTGAAGTATAACATCCAAACTTTTCTTTAATCATTATTTTCTCCAGTTATTCCTACATTTTCTCTTAGCTTGTTTTCTGCATCAATTATTTCTGAGATTATGTGTTTTACATTTTCTTCTATTTTTTTCAGTTTTGATTTTTGTTATGGTATTTCCGGTTTTTTTCAGGAAGTAATTGATTTTTGGTGTGATCTATCCTGGTTTTCTGAGAGTCCCATTTCTTGGCTAAACTTTACTACTTTCTCTATCAGCATATTTATGCTTCTAGTCCTTTCCTACAAAACTTTTATTTATCTATTTATCTCTTGTTTTATTTCTTTTGGTATTCATGTGAACCTTGTGGAAAATGCATTTTTTTCCTTTAAGTTGCTGCTTATAGTTCTTACAGAGTTATTTTCTACTTTGTTGAGATTTCTAAACTTGGGATTTGGGGAGGATTCATGTCTTCTTGGGTTTTACTGGGTTTTACTTATCTCACGATATTTAGCTCCTGAGTTGGGGCTTTGTGCCAAATCTAGGTTCTACTCTCTGTTGTTCTTTTGAGTAGAATGGTTGTTCTCCTTTAAGGCCCATCTAATTGAAGCACATGGCTCCCTTTGGAAAGTTTCTGGATTTTCCTCCTTTTTAATTTGAGGAGAGGGAAGACACTATTATTATTTTTGCTTATTTGGTTGTTGTATTCCACCATCAGATGATAAGATCCTTGAGACTAGGGACTTTTTTTTTTGTTGTTGTTCTATTTTATTCTGTTTTGTTTTGTTTTATTACATTGGCACCTAATGTAGGCGTGTAATAAATTCTTATTGAATTGAGTAGATGCTTGTGTACTGGCTATTCATTAGTAGTTTCCCTTCTTTTGGTTCCAAATGATCTTTAGATACACTTAAAATATCTGTTTCTGAGTAGGGTAGCTTGTCTCTTTGGAGACCCATGACCAATACCTAGGTGTTTTACCTGTACTTGCCTGGTGTCTGCGACCTCTCACTACAGTGCTTCTCCCTATAAGATATTGCCAGAAAAATGGTAGCAACTTGCCTCAAAAGGAAAAGAGTACAAATCAGAGTTTAAATGACAGCTATACACAAAAGGGGCTTATTTTACATAAGAAACTGAGCCCATGTTGTTTTCTTAGAAGCAAATTATATGTTTGGATAGAGACATTACCTCCATACCTTTGGGAGAGATGACAAGTAAATTTGGTTAAAAGGTTGAGGAATTTGCAGTTACGGTATGCTCATAGTGAAACATTGTGGTATAATAGAGAGAGCAAGGTAGAACTTAAGTCTGAACTTAGCCTCTATCCTAATTTTTGCTGCTTGGAGATGGGCAAGTTATTTAACCACTTTGAATATTGCTTTCTTGCCTGCATAGTGGGAATAATAATATTGGTATGCATACTTTACAAAACAATTGTCTGAGGGATAGCTAGGTGGTGCAGTGGATTGAGTACTGGCCCTTGAGTCTGGAGGAAATGGCCTCAAGACATTTACTAGCTGTGTGACCCTGGGCAAGTCACTTAACACTAATTGGCCCTCCTCCCCAGAAAAACAAAATAGTTGTCAGAATCAAATGAAATAGTAGGTAATGTGTTTAATAGTATCTAGAGTCTTTTTAGAATGAGATTTTTTGAAAAAAATTTTTTGCTCATACACATTACAGTCAAACACTAACACATGCATTTGAAAGAGTAGTCCTGGTTGCTAGTAGTAGAGCTTAAGTGGCTTGGATGTGTTGAAGAGAACTTAATCATGTGCCTTCCCCACTTCAAGGTAGGCCTTCTCTCTGATAGTAAATGCTGTGTCCCCCCAAAATTTTTGAGTTATCTTTTTTTTTTTTTTGCTTATACTACACTTTTGGTACTGCATTGACTCTTTACTACCAAAGTATTTAGCATAGAGTAAATTTAAATAAGGTGGTCATACTTTTTTTATTGCAACAAATATTTATTGAGCATTCTATTATATTCTCTTTACTGAGCCTGCAAAGATGAATAAAATTTGTTCCTTCTCCTTAAGGAGCTCTTAAATTTATTAAGGGCAGTAAGCTATACATAGATCATTATGATTTGAGGTAGTATAGAGCCACAAAATTATATTGCTGTCATGTTTATATAGCACTTGACATTTCCCAAAATGATTTTTACATCTATCTTTACCTTTGATCTTCAAAAACAGGGTGACAGGAAGATTAAGGAATTTGGGATTGAAAGGTTTAATGACTTGCCCAGTGTAAGTCACATGGTTTAATTGTTAAAGCTGAGACTAGAACTGAGATCTTTTATCTTCTCAATGTAGTACTTTTGTTAAGGGGAGAGAGAGAGATTGAGAGAGATTGCTTCTAGCTAGAATGATTGATGGGATCGTGGATTTAGATTTGGGAGGGATTTTAGGGATCATTAGTCCAGTCTATTCATAGAGATTCTTTAATTCTGTCCATCCATTTTACTGAGGAGCAAACTGAGGTCTTGGAGGTTAGGTGAATTGTCCCAACTCACACAGTACACAGTAAGTCAAAGAGCTGGAATTTCAACCCAGGCCTGTAAGAATGGAATTGGGCCTTGAAGGTTAGTCAGTATTGGTAGTAAAGAAGGAGATGGGTCTCAGTAGAGAAAAGCAGAAATGGGAAGAGTTGGGGAGCAAAGTTATGTTGATTCCTTTTGGGCTCGTAATTCGGGTTAAATAGGAAGAGCTGAAGTTTTAAGGAGAGGTAGTATTCTTAGCAGAAAGCCAGGTTTTAATGAAGGTGAATAGGTGAAAGGAAATCTTGAGGAAAAAAAGTAGAGAATATGGTAGGTTTACTTACAGTAGAACAGAATTTCCACATTACGGAAGGGGTCAGGTGATAGGGCTGAACTGCTTAGCAAAGGAGGGGATTGAGGAAGGAGTTTGTCTAGGGAGGATAGTATGAATAATTGTTACAGCTCCATTAATGCCTAACCCCAGACACATGACATGTATAGCAGCTTAGACATGGAATAATAATTTGTACTTATTCCTTGTTATATTAAACCAGAGGTACATGATTTCCTTGTAGGCTATTCCACATAGACTTAGGGGTAGGAATGAGATCAAGCTTTCTTTTTTTTTTTTTCCGAGGAGGGGGTTTGCTTTATTGATTCACAGGCCCTTCATTGAAGCCCCTTTGGGCTTGAGCAGGATTTGCCGTTTATTTTCCTCCTGCTGTTTCTCCTGCTGCTTTTGCTCCATGTCTTCATTCCTACATCCATTTCCTAGGACAGCAGCATGACTTGTCTCGCAAACTTTTCCCTTTGTGCCTTTGGTTGGAGTTGGCCTTTATTACGGGAGTACTTCCACCATCTGCATAGGACCGGTCGGGCAGCTCAGTGAGGGGCCCATAGCCAGAAGGGCTAGGGGCCAGGCCCTGCTGGATTTGCCCTGTGCTGCCAGCCCAGCCTGCCACGCCCAAGTGTAGCCGCCGCACACCCAACCACATAACAGCCAGCCCAGCCATGCCCGAGAACAAGCTTTTTTGTTAGGGTTTGTTTAAGGCTTAGCTTCTCACCTTCCTTCTCGATCTCTTGGCTAGGTTTTATGTGATATCAGTAATCCAGAATAATAGTATGCTCTAGTAAAGGAATTGAAGAGGTTATCAAAATGCATAAAGGATAGAGTTTCTGGAACAAAGCAGTTTGCATTAATTTGTAGAGTTATATGCAGATATGTCATTACTACCCTTGGTGCTGGAAGTAAGAGAGTCCTTTCTTTCTGGAAACATAGTCTTAACAGTAAAGACAAATAAAAATACACATAAACTCATATTTAATTATATAGCACATATGCATACCATAGCTGATATACAAATATGAGATGACTTTTAAATTCTGGGTGTACACAGTATTTATTGGTCCACTTATGGAAGCTAAGTCTGCAATCAGTTGTTAACCATGTATTTTATGTTTCTTTTTGAGAACTGTATCAAAATTAACTTGCAACTGCTAATTGTAAAAACACTTAGAATGATGGAAAACAAGCCAGTATGCAGTATTTCCATCATGAAGTTAAACTTATTTTATCAAAATGTTATGCTATTGAAATTAAGTGAAAATTTGGAGTAATTGTCTGTGTGTGAACTATACTTTTCTTGATAGTCCTTGCTAATTTTTCATTCAACTTGTTCTACGAATTAATTTAAAATGATTCAGTTTTGCTGCTGATATCGTTTTCAAAAACTCTCTTAAAGTGATCATATAATATTTTACAGTTCTGGACTAGCAAGGCATTTTATGAACTATTTTCCTGTGTTTTTTTTTTTAAAGATACTGACAAGAAGATTGCGATTTCGTTTGGAACGTGCATCTGGGGAGACATCATTAATAGATCGAACTGGAAGAATGTTGAAAATGGAACCCCTAGCAACAGTTGAATCTTTAGAACAGTATCTCTTGAAAATGGTAAGCTTTTAATTTTTTTTTATTTTTTGGCTAGTTGAGGATAGTGGAATTCTTTGGGTTGAAATGTTCTATGTTCCTTGTTTTTAGGTAGCAAAGCAATGGTATGATTTTGATCGGTCATCTTTTGTTTTTGTTCGGAAATTACGAGAAGGGCAAAATTTTATATTCCGGCACCAGCATGATTTTGACGAAAATGGAATCATTTACTGGATTGGGACAAATGCTAAGTAAGTGAACTTTCTTTTGATGTATGCTAATACTAATCTTATTTTGAAAGCTCCATGATTTCATAATTGTGTATGCCTGCTTGTACCAATATCTATGCATATCACAACCACTCAGTGCCTTTTATCCCATTGCAATTCTTGTCCATGTTTTTCCACAATTTCTCCTAGGTGCTCTGTACTAGAGAAAACTATTGTACTGTTTTTTTGCTATTTGAATAGCTTAGTTTAAGACCCAACCTATGCATGTGTTTTTCTCTCCTTTCATGATGAGCCTATTTGCTATTATGATCGTACAGCTTTTCTGTGTCTTTAGTATATTAACTTGTACATTTCTAGTCATTGACAACAAACTAAAAGTAATTAGTGTTTGCCTGTCATTCAACAAGCATTTGTTAAGCACCTATCTACCAGGCCCTGCTAGGTGCTAAATACATAGGTACAAATAATGAAACAATTCCACTTGCAAGGAGTTATTTTTTTTCCCCTGTTGCGGGAGACAAATATATATGAGATTTATACAGTACAAATAGAAGGTGAATAAATATGAATATATACAAAGTACTTAAATACAAGGTAGTTTGGGAGGAAGGGTGCTAGCAGTTGAGGAGGGAGTATCAAGAAAAGCATGAAAAATAGGGTACTTGAGCTGTGTATAAAAGGAAGAAAAGGATTCTGAGAGCCTGTGTTTTCACTGAGAGTTGTGTGTCATATATACTCATTCAGAACATTTGAATTTTTATCTCTTAAATGACTTTGTTAACCTGCATATTTTGTGGTGTTATTTCTAAGATTTTACTAGAGTAGTTTTGGGAAGCAGGGTTTTTCTGCCTTTATTCAGTCAGCTATCTTTGCCAGAATTGCTTGTATTTTATAATTTTTTTTTAAAATTCGGTAATTTTTAAGTTGTTTCCAGTTCTTCATGACCCTATTTGGTTTTGTTTGGCAAAGATACTATAGTGGTTTGCCCTTTCCTTTTTCAGCTCATTTAACAAATGAGGAAACTGAGGCAAACAGGATTAAGTGACTTGCTCAGAGTAACACAGCTAGTAAGTGTCCAAGGCCAGATTTGAACTGAGGAAGATGAGTCTTTCTGACTCCAGACCTGGTACTTAATCCACTGCATCATCTGACTGCTGAAATAGAATTTTATTGTATTTAAAAATGTAAAAACCTTTCTTTGCTTCAAGCTTTTCCAACTCCTGATCTAGGCATGAGGTGATGGGGGACTGAACCAAGGTGAGCTAACTTTGTGAGTAGAAAGAATGACTTGGATTTAAAGATGTTGTGAGGGTAGATGTGACAATATTTGACGACTGATTAGATACGTGGGATGAGGAAGAGTGGATAGTTGAGGGTAATGCCAAGGTTACATATTTGAGAGACTGGGAAGAAGGTGGTGCCTTACAAAAATGAAGAAGTTTGGAAGGAGGAAGATTTGTGGAGGAAGATAATTCTGTTTTGGTTGTGTTAAATTTAAGATATTGTCTGGGACTGATCGATAACTCTTATAAGGAAAGATCTTCCATGTCCCTTGTATGACTCTAAACATTGGGCTGTAAGCCAGGGTGTGGTTATCTATGTTGACCTGAGAATTTAACCAGTTCTTAGGAGATGTGCTCTGGGAACCTGGCCAGTTCATCAGAACATATCAAGTTAATTAATATTCTAAGGTGTTTTGCTTGTTCCAGGAACTTGGCCAGTTCCTGGACCAAGTAAAAACATCTACTAGAATCATGGACACCTCTGGCCTGGGGCCTTCTTTGTTAGAGGCCCTATTTAAATCCTAATTGGGAAAGCCATCTTTGGATTCTCACCCGTGGAAAGGATGCTGTGCCTGGGACTTATCCAACTGGGACTCTGAAAGCTGTACCCTGGGAGTCTCTAGCTTGGACTTCAGGTGTTGGTGCCTCCCCGAAGTGGTGATGTTTTCTTATCTTATTGCTGTCCTTTGCATTTTTAGCCTGACTAGCGTCGTATTGCTAATCGTATGCTGCTGTAAATCTGCCTTTTCCATGCCTATGTTATAATCTTAATTAAAGCTACTTGCACTTCTTTCTCTACAAGTGTGTCTTATTGTAGGAGTGAATCCGAATCACATTTTTCTTCCTTAATCACACAGGGACATACAGTTTGAAATGGCTAAATGACATTTAATTCTAGGGCTGGATATGTTGCACTGGGAGTCATCCCCAAAGAGATGATAGTTAAATCCCTGGGGATTTGACTGGATGAGGTCAGCAAGAGAGTGCAGAGACCACCTGGTTCATGTTCTCACAACCTCACCTCTGCTTTGATGTTCTCTGGCTGACAGCCAGTCTTAATACCACAAAAAATTACTTCTCGAAGATCGTTTCATCTTGCTCTTGGTTATATGAATGAGGGATCTTTGGTTTGTTTTTATTCTGTATGTGTTCACACCCTTTATAAGCAGCATTGTTTGAGAAATGCATTTGAGAGCAAAATGAGCCTGCAGAGAGTTTGGTATGAATTCTAGTTGTCTGACTGTTCCAATTTGTCTGTAGATTAAAATTGGAATCATAGAGAAAATTATTATCTGCTGTAACTTCTGTATAGGCACAGTTTTCTAAATGCAATACAGTAAGAGTTTCCCATCTGACTCATTTATGGGCCCAGTTCATTGTGTACTGGTGACACCTATCCTAAATGCCATAGCCTTCATCTCCTCATTGGCAGCAATAATTGATCCACCACATTTAGACCTTATCACTCCTATACCAGATGTGTTTTGTAAGTTATAACATAATTTAAAGTTGGAAAGGACTCTTGGACCTGACTCAAGATGTAAAACAATCTGTACTGGGTAGGAGAATGGGATAACAGTTTTAAAAGGCGCTCAGGAACTTGGCCAGTTTAAAATCACATTTGAAAACCTCAAATAAGGGAATCGTCCAGGAAAATGGTGACTTTACCGTAAATGATGTCTTTGCCGAAAATTCCCTGTGCCTTCAGCTTCACTCCTCTCTAATCTATCTGTAAAGCTGCCAAAATAATCTTCCTCCCTATTGCCTGTAGGATAAATTACAGTAAAATATAAGCTCTTCTAGTTTAGGGACTATTTTGTTTTTGGTTTTGCATCTCCAGTGCCTGATGCTATTTATTGCACATAGCTTTATTGTGCATTTCTGAAAAATTTTTGCTCAATTTAGCTCCTATCTGTCTATCTTTTTCTCTATCTATCTATCTATCTGTCTATCTATCTATCTGTAGATAGTTGGGATATCCCCCCCACCCCTTTTAATACCTTGTTGATTTTCTGGTCATTGTTGAACAAGGAAAGATTTCTACTCAGATTTATCGTGGAATCTTGTGTAACTAGGATATGTGAGGAAAAACATAGTCTGAAAAGGATCTTTAGGACTACCTTTTGCTCTGCTAAATCAAATGCCATATTTTATATATTGTTGGCCACACTCATGTTTTGTGACCATGCAGCTATAGTAAATTTTCTACCAAAAATTTCTTTTTTCTCTGCTCATATATTTTCATTGAGGAAATTTGAGTTGCATGCAAGAATCATTTTCCCAGAGTCTCTGTAGGCAGCATATAGGTCAGTAGTAGTTAAAGCCCTTTTTTTGTTGTTTGTTTTTCTGAGATTGGGAATTAGATGGGTGGCTGTAAAGACCCATTTGTGATACCTGGATCTCTTCAGGTTCATTTTTCATCAAATGCAAATGTCATTTTTCAAATATAAAAACTTAAGTGAGTTTTGTAAAGTGAAGGGTTAGATGAGGTGAGCTTCAAGATTCATCTTTTATCAATAACCTTATATGATACCAAGATTGCTATCAGTGAGAGGAAATAAGTGAAGTCATCATGATGGAATCACCCAGGTTTAACAATTGTTTTCAGTATATTTGAATGCATTTACTAACTGATGATCTAAAAATGATGAAAACATATTAAAATTATTTAATATTTTATTTATTTAATGAGATTGAAAGATACTTGTTACTGCTGCCTGTGGCATTTCCATTTTAACTCATGGGTTTGTCCATTCCTCATTGTAAAAAATAAAAGGAATCAATATAACTAGTACTAACATTTTCTTAATATTTTGATTTTATGTCTTTAGGACTGCATATGAGTGGGTAAATCCAGCAGCCTATGGATTGGTGGTAGTAACATCATCAGAAGGAAGAAATCTGCCTTACGGTCGCTTAGAAGACATCCTAAGCCGAGATAGTTCAGCGCTTAACTGTCATAGCAATGATGATAAGAATGCTTGGTTTGCCATAGATCTTGGTCTGTGGGTAATTCCATCAGCATATACATTACGCCATGCTCGTGGTTATGGAAGATCTGCACTTAGAAACTGGGTTTTCCAAGTATCCAAAGATGGACAGAACTGGACTACTTTGTATACACATGTTGATGATTGTAGTCTGAATGAACCAGGGTTAGTTGAGGATTGTCTTTACAAATTGGGAAACTTTGTTTCTTTGTGATGTGGTATTTTAGGATTACTTTTCTGTATAATTTTTTAGGAAGATATATTTTATAAAAGCAGTTGTTTAGAATTTGGAATTTTTTAATGTAATATGTACTTTCAACTTGCATATTAAAAAATTGGGTGTTAAAGACCTAGAACATTCAGATCATTCACAAACAATTTTAAGCACTTATTATTTGCCAGGCACTATTCTAAGGATAGCTTTGAAGTTAGTTTGAATACATTCATATAAAATGTTATATATTTGCATTTTGCATATCAAATCTGTTATGGGGGGGCTTAATTTTTTTTTCTGGGTTAACATTATTGTAAGGAATTTTACATATTGGTTTCTTGGCAGTTGTAAAATATTTCTTGAAAGCCAAGAGTTCAGTGTACTGAGCAGGTCTGTCCTTTTTTATCAGTTTTTTTTTAATCATTTTTAAAAATCATTTTTGATGAGAGTTTACAGTATATTAATTAAATAGCAACATTTTGAAATTCATTTTAAAATGTTTACTATTCATTTTGAAATATTTTTCTCAACTCTTAAAAAGGTCAACAGCAACATGGCCTCTTGATCCACCAAAGGATGAGAAACAAGGATGGAGGCATGTGAGAATCAAACAAATGGGAAAGAATGCTAGTGGCCAAACACACTACCTCTCCTTATCTGGATTTGAACTTTACGGCACTGTGAACGGAGTGTGTGAAGATCAGCTAGGTAAAAAAGTGATATGTAGCAATTTTTTCTAATGTTGATAGAAAATAAAATGTTTTCAAACGTGAGTTGTTTCTTACAGTGTTGGCATTGTCATTTTATAGGAAAAGCAGCTAAAGAAGCTGAGGCTAATTTAAGAAGGCAGCGACGGCTGGTACGCTCCCAAGTTTTAAAGTACATGGTTCCTGGAGCCCGGGTAATACGAGGAATTGATTGGAAATGGAGAGATCAGGATGGCAGCCCACAAGGAGAAGGCACTGTCACAGGAGAACTTCATAATGGTCAGTAGGTACCTGTGAATTTGAGAGTTACGAGGTTTTAAAAAATACCATATTGGTATTTTTTGTCAAAACTTGGAATTGATTTGTACTTTTTTCTCTCCATTTCAGTAATGTTTTAAAGATTGAATAGGTATATTCTAAATTTTTTTTTTCAGGATTGTGACCCTTAATTCTGATGATTTTAATAGCAGCCATGGTTTATTTTACAAAGAATTGAAATAGGTACCACTTTAATGATTGTGAGAAACTTAAAGATCCCAAATTATCTCTGCATATTGGTCATTTTTAAAAAGTGATTATTATGATAGTATAAGTAAAAGTACCTGAAATTTTAATATTGCTTTGTCATGTACATAACTTACAGATGTCTTTTTTGACTTTCTTTAGCTTGGTAGTTAAAATATTCTTATTTGTCTTATAATATACTGTAGTTTTATCTTTCTGGCTTCACTGGGATCAGGCAGTATTTTTTTTTTTGGTACAATAAATCCTATTAAAAAGCATTTCAAAAACTTCCCATCACAGAAGAACACGAGTGATCTGTGTGGTTGACTTTCCCTTTCCCCTACTATTCCCTTTCCTTGTGAGATCGCCACAAGATCTTCACAAGAGTTAAATTAATGGAGTGTGTTTTCCATTGATTATTTGATCTTAATATTTATTTCCTTAAGTTCAGTGTTATCTAAATATACCTCCTCAGTATTATATTAGAGCATTGCTGCTGAAGTTAGTATCCACATTCCCTTAAGAGATTGATGTTTTTAACTATGAACAGCTCTTGGTGGTGGTTTTTAGTTTGATCTATCCTATAATGCTGATCAGAACTATCAGCAATGATGAAAGCATATGGATCCTTTTCAGTAGACTTGCCAAATAAAAACAATAGGAAGTGAATTTTCCATTTTTTCTTGTTCCCATATCTTAAAATAGTAATCAGCTATTATGCATGTAAACTGACCGTTTTTAAAAGCCAAAATATGAACTTTATTTATATTTTGGCAGTCTCTGTGAATAAAAGCACTTTTCTCCTAATAAATTATTTTTAAAGTGAATTTTAGTGCCAAGGAAAAAGCAAAGATAGATTGATGTGTCTTGTATTTAGCAGTAGTCAAGGTGCACCTACTGCAACTCTACAGGGGAAATAGGCTTGATGGTATTATGTGTAGTGATAAGCTTCTACTGGCTTGATGCATCTAGAGAATTGGGTTTTGTATCTCTAAGATTATAATACTAATAACAGTTCTGCCCAACACTCTTTATCTTAATGAGAGTTTGTATGTGAGATATGTGTTTTTTTAGCTTATAAAATAATTATTTACCAAATGTTTACTAGGAAGAGAGGTTGTGTCTATACAAGTTAATTTTTAGTGAAAACCAACTTAATCCTATTGTAAAGTCAGATATGAAAGATATATATGTATGTGTGTATATATATATATGTGTGTATATGTGTGTGTGTGTGTGTGTGTGTATTTTTTTTTATTTTTTATTTTTTATTTTTTGGTGAGGCAACTGGGGTTAAGTGACTTGCCTAGAGTCACACAGTTAGTGTCAAATGTCTGGTCTGAGACCAGATTTGAACTTAGGTCCTCCTGACTCCAGGGCCAGTGCTCTCTATCCACTGTGCCACCTAGCTGCCCTGACTTTTTTTATTTTGACAAGGCGTTTTGGATCCTCTAAAGCTGTGTTCCTTTCCATTTTTGTTTGCCTTCAGTGGAGCACTTCTCCATAAGAAGAACACTCCATTATTTTCTTTTTCCACAAATTTTCTCTTCTCTCTAAAAGTTTCAGTCCTTGTTCTTTCTTGGAACTCATGTTATACCTACATTTCTCCCCTTAAATTACTTAACAACACGGTATTATATGTTGAGTATTAACTTCTTTGTGTGTGGTTAACTTTTTTTTTTTAAAGATCCTAATCTTAATTTTTTTTAAGTAACATTTTAATTCTTTCAATCAAAAAGCATTTCTTTACTTTCCCTTTTCCTTCACCTCCTAGAAATAAAAATGCAAAATAGAACCCTTGTAGCAAATAATACAGTGACAAGGAAAACTAATTCCCACATTGCATTATGCAAATATGTATATCTTATTCACTTCCCTAAATCCATAGCCTCTTGTTCAAGAGGTAGGTAGCATGATTTATCATTGTTACTCTGGAATCATGGTTGATCAGAGTTATTAAGTGTTCCAGTGTTGTTTGTTTTTTTTTAACATTGTTCTAGTATTGAATCTGCTTACTTCACTCTTTATCAGTTCATACGAATCTTCTTAGGTTTGGTAAAAATGTCCCCTTAATCATATCTTATAACAAAATAGTATTGTGTTCTTAGACCACAATTTGTTCAGCCATTCCCCAAATGATAGGCATCCACTTAGTTTCCAGTTCTTCTGGGCATTAACTTTGATGAAACACACATTAAAGAGAGCTATACAAAAATAGTTTCAGTGATTTTTGACAGACAAATGACATAATATTACTGACTTATGGTTAGGCTGCACAAATACAACAAAAATGCTAGCTGTTTTTTTTTTCAAACTAACTTGCAGATTTATTGAAATACCAATAAACATACCAATGGGTTACTTCATATAATTAGATGAGTTTATAGTAAATATATATAAGCTTATAGTGAATTCACATGGAAAAAATGAGTTGGATAATGATATAGTGAACAACTATGATAAACCAAACCAGTGAAGATAAACTAGCATTATCAGATCTCAAGATGTTATAAAATAATTATTATAAAAATTGTTGAGTATTGGGAAAAGCATAGATCAATTAATGGAACAGAAGAGAGAATCCAGAAGTGAGTCACATATTCGTACAGGTGTTTGACAAATGTACACGTAGAAACACGCGAGGGATGGATAGTATCATGGAAGAAAATGACTTTGGATCCTCCTAAGGCTTACGAGGCTGGAGCTGGAACCAAGCTGTTACCCATTCTCTTCTCCCTGTAGTACTCTTAGGAGGTCAGAAGGAGTATTTACTTGTTGAGTTTATCGTAAACAAAATAAAATCTGAGGAGATCAGCAATCTAAATATTGAAAAAACCTATAGACATGCCAATTCCTCAGGTTTTTGAAGAAAAAACTCAGTTGAAGGGGGCAGCTAGGTAGCATAGTAGATAGAGCACCAGCCCTGAATTCAGGAGGACGTGAGTTCAAATCTGGCCTCGGACACATAACACGTACTAGCTGTGTGACCCTGGGCAAGTCACTTAACCCCATTGCCTAGCCAAAGAAAAAAGAAAAAGAAAAAGAAAAAACTCAGTTGAGTTTGATCGAAATGGTATTTATGATTTGTCCCAGTAGGAGCTCTTGGTGCATGCCCTTGCACCCCCAGTCCCAGTTCCCCTTACCAGACTCTCACTTATTTTTTCATCTCTTCTGGACCTCTTGTGCCAGGTTTGATAAGAGCTACCCCCACCAGTGTCATAGATCTGAGAGAATCATTATTCTTGCTGTCTAGCCTCCCAAATTAGAATTCTGTATTTTTTCCATAGAAACATTACTATACATATCAGTTATCTTCTATAGAACTAATAATATACTATGATTGGTAAGTTTGATAAGGTTTTGTGGAATGCCCTTATGACCATTTGTTATAATGTTTCTATGGGAAAATGTATTTTTAGTTTCAAAAAATTAAAACTGAAATTTTGATAATGTAATTGGTTTGTAAGTTTGATTCTGTCTGTATAGGGAGGAACTAAAGAGGAGAGAGAGAATATATTTATCTGTAAAGAAACAGATTATATTTAACAAGTCTTAAAATACAGAAGAGTTTTATATTTGATTTAATAATGTTTCTAAAATTTCCCCCCTCTCTCATATATTCTCTCTGCAAGAGAAGAAATGTGTTAATTTCAAAGGGCTGTTCTGCATGCCAAGCAACTTAAGATGCTAGCCAAATAAAGCAGATTAAATCCAGTTAAGATTTTCTGTGATTATGCTCAAATCCATATAATTAATGCCATTGGATGATTGAGTTGCCTATATTTTGAATATAGTCAGGGAAGTTCTGGGAGGACCAATAATATTTAAAGCGACCGTGCACTTACTTCTTACTGTTGCTTATAATGTTCAAACTATTTTAAAGTGATCCAGAATTATAAAATACTTTTCCTTAGATAGATCCTGGTCAAATAGTTTGTTTAAATATTAATTATATCTTTTGAGTTAGAGACAGATAAGAACATGAAACTGTTGGAAATCATTTTATACACCAGTGTTAATAGCTAGCATGTATGTTGCTTTAACATTTACAAAACACTTTACGTATGACATTTAATCCTTACAACAACCTTTGTGTGGGAAGTGCTATTAGTATTTTCTTCATTATACAGATGAGAAAATTAATGCAAAGAGAGGTTAAATGGCTTGTCCAAGGTGACAGAATATCTGAGGCAGGATTCAAGCCCAGGTCAAACACTCTATCTGCTGTGCCACCTACCTGCCCAGATATACTTTTAAATTTGAAAATGACCATGTTTAAGAAAAGAAAGTATGTAGTATACATTTTTCTTCATATATAAAATGGTTAGATTATAAATCTTAAAGATTGTTAAGCTATTATTTTTCTCAAATCAGTTTGGTGTTTAACTTATGACTTTTAAATTTAATTACCTTTATTATTTTATATTAAAATGGTTTCTTTTTCAGGTACATATTAATAGAAATTGAAAGATTATAATTCTTTATTATGATTCATTTTAAATGTCCATGAATAATATAGTATGTAATAATTACAGACCAAATCACTGGCTTTGAAATTTTCTATGCCTAATCCATCTTATGATAAGGTTCTACTTTAAAAAGAATCTTTGAACTTCAACATCTGATGAAAATAACAAAAATTGTCATTACTTTAAAAAGTTAATGTTTCATTTGTAATATTCCCCTATGGATTGGTAAACATTTAAAGACTACTTCAGTTTTTGCAAAATATTATCAGTGAACCAACTGTTGTTTTTTTTATTGATTTTGTGTTTTTCCAGAGAGAGACCGACCACCCTGACTGTATAATTTTCTTTAGCATAGTAAAAAAAAGGTTTGTTAATTTCCCCTGTGCTTGTACAAGCATTCACTTAGAAATATGAAACAGAAAGCCCCACCGTGAATAAAATTACCTTTTCATTTTATATATATGATCAAAATGAACTGTCAAAAAGTAAAAAAAAAAAAAGAATCGACTGAAGAATGTACCGGTTTTTTTTTTTTGAAATGTAACAGAAGTTTTGCTTGGAAGATTTTTTAAATGGTTGACATGTAAGAGTTTACATTTCTGTAGTGCTTGATAGTTTTGTAAAATATTTTTCTCACAGTAACCATAAGCTAAGATAGTGTAAACTCACAAAGATCAGTGATTTGCTTAGTTACACAGCTAGTTGAACCCAGGTTTCCCTCCAGTTCCAGCATCTGTTCTTCTTTTCTGTGTGAATCATATGACCCAAAGAATACTGGCCTTCTGATGGAATTGGTAACCTTACAGAGACAAAGGGTTTAAATTGGTTTAATTTTCAGATCTCCTATTTAATTTTAGTTGGCAGACGAAAGTTATTTAATGACTTCTAGTAACTCAGAGATACAAAGCTGATCCCATATTGTGGAGCTTCTGTCTGACACGCTCCTGTCTGCTTTGTGCTGGGTCTTACAAACTCCTGTCCCTTTCCAGGCTGGATTGATGTCACCTGGGATGCTGGTGGCTCAAACTCTTACCGTATGGGCGCAGAAGGAAAATTTGACCTCAAGCTTGCACCAGGGTACGACCCTGATACAGCGGCATCACCCAAACCTGTTTCATCCACTGTTTCAGGCACAACACAATCATGGAGCAGCTTGGTGAAAAACAACTGTCCAGACAAGACCTCTGCTGCTGCAGGCTCCTCAAGTAGAAAAGGAAGCAGCAGTTCTGTGTGTAGCGTGGCCAGTAGCAGCGACCTCAGCTTGGGTTCGACCAAAATGGAGCGGAGATCAGAGAGTGTAATGGAACAGAGTATAGTTTCAGGAACTGATGTCCATGAGCCGATTGTTGTTCTCTCATCTGCTGAAAGCGTGCCTCAAGCTGAAGTAGGGTCATCCTCCAGTGCGAGCACCAGCACCTTAACAGCGGACACAGGAAGTGAAAATGCTGAAAGGAAGTTAGGTCCTGATAGTTCTGTTCGTACTGCTGGAGAGTCTAGTGCCATATCCATGGGGATTGTGAGTGTTAGCTCTCCCGATGTTAGTTCAGTGTCTGAATTGACTAACAAAGAAGCAGCTTCACAAAGACCCCTTAGCTCTTCAGCAAGTAACAGACTCTCAGTAAGTTCTTTGTTGGCTGCTGGGGCCCCTATGAGCTCTAGTGCAAGTGTTCCTAACTTATCCTCTAGAGAAACTTCTAGTTTGGAGTCTTTTGTAAGGAGAGTGGCAAACATAGCACGAACCAATGCCACCAACAACATGAATTTGAGTCGCAGCAGCAGTGATAATAACACTAATACTCTGGGGAGGAATGTGATGAGCACTGCAAGTAAGTGAGCTCTTCCTTATGGAAGACAATGCTTTTCTCAACTCTCTTAAGTGATGTAAAATAGAGCTTTTTAATCAGTGACTTATGTTTATTTTATTTTTAAAAACTGGAGTTCTAATTGCTTTCTGATGTTTTTGAATTATAAAACAGTTTTCATATCAAAATAATAATTGAACAGACTTTTTAATATTGAAGGGCTAAAATTAATTATGTTCTAAACTAGGGGCTTGCTAACTATGGTCCAAGGGCCAGATCTATTCCACCTCCTGTTTTTGTATAGCCTACTTTATTTAAAAATGTAAAAACTGCTTGTTTAAAAAATGTCAAAACTCACGGTTACTCCTGTTCTAAACTAAAGAAGCTTCAGTCCTTGGTTCCTGAGGTAATTATAGCGAGGTAAGTTTGATAAAGGAAACTGTTAGTAGTTGGGCATACTTCATTAAAATTAGTGCTATTCTAATGCAGTTTTTGGCTTAGGTCTTGATTAAGTTAGTTTTAGCGGGGAAAAAGCTTTGATTCCAGTTGAAGTGACTAGATATTCAAAGTAATTTGTTTTGGAAAACATGACTTCAAAAGGTTAATTATTTTAGTTCCTGTTTGTATTCAGCCACTTTTAGTGGCAGTTTGGTGTTGGGTCTCCCAAGTTACTTTTTAATTTTTTATAACCATTTTAATTTTCATAACCATTATATTTATTGCAAAGCCTGCTTAAAAGTTCTTTTCCTTGTTTTGATTTTTTCATCTGTTTTTGTATACATGGGCATGTTTTTTATTTTTCACTTACTATCTTTTTATCTATAGCATCTCCTCTTATGGGTGCCCAGAGTTTTCCTAATTTGACTACAACTGGTACTACGTCTACAGTGACAATGTCAACATCTAGCGTTACTAGCAGCAGTAATGTAGCCACAGCAACAACAGTTCTATCAGTTGGTCAGTCACTAAGTAATACTTTAACCACCAGCCTCACATCAACATCAAGTGAGAGTGACACAGGTCAGGAAGCAGAATATTCCTTGTATGGTAAGTCCTAAGTTTTAACTTGTTGGTTTTATGTAGTGGTTCTTTTTCTCTCCTCGGAGAACTTAGACCTTTCCTTAAAAATGTTTAAAGAAGCACTCATTATGTTCCAACTTAAATGTATTGATTTAAGAAATCAAAAATTATTTTAATTGGCATGATTTTATAATAAGTAGACATATAGTTTCATAGGAAAGACAAAAAAATGCAAAATAACTTGCTTGGATAAGCATTGAAGTTTATAAGAGGGCATTGGGAGAACTGTCTTAGCAAATATTGTACTTAAAATAATTATCCAAAAGGAAAGAAAAATAAAAGTGCAAGTGAATCAGCTATGTTAAAATAGTATTTTAAAATTGATTTTTATAAAAATGATTCTTCCTGTGTTTTCAGCAGTTAATGTTTCTGTATTAGGAAGTTTTATTGTATTATCTGTTTTGTTTTCTACATTGTAAATATGTTAAGGGTTCCTCCTCCTCATCCTCCAAACCATGTGATCTTTTACTTTTTGCCATTAACATCTAAATTTTGATATTTTGTGACCATGCATATTTTGGTTCAACCTAATGAAATCTGAATTCCACAAACGTTTATTAAGCACTTGATATGTGCAAAGGAATGAGTTAAGCCTGTTATGAAATTATAGTCCAGTGAAGAAGAGACACAGACAAATAACTATAAGAGAAGTTCTAAAACATGGTAGGTAGGCTAAGAAATTTAAAGAGAGGGGATCAGGGAAAATGATAGAAAAGATGGTACCTGGACTTGGCCTTAAAGACAAGGATTTCCTTAGATATTCGATTGGCTCAAGGGAAGGCTGTTTCTGGCATGAGGGGTCTAGTGCACCAAAGCATGGAGGTAAAAGAAGTCATTCCAGTTTGAAGCAGAGGATAGGGTACTGAAAGATAAGACTAGAAACGTAATTTGGAGCTAGGTTATAGAAACACTTGAATACTAAGCTAAAAAATAGTTTATATTTTATTTAGTGAGCAATAAAGAACTACTGAAGCTTGTTGAGTAGGGAAATGATTAGGAAGATTGTACTGGCCCTGAATTTGGGCCTAAGTTTAATCCTGGCACTGCCACTTACTACATATAATATGTGTGTGATTTCCTTTACTAAGGCCTCAGTTTTTCTGTTAAATGAAGGAGTTAAACTGTATGATCTTTAAAGTCTCTTCAGCTCTAAAATCTAGAATTTTTTTCTGCTTTTCTGAAAGTTGCAGAATTTGAGTTGGAAGGGACTTCAGAGTCCTCCTGGTATATAACTCCATAGCTGAACAAGAATTCCTCTTTACAGCCTGACAAATCATTTAGACTTTGCTTAAAGACTTCTGCTGAGGAGGAACTACCTCCCAGAGCAGCTAGCCCATTTCATTTTTGGGTAAATTTTATTAGAAAAGATCCAGTATGTCATAGTGGATAAAAAACTGACCTTGTGGTTAGGAAAACATGGATTCAAGACTTGCCTATCATGCATAGATGTGTACAAGTCATTAACCTCTCTGTGTTAACCAAGCCAGTAATCTCCAAACTCTTGTTCATGTACTTGTATCAATTTAAAAAAAAAACCATGCATTCCAGTATGTGAATGCTTATTTATTTTTATATTACATACAATATTAATACTACTGTTTTAATAATTTTAGACATTAGACAATTTATGCCAAAATAGAATTTAAAAGGGATTTGCTAAAGATGAGATAATATTTGAACTTTGAGTCAGTATGGTACCACTGCAGTAGGGGAGTGTCCTGGGCAGACTGCACCCAGAGCTTGTAGCTGCATGGAGGACAGACAGGAGAGGGGAGGCACTTGAGGCGGGAGACCAGTTAGGAGACTTTTGTAATAGGCTGTGTGAATACAGGGAAGGGGACAAGTACAAGAGTGTTGGGGGAATAGAAATTAAAGGGTTTGGCAATTAATTAGATATAAGAAGTTGAGGGAAATTGAGGACTACTGGAAATTGAGGGAATACTGGATGAATGATTGTGTCTACAATAGAAATTGAGGTTGAAAGAGGGAAGTATTTGGGAGGAAAGGTAATGTAATCCCAGCCTTTCTTGCTTCCTTTTCTTGGGTTAGTCATTCTTTATCACTGAAAAATGAAAAGTGTGGGTGTGGTAGAGCTTTCCTCAGGCTGCTGTTAAAGGAGTATCTGCAATAGTCTCCCAGAGGTGGAAGGGTGCAGGGTGGGAAATGCTGGAGTTTATGGGGTTGTGGTAGAGAATTTGGCTTTCACAGAGTTGTGCATGTCAGGGTATGGCTATGTTTTAACTGCGTTGAGGCTGTGGGGAATATTGAAATCCCAGAAGACCAGTCCTGTGAGGGCTTAACGGTGATGGTGTAGTTGTGGGGACAAATCCATAGCTGTTTATGGGAATATACCCTCTATCTTCCCACCCACCCCCTTGGATAGTCACACCACCTGTGAGTTAAGGTGTGTCCCTGTCTCCCAGGGTCCATGGTCCCCACTTTGAAGACCAGTGCTATGAATAATGAGTAGCTGATCCTGCATCAGCGGAGGGAATTTCTATTCTGGGCATTGCTTATACTGAGGAAATCACAACCATGGATTTGGTGCCACTATCTTCCATTTACATCAAGCCTACATTTGAGTTTTGGTAATTTTCATCTTTAAGATTCTTGAGAGGACTTTTTTTTTTTCTTAGTGAGGCAGTTGGGGTTAAGTGACTTACCCAGAGTTACATAGCTAGGAAGTATTATGTGTCTGAGTCCAGATTTGAAGTCAGGTCCTCTTGGCTTCAAGGCTGGTGCTCTGTCCTCTGCGCCACCTAGCTGGCCCCTAAGACTCTTAAAAATAGCTATCATGTACCTTCCGAGTCCTTTCTTCTTCGTGTTAAATATTCCCAGTTCTTTCATCTGTTCTTCATGTCATGAATTCATTTCTCTTCTCTTCTCATTTCCTTTGGGTGTTTCCGTTTATCTGTGGTCTTTCTATAAAATGCATTGTCCAGAACTGAACACAATACTGTTTTTATTTTAAAATTTATTTGAATTTAAAATTTATGGAATAAAACAAGTATTTCCATAACATAGTGTAGTATAATAAAAGAAAAGATGATTACATATGAAACTGTAAATCTGTTATGTACGACTTGCTATTCCTGTTAAATATATAATAAAGTTATTATGTAAATTTCTTTTTTCCCCCTTTTATAAACCTCCCCACCCTTAGATGGCGATCATTAAACACAAATATGTGTGTATGTGTGTGTGTGTGTGTGTGTGTGTGTGTGTGTGTATAAAATCTTTCTATACATACTTCTGTTTATGAGTTCTTTCTCTGGATGCAGATAGTGTCTTCCTTCATATGTCCTTTGTAGTTAATTTTGTTATTTATTATAGTCAAAATGACATAGTCATTCAAAGATGTTCTTAAACAATATTGCTGTTACTGTATACAACATTTTCTTGGTTCAGCTTATTTCACTCTTTATTATTTTGTGCAAGTTTATCCATGTTTTTCTAAGATCATCAAGCTCATCATTTCTTATAGCACAGTAGTATTCCATCACAATAATATACCATAATGAAGTCCTGCCTCCTCAAAATAGGCTTAATTGTGCAGTGCTATCTTTCTACTCTCACTCTACTTTTTTTTTTATCCATATTCCAGTCATGGCACCTATTCCATCATATCTTTGTAATACTTGTAGGTCAGGTTTTCTTCTTTGCCTTAAGATGTCCAATTCTTCTTGCTTGTTGTACTGTACATTTGTATGGAGATGTCCAAGACCATAGCCTTTTACGAGTCAGTCAGTAAACTTCTGTTAAGCATCTACTATGTGCCAGGTACTGTGCTTAGTGCTGAGGATACAAAGATGGATACAAGACAGTTCCAGTTCTTTATTTTTTTAAATTTTATTAATTTATTTTGATTTATCAGCAATCACTTCCATATGCTTTTGAGTTTAAAATTCTCTCCCCCATCCTCTCCAAGATGGTGCACACTCTGACATAGGCTTTACATTTACATACCCATTGAACATATTTTCACATTAGTGAAGTTGTAAGTAAAAATTAAAACCAATAGGAGGAACCATCAGAAAGATGAAACAAAACTCAACTGAAGGTAAAAATAAGTGATAGCGATTCGACTTCCATAGTTCTTTCTTTGGACATGGACAGCATTTTCCATCCCGAGGCCTCTGGAAATGTCTTAGATCCTTGTAATGCTGAGAAGGGTTCAGTTTAACAATATTAGTCATCACAAAACGTGGCTGTTACTGTGTACAAAGTCCTCTTGGTTCTGCTCACTCCACTCAGCATCAGACCATACAAGTCTTTCCAGGTTTTTCTGAAGTCTTCCTGCTCATCATTTCTTATAGCACAATAGTATTCCATTACATTCATATACCACAACTTGCTCAGCCATTCCCCAGTTGATGGGCATCCTCTCAGTTTCCAATTCTCTGCCACCACAAAAAGAGCTGCTATAAATATTTTTGTACATGTGGGTCCTTTTCCCATTTGTTTGATCTATTTGGGATATAGTCCTAGAAGTGCTATTGCTGGGTCAAAGGGTATGCACATTTTTATGGCCCTTTGGGCATAGTTCCAAATTGCTCTCCAAAATGGTTGGATCATTTCACAACTCCACCAACAATGTATTAGTGTTCCAATTTTCCCACATCTTCTCCAGCATTTATCATTTTCCTGTTTTGTCACGTTGGCCAATCTGATAGGTGTGATGTGGTACCTCAGAGTTGTTTTGATTTTCATTTCTCTAATCAGTAATGATTTAGAGAATTTTTTCATATGACTATAGATGGCTTTTATTTCTTCATCTGAGAACTGTCTGTTCATATCCTTTGACGATTTATCAATTGGGGAATGGCTTGTGTTCTTATAAATTTGTCTTAATTCTCTCTGTATTTTAGAAATGAGGCCTTTATCAGAGAGACTGGTTGTAAAAATTCTTTCCCAGTTTTCTGCCTTCCTTCTAATCTTAGTTGCATTGACTTTGTGCAAAAACTTTTCAATTTAATGTAATCAGAATTATCCATTTTGCTTTTCATAATGTTCTCTATGTCCTGTTTGGTCATGAATTCTTCTGTTCTCCATAGATCTGATAGGTAAACTATTCCTTGTTCTCCAGTTTACTTATGGTATCAGCCTTTATATCTAAGTCTGAACCCATTTTGACTTTATTTTGGTATATGGTGTGAGATTTGGGTCTATGCCTAGTTTCTGCCATACTCTTTTCCAGTTTTCCCAGCAGTTTTTTTCAAAGAGTGGGTTCTTGTCCCAGAAGCTGGGGTCTTTGGGTTTATCAAATAATAGATTACTATAGTCATTGACTACTGTGTCTTGCGTATTTAACCTATTCCACTGATCCACCTCCCTATTTCTTAGCCAGTACCAAGCAGTTTTGATAATTGCTGCTTTATAATACAATTTAAGATGTGGAATTGCTAGGCCACTTTCCCCTGCATTTCTTTTCATTAGTTGCTTTGATATTCTGGACCTTTTGTTTTTCCAAATGAATCTTGTTATTATTTTTTTAAACTCTATAAAATAATTTTTTGGTAGTTTGATTGGTATGGCACTGAATAAGTAAATTAGCTTAGGTAGGATAAGACAGTTCCAGTCCTCATGGAGTTCACAGATAATGAAGATAACTTGTGAACAATTATGTGCAAACAAACAAGTTATAACACGATGAAGTGAAAGTTAATAGAGGGAAGACTACCCGTTTCTTTCTGGGATACAGTATTCTTTGAACTTCTGAGTATTCTCATGGGTGTAGTGACATTGCGGTTATGTCTTTCGAACCATATAGACTTTTTATCTCAGGATCTGAACCAAGAACTAGCTCCTGTTCTTTTGATTAGTAATTAGCTTTCTCTGCTTTTACCTTCTGTGTAACACGTAAAAGATAGTTCTTGGCTGCTACATAGACAAATATACGTACATATACATATACCTACACAGGCATGTACTCATCCACATTGGACAAATTTATATGGACACATACACATACATGTGTATACATAGTGTGTGTGTATACATAAGCATATGCAGTAAGAGAACGTGTTAATGTGTTAATATAGGAGTAGATAGAATGAAAGAGACTAAGCTATACCTCTTAGGTTCTTCCTTTCTTCTTTAAAACATCTGTTGAACACAGGTTAAACATATCTGTTAAATACTCTTTTATAATGCTAGCATAATAACATTTAGAAGACCTAATTTAACTTGTGAGATTATCTAGTTTGAAATTTTTAAATGGTATTCTGTTGTGTTGATTCCTAGAGTAAAGAAGGAAAAAGAAACACCTGTTACCTATTTGAGTGCCTTCTGGCCGCTTTAAGAAGGGGTACAATCAGTAGAGTTAGATAATTTTCCCTTCCAGTGGACCATGGAGAAAAGTATATAAAGCAATACATTTTTGCTGCTTCCCTTCTGTTAGATTATTTCTTTAATGACTGTTGTATCTTGTCCTTGCTGTCTTGCCTGTCTGTAGCCAGTGTACCTTGCAGACTCTCCTATAATCATATTTGGGTCATTTTGTCCTTAATATAGAATTTCACATTTTATTTTATTTTTATCTTGTTTTGTTGGGCCATAAAATATGTACATGTAAGATACTTTCTGTCAGTTCACTGCTTACTTTGAAAGTAAAATTACTGATGTTCTTCTCTAGATTTTCTTGATAGCTGTCGTGCAAGTACATTGTTAGCAGAGTTAGATGATGATGAGGACTTACCTGAGCCAGATGAAGAAGATGATGAGAATGAAGATGATAACCAGGAGGATCAAGAGTATGAAGAAGTTATGGTATAGAAAATCTCTTGGCTTTTGTTCATTAACATAGGAAAGTAGTGCCCCCCAAAATCATGCTGAATTAAAACTGTGATAATTAAGGAAAAGCTGTCTTAGATGGGAAATTGGTGATGAAAAAATCTTTTCCATGTACAGTGATGGATGTTTTGACTGATGGGGAAGAAAAGTTGGATCATGACATTTAGAGTTTGTACCGTGGCATTGAAGTATATCTTCATGTGAATTACAACACCTTAATGCATCTCTTATGTGTGTTTCTTTTTAGTGGACTAAATTAGACTCATAGTTATCCAACTAAGTCCACTGCCTGAAAAAAATCTATAGGAACTGTATTTAAGTTTGGATCTCCCTATATTAACTCTTCTGTTTGATAAAACTTAATAAAATGAATTTATAATGGGGAAAGATAGAAGCAATTTTTAGTATCTGTGGCTTAGAAAATGAATAACAAATTGGTTACAGCTTTATGATCAGAAAGAAGAATGCTTACAAACCAGTTCTTTTTTTAGTTTTTCTGAAAGTGACCTATAGAGATAAAGTTCTCAGTTTTAATATAAATGTGAATTGACTACTTCAGAGAAAAATTGGTTGAGGTAGAGGAAATAGTCCTAATGCAATAAAAAATCTTTTACATTTCTTTCTTTTTTTTTTTTTTTGAGATCCTGAGGCGTCCATCCCTGCAACGTCGGGCAGGCTCCCGTTCTGATGTGACTCACCATGCTGTCACGTCACAGCTGCCACAGGTCCCTGCTGGAGCAGGCAGCAGGCCCCTTGGGGAACAGGTAGACTTTATCTCATCTTTATCCCTAAACCTTAGCCCCTTTACCTCAACCTATAATATATTTAAAATTTTTTTACTGCAGAATAACAAAAAAGAGCTTAGAAGAATATATGCTATTGTTTAAGAAAAAGAGTAGATAAAGAAAAGGAATCTCCACAGAAGAATAGCAGATGACGTATGTTCTTGGACATTTTACTTCCTTAGACTTGTGAAAAAGGAGTTATTGGTGGGGGAGGGGAGCAGGTTACTGCTCTAGGGAGAATAGCTGTGGTAGCTGAGACACAGAGTCGATATCTTGAACCCTTTCATTTTGGCCATGAGGATCGGAGAACTCATACTGGCAAAGTTTCTAGCGTTTGATACGAGGTCACATTTCATTACTTTCTGTGGCATGCTAAGAAACATTTCTTGGTGGCTAAGCTAACATAAATGCCAGTAGCATATGTAACCACAGCTCACGCTGGTTGAAAGTGCTATACGTTTAGTCCCGTGCCACCGCCTGCTGGAGCCGCCACCAAGATGCCTATCTTCGAGGTGCAGACCAATGCGCTGTGCTGCGTGGTGCCCGATTCGCTGCTGAGCGAGCTCACGATGCAGCTGGCCAAGGCCACTGGCAAGTTGGCTCAGTACATCGCCGCGCATATCTTGGCCGACCAGCTGATGGCCTTCGGGGGCTCCCTGAAGCTGTGCGCCCTCTGCAGCCTTCATAGCATCAGCAAGATCGGTGGGCCCCAGAACAAGGCGTGCAGCCAACAGTGGGCTGGAACAGGTCCACCTTTGCCTGAGCTCCCCTGCTGTGTATGTGCCCTGGCCCAGGCTCCCAAGCTAGATCCCTTTGTTGTCTGGTCACTTCCTGGTTCTTGTGAAGTTGAGAAACAATAAAATGGGGGCAGCTAGATGGCGCAGTGGATAGAGCACCGGCCCTGAAGTCAGGAGGACCTGAGTTCAAATCCGGCCTCAGACCAAACACTTGACACTAGCTGTGTGACCCTGGGGAAGTCACTTAACCCTAATTGCCTTAAAAAAAAAAAGGAAAAAAAAAAGAAACAATAAAATGCTTTTAGGTGGAAAAAAAAAAAAGAAAAAAGAAAGTGCTATATGTTTGGCCACTTTGGTTTCAGTCCGGTAGCTATAATAGGGGGTTTACCTTTTTTTTTTTTTAAACTTAAGTTAGAGGGTTGTATTTATGTAAGCTTGTACAGTTTTTGCCATAAAAAATTAGCACTACATCAGGGCAAATGCTTATTCACTAATAGTGTTGGCCAGGAATAAAAAGTTAGGGGGAATGAGGTACATTTTTGTAGAGTATACATCTCTTCTGACATAAGCTTTTTTTTTTTTTTTGGCTAGGCAATGGGGTTAAGTGACTTGCCCAGGGTCACACATCTAGTAAGTGTTATTGTATGTCTGAGGTCAGATTTGAACTCAGGTCCTCCTGAAGCCAGGACCAGTGCTCTATCCACTGCGCCACCTAGCTGCCCGTTAACATAAACTTTTGAGATATGCTTTTGAGAGTGTATGATCTTAAACTACTAAAATTTAGCATATCCCATCTTTTTAGTTACAGTCCAAGGTAACTTAGTAGTGTAATTCCTTTTGTCTTGTATATAATCTTTACATATGTAAATCTGTATTATGCTTTTTCTGTTATGTGACACGTGGCTATACTGTAATACTAAATTATCGACTATGAAGAAACCAGTTTACTGCCTAGAAACATTTCAATTGATTGCATTTCTTTTATGTGCATACAATTATTACTCAGGTAATGTTTGGCTGATTTAGAATTTTTTTTTATTAGGAAGAGGAAGAGTATGAAACTAAAGGAGGGCGTCGGAGAACTTGGGATGATGATTATGTGCTAAAACGTCAGTTTTCTGCATTAGTACCTGCTTTTGATCCCAGACCTGGTCGTACTAATGTCCAGCAGACAACTGATCTAGAAATTCCACCCCCTGGTATGTAGACAGAATAGAATGTATTTTATATCTTCTGATTAATTTCAACTTATTAGACATTAAATAAAATATTCGTGTAGTTAGTTTAGGAAGAGAAGGTATTGCTTTAATGTGTAAATTAACAGAACCAGAAGGATTCTGTTCTGTTTCATCCTGAAAATATAAAATCATGTAAATAGGAACATTTCAGGTACAAAATACTTTGATAAATTCTAGCTGTTGCTATTCATTATGATAAAGAACAAATAACTTTCTGAAACCACAAATTTGATTTTCTTGAAATTTCTATCCTTATTTAAAAAGAGAATTGTTTTCAAAAGGGCCCTTGATGAATATGGAAATGCTTTTTAACCTTTCTGCTCATTTTACAAAATTTAGGACTTGTTCCTATTTGGTCTTTAATAAACTATTGTCATGGAAGATTTTTGTGTAAAATTTTAAAAAACATGATGTGGAACTCTTTACTTTAAAAAGTTGGAAAGGGTATTTTTGCTTAATTGTGAAAGTATTGCATGTTTTACAGTATAGCAGTTTCCTCAATAAACCTAGATAATCTATAGTACAAAAAGGTAAGTGTTTAGTTTAAAAGGTGCCTATAGATAAGATCAAGTTTATCCCCCTGCCTTTAGAAGATAAGATGTTGTTCATATAGCTAATATATGGTGGAAGGGAAGGAGTAAATATCACTTCTTCTGCCTGTTGGTGTAATGGGCTTTCTATTTTACGTTTGTTTTATTCTGGTGATTTCTCATATGGATTTCAAATTTTGTAGGTACACCTCACTCAGACTCTTAGAAGAAGTTGAATGTACTCCATCACCTCGATTAGCACTTACTTTGAAAGTAACAGGTCTTGGAACAACTCGTGAAGTCGAATTGCCCCTCACTAACTTCAGATCAACCATCTTTTACTATGTACAAAAATTACTTCAATTTTCCTGTAATGGCAATGTGAAATCTGATAAACTTAGGCGTATTTGGGAACCAACATACACGTAAGAGATTTTTTGAGTTAGATTTTCATAGCATGTGATGAGAAATAGCCCACGTTTGAACTCTATTTTTGATACTAGTTCAGGTTATATTTTTTATAAACCAAAATTTGTAGAGTTGTTTAAAAATACCTATCTGATGACCTTTTTCTTCCAGTATGTATGAAGTGTATCTGTACATCAGACTTAATGTCACAGGAACTATGGACTGATTAGTATTAAAGAACATTTGTATTGATATAGTTTTGTAATTTGATGGTTGACATTTTTTACAGTAAGCATGCATTATAAAAGTAGTTATTTACTACCAAAGTCTCTTGTGGAACACTTCAGTTTTTAGAAGGAAAAGGAAGTAAGCAGACCAGTAATTTTCTTTTCTAGTCTCTGATTCCCTCTTTCACTTCACTTCCTTTCCCAAATCCATTTTTAAATTTTTGGCTTTTGTCTTAGAAAATTTCTCTCTTAATTGCTGTATGTTAAAAATATCCTTTTTCATCCATGCCTGTGGTTATTCTTTTAATATAACCTCAGATGCAAATAGCTTTCTAGTCTGTTATATTTCTTTCCAGTAGTTGATCAAGTTCATTATCAGCACACTATGACTTAGTCAGAATTTCTGCAATTGTTATTGTGTCCTTGGTTTGTATTTATGATTCAATATTCAGCTCATACATCTTTCTCTACAATGAGCGACCTCTTTTGTTTAATCTCTGTTATGGTTTTGAAGTAACCTATTCTGTTTTTGTTCATAAAACTTCTCCCAAGATTTTATACTTAATATCCCCTTCAGGATGTGGCCAAAGGGTGAACCCTTATTAAAGTATAAATAAACTTCATTGGAAATAAACTTTAAGAAAAGGCTTAATTAATTTGGATAATATCTTCATATTTAGAATCATGTACAGAGAGATGAAGGATTCTGACAAAGAAAAGGAAACTGGAAAGATGGTAAGAACATTTTATTTTTAAAATTCTTATTTTGTGCTCTTAGTCAATAATCAGCATATTGCTGTTTATGAGGTGTAACCTGTAGAAAAAAATAATACTAACAGCATTTAAAATTTTAAATTAGAAATAAGTTGTTAATTATTAAATGCATGATCCTTAAGATATCTTAGTGTGATGCATGTAAAATATCTTAGACTTTACAATCAGGAAAAACCAACATTTGGTTCTTCCTGTTGTAGGGTTGCTGGTCTATAGAGCATGTGGAACAGTACCTTGGCACTGATGAATTACCAAAGAATGACTTGATAACCTACCTGCAGAAGAATGCAGACTCCGCTTTCCTGCGCCACTGGAAATTAACCGGCACTAATAAAAGTATTAGGAAAAACAGAAATTGTTCTCAGCTCATAGCTGCATACAAGGTATATGTCCTCATCCAAATACTGTTTTGTTTGGGAATGGCCGTGTGCTTCATTTTGTTCTTAGAAGCTTGTTTATTAGTTAATGATGTCCACTTTCCAACACTTTATTTTAAAATTTGGTCTTATAAAGTCAGATGCTAATAAAATTTCTTACAAATGTATGCATCTAATTAGGAGTTATTTAGTGTTAAAAGAAATTGATTATTGTCTGAGTTATGCACTATTTTTATAGACAAGGCATATCTTTTCTGCAACTTTCAACAAAGTAACCATTTTAAAATGATAGATTTAGCCTCATTTATTCTAAAAATATGACTTAATGATTAATTTTACTTATTATTTCTATAGGATTTTTGTGAGCATGGATCAAAATCTGGATTGAGCCAGGGAGCCATTTCTACTTTTCAAAATTGTGATATTCTGAGTTTGGCCAAAGAACAGCCACAGGCCAAAGCAGGCAATGGACAGAATTCATGTGGAGTAGAAGATGTTTTACAATTGTTACGTATTCTGTATATAGTTGCAAGTGATCCTTACTCAAGATCTTCCCAAGAAGGTATGAAGGAACCTTGTCTTGTGTCTTCAGTATCATTTAAAAAGCAAGTCAGGTTTTTATATTTTTATTAATGTTTACAGAAGGAGATGAGCAGCTTCAGTTTAATTTTCCACCAGATGAATTCACAAGCAAAAAAATCACTACGAAAATCTTGCAGCAGATTGAGGTAATTACACCAGGCCAATGAACTATGCATACTGTAAGTGCTGGGGGTTTGAAGTCCTTTCTTTGACATGTTCTTCTCTGCCTGATTTTTTTTTGGGGGGTTGTTTTTATTCATTTGGACCTTGACACTCTTTGCATTTGCTTACTCATACATCAGAGTTTACTTTTTTCTGTTAATTCATATATAGTACTGAAACCATTGTTTTATACAATAATTTTCAGGAACCATTGGCATTAGCAAGTGGGGCTCTGCCAGATTGGTGTGAACAGTTAACCAGCAAATGTCCCTTCTTAATACCATTTGAAACTAGGCAGCTTTATTTCACATGTACAGCATTTGGAGCATCCAGGTAAGAAATATATCTCTTTCAGAAGTTGCTTATTAACATAATAACAGTATTCTTAACAAGTAGTACCATAGTTAGGGCGGCTAGATACTTAATGCTGTAATCTTTTAGAATGTGCCTAATGGCTATAAAATTTCCCTTTGAAATATTCTTTGATTATTTGCTTTTGATTTAGAGAAGAATGGGGGAAAGATTTTGAATTGTGCATCTGTTGATTTCAGTAAGCTTACATATAAGTCTTAACATGTTTTAAATGGGAAGGGGGAGGGAGGCAGAAAAAAAAGATGTATTTTATGTAAAGTAGAAAATATGGTCCCAGGCTTCAAAATACTTCTTTTTAAAAGGAATTGTGATCCAAAGACAAAAATATTATTTGGGGGAAATTCTTTTATGGGAAGACCAAGAGCAAGCTCACACACTCTTCCTGGAAATATATATATAAATTCTGAAGGTTGATAAAAGAATTTGTCTTCATTATATACTGGTAAAATTTTTACATAAATTAGTGAATCTCCCCAGTACTTCCATATGATAGCACTTCTAGTCAAAATGTAGGGGGGTTTATTTCAGCTTAGAATTGAGTGGTCATTAAAGTGAATTCTTAATTTCTTAATTTATTTTCAATTGTGGGCATTACTTTTGTGTATATTTTACATATCCCATATATAAAATACTAGAAGGAACGTAAGTTCCTTGAGAACCCAGACAGTTTTGTTTTTGTATTGCCCAAGAGTCCATCACATAACAGGCACTTAATAAAAGCTTATTGAACTGAACTGAATCTGCCAGCTGGATAATGGTTAAGAGTACCAGGCATCGTCCTTGCTTAGTGTGATTTAATTTTGTGGAAATAGGAAATTTGTCTGTTTATCAAAAAAGCTCCTTAAAGTTCTGTAGTATTTTAGTAATTAACAGCTAGAATTACATTTTTTGCCAAACATTAATTTCCATACATCTTAAATTCTATTGTAAGAAATACATTATTGCTGCAGGTAAAAACACTTATCTTCCCCAATAGATTTTCAGCTATTGTGATAATTACAAAATAAAATGTTCAGATGTCAAATAGTACCCTTTTAATGGTACCCAGCAGCAGCATGCTTATAAAGGTGGCTCAGTCCTGTGGTTTTTCATTCAAAATCTGTTTTGAAAATAATATTACACTTTTATGAACTGAGAGGGTTGAGTTAATGCTCCAAGCCTTGTAAATATAATGCTTGTCATAGCTGCATTGCTCTCTACACCTTAGAGGTTATTAAATGTGCTAAGTACCTTCTTCATAATATGAGAAATATTCATATTTAATTATTTTGAAGTATTTTCCCATGTGAATAGAACTATGAAAATTATAACTCAATTGCATATTACACTTTATGATTTCTGAAATGCTTTACTTTGAGTATCTCATTTCAGTATCACAAAAGCCATCAGATCACTATAAGGTTTATCCCCGTTTTATATCTGAACAAATTGAGGCCCAAAGAATTTAAGGTTCTTATCCATGGTTATTCAGCTAATAAGTGCCATATGTAAGATTTGAACTTATGTCTTCTTTCAAACCCCTCCTTTCTATATACATATAAACATACATGTATGTGTGTATGTGCATACATATACACAAATAACCCCTTTCCTGTAAAGTTAGTTTTAATGTAATTGATGATTTATGCTATAAGTAAAGAGTACTTGTTTTATTAATCCATAGGTAGATACTACATAGTAAATTATTAAGAGGCTTGTAATATTTGTTCTCTTAGACTTAGTGTGGAGTAGATTTTCCACATTTATCTTGTACATTGCTGATGATGAATATTTGTACTTTTATTCTCTTTCTGTGTTTTAAAAAAGTGTCTTAACTAAAAATTCTTAATAGCATAGGTAATTTATTAGTTCCAAATATGCTGTTACAGCTGCACGTGATTTTTTTTTCTTTCAGAGCAATTGTATGGTTGCAGAACAGGCGCGAGGCTACTGTTGAGCGAACGAGAACAACAAGTACCGTGAGACGAGATGATCCAGGAGAGTTCAGAGTGGGTCGTCTTAAGCACGAAAGAGTCAAGGTTCCACGCGGTGATTCCCTGATGGAGTGGGCTGAGAATGTTATGCAAATACATGCAGATCGGAAATCAGTTCTGGAGGTACAGCATTTGAATTATACTGCTTTCTGTAGTAGAAAGGCGTCCAGCTCCTTTACTTACACATGTGAAAACTGAGGACCAGAGAGTTTGTAACTTCTTTCCTAGTGTCACATGGTTCATAATTATAGTCCTAGAATAAAAACAGAGTTCTGATTCACAGGCTCATTTTCTACTACTTTACCTCTTTAGTGGAATAGCAGCTACTGTTGTCATAGTGATTTCTAAATATTAAGTTTTATCTTTACAAAGACATTGAAGAATTTATGTTAAGCTAATTATAGTGTTTGTTGAATGATACATAAATCACATATTCAGTCATAAAGAAAAGTTGAAATGCGATTGCAATCTTTGTTGTACCTTATTGAAACATTTTAATAACCAATTTTAAGCCCACTTTCCCAATCTTTTCATTATTTTAGGTTGAGTTTTTGGGAGAAGAAGGGACTGGCTTGGGACCTACACTAGAATTTTATGCTTTGGTGGCAGCAGAATTCCAGAGAACTGAACTGGGAACATGGCTTTGTGATGATGACTTCCCAGATGATGAATCTCGTCATGTAAGATCCATTTTCCTCATCTTATATTCACTAACTTAGAAATACCCACTCATGAACATAGGACCAAAAAAGTCAGGATGTTAAGAGCAAGTGAACTATAGAATTATGGAACTATAAGACTGGTAACTTGTTATGTTACCTGAATTGAAAAGATATCAAACCTGAGTGTTTCATTTTTTAAAATTAAAAGCTTCACCCTTTCCACTCTTGTCCTATGGGGCACCCTCCCATCCCCCATTCTCCTATATATAGTTTGTAATGGCTTTTGTTGGTAGGTAACTTGACTCAACTCTGTATTGAAAAGGAGTCTTTGGAATTAAGGTTTCATGTGAGTCACATTAGTAATTATGCCTCCACTAAACTAGAGAAACTTTTATTATTGAATACTGTGATATTAGTATTGATAATTAGGTTAATGCTTGTTAACACAATTCAGTCACCAGAAATACTAATTTAGAATTTACAGGACAAAAAGTAATGTTTGTGGGTTCCCCCAGTTGCCCAATCAGAAAATTGTAGTCTTAGTTTATCATATGATTCAGTTGTAGTCTTATTTTCTTCTTTTTACAACAGGTTGATCTTGGAGGTGGATTGAAACCCCCTGGGTACTATGTACAAAGATCATGTGGACTGTTTACCGCACCATTCCCACAAGATAGTGATGAACTTGAAAGAATCACAAAACTCTTTCACTTCCTTGGAATTTTCTTGGCCAAATGCATTCAGGACAATAGACTTGTGGACTTACCCATTTCTAAGCCTTTCTTTAAACTCATGTGTATGGGTGACATTAAAAGCAATATGAGTAAACTAATTTATGAGTCACGAGGTGATAGAGACTTACACTGTACTGAAAGTCAGTCTGAAGCATCTACAGAAGAAGGTCATGATTCACTCTCAGTAGGAAGCTTTGAAGAAGATTCAAAATCTGAATTTATTCTTGATCCACCCAAACCAAAACCCCCAGCTTGGTTTAATGGGATTTTAACTTGGGAAGATTTTGAACTGGTAAATCCCCACAGAGCCAGATTTTTAAAAGAAATTAAGGATCTTGCTATTAAAAGGCGCCAAATTTTAGGCAACAAAAGTCTTTCAGAAGATGAAAAGAACACAAAATTGCAGGATCTAATGCTGAAGAATCCATCAGGTTCTGGACCTCCTCTTAGCATAGAAGATTTAGGGTAAGATTTATAATGCTTTTTAAACCTGATAGCTTCAAAAACATTTTGTTTTTCTTCCTAATTTTAGGAGTGCCTGTTTACGGAAAAATCTGGTATTACTTGTTGTCTTTAAATCTTCTTAAGTGGGGGCACCTAGGTGGTGCAGTGGATAGAGCACCGGCCCTCGAGTCAGGATGACCTGAGTTCAAATCCGGCCTCAGACCAAACACTTGACACTTAGGAGGTGTGTGACCCTGGTCAAGTCACTTAACCCCAACTGCCTAACAAATAAAAATAAAAATAAAAATAAATCTTAAGTGAAAGAGTATTAAACTGGACCACTGCTTTAACAGATAAACTCCAGAAAAATTTTAAGTTCTGTAGGAATTTTTGATTTCTTATTGGCACTTACTTAGACCTTTACTATTGGTATAGGAATTACTATTTTTGAAAGGTAAGAATATTAATCACAGTAATAATTAAAAATCTCAAGTTCTAAATTTAAGATCATAAACTCATAGTTCAAGTGCTTTTAGGTTGTTTTTGAGAGAAGAAGAGACTGGCTTGGGACAATCTATGTTAGCCGAAATCAACAATCAGATATTCAGTGCCTTCTTTTTTTCTACCCTCTCAGTTCATAAAAGTGTGTAATATTATTTTCAGAATATACTATGAATGAAAAATGCCATGTGGGAGCTTTTTCTTGTGTTCACTGTGTGTGTACTATTTGCCTCAGATATTTTGTTAACATTTTTATTTTAATTCTGCTATAGTTAGTGTATACTGAACTTGCTATCTCCATATGATTAGGTTTGTTTTTAAGAGGCTTTTTTTCTTTCATTTTGCTAACTGTGCTTATATTAGCAAGTGTTCATAATTTTGTGGGGGTGAGGGGTTGGTCAGGACCTGTTATTTTATATATGTGGGAACTCTCTTCATCAATGCAGATCAACATATTATATAATCTTAGAGAATTGTTTAGGGGCACTGAGAGGTTAAGTGACCACCATGGACACATAGTATAGTAGGTATACTAGAGAGGACTTTAATCCAAGTCTTCTTGTCTAGGGCCAGCTCCATATCCACTAAAACCATGCTGCTTCTCCCTAAGTCATTATATGTTAGTTAATTTTTAGGATCATAGATTTACAACTGGAATTTTCTGTTCTTCAGTGGCAGTGGTGTAGAATTTGTAACCCCTTTTTTGCAAAGTAGAATCTTAAACCAGTAGAATCGTAAGAATGTGTAGAATCAGAGAGAGAGAGAGAGAGAGAGAACAAACCTTTGCCTCTGATGCATTTATAATTAATGGAATGGTTGAAATATGAGGGATTTGAAAAAATTTTTTAAATAAATTTTTTTCTTTCTTTTCAGACCATAATTTTAAAAGTTTTAACTTTAGTTAAAGAGGACATAAATGGTTTAAGCTTGTCATTTCTCCTTGCTCTAAGTTATACAAAGTATTTTTGTCAGTGTTACCATCATAAATGCCATGCAGTATTAAGAATAGACCTGATGCTTGTCTGTTGAATTCCATTAGAAATAAACAAACCGGCAAGCATCTTGTACTAGGCTTGTTTTAGTGTAGTATAGTGAAAGAAGCACTAAGTTTAAAGACAAACAACCTTGTCTTGAATCCTGTTTGGGCTGTTTACTAACCTTGGGTAAGTCACTTTACCTCTAGAGGGTAGCGCTCTTATCTTTCAAATGAGGGGGTTATACTAGATTGCCTGGATGGGAAAGCTGTTATGCCAGAGGGTGGTGTGAAAAGGCTCAGAAAGAAAAACACTTCGTGTCTTATTAAAATAAATTTTGACCCTGAAAATAAGTTAAATATACATTGTAATTAATATAATTGTATTCAAAAACATTAATTATAGAATCACAAATATATATAAATCATAAATATATATATATCAACCATCATAAATATATAAAAATATGTTAACAAAAAAGTTACAGCAAAAGCCTCCTCTTAATTGGTTTATTAAAAGAAATCTGGAGTTTTGGGGGTTGTTTTTTAATTTACTTGCAGGTAATTTACATGGATACTTTATGTCTTTATAGTTGGTTGAATATTAAGAGGTGAGTCAATTTTGATAGTTTTTTTTTTAATGTTCCTATAGGAAAAGATCCACTCCTAGTTAGAAGCCACTATTCAATACTCAGTCAGCAATTTAGACTGGTAATGAATGCTTTATTCTTTTTCTTTTCAGTTTAAATTTCCAGTTCTGTCCTTCCTCCAGAGTTTATGGATTTACAGCTGTGGATCTCAAACCTCGAGGTGAAGATGAGGTAAAGGTTTTGTTTCAATGATTAGACTTTGATAGCTTTATCTTGAAGGGGGAGATAGACAGTCTCTCTCTCTCTCTCTTAGTAGTCTCTTCTCTTATAGTATCTTGAACAATATCACATGCATTAAGAAATACCTGAAACTCTTTGACAAGCATAGTAATATCTAATTTCCTTTTTTTCTTTGTAGATGATTACAATGGACAATGCGGAGGAATATGTGGATCTGATGTTTGACTTCTGCATGCAGACTGGTATTCAGAAACAGATGGAAGCTTTTAGAGGTAATTTTAATTATCACAACAAGACTCTTTTGGACATTTTTTGGACATTAACTACAGTAAAGGAACTGAATACATTAAAATTTTTTCTCATTTGTGGTTCTCTTTTTACCAAAAACTCCTTAGTGTGACTTGTTAATATTTGGGTTCTCTCTCTACCTCTTTCTTTATAACACTATTTTTTGGTGAGATGGAGCTAAATCATAGGGACTCATTGGCAAGGCAGTGGGCTTGTTAACAGTTGGTGAAGGATGATGTGGCTAATTTTTCTTGTGATGAGTATTGCCTTTTTTTAAAAATTTTTTTTCAGATCTTATTAATTTATTTTTAGTTTTCAACATCCACTTCCTCAAGATTTTGAATTCCAAATCTTCTCTCCATCTTGTCCCTCCCCCCACCCCAAGATGGCATGCATTCTGAATACCCCTTCCCCTGATATGCCCTCCCTTCTATCTCTCCCCTCTTCTCTTATCCCATTCCCCTTCTGTTTTCCAGTAGGGCAGGATATATGTCTATAACCCATTGCTTGTATATCTTATTTTCCAGTTGCATGTGAAAACAATTTTTAACATTTGTTTTTAAAATTTTGGGTTCCAAATTTTCTTCCTTTCTCCCTCCCCACTCACCCTCATTGAGAAGGCAAGCAACTCGATACAAGTTATACAGGTGTAGTCATTCAAAACACTTCCATAGTAGTTGTGTTGTGAAAAACTAACTATATTTCCCTTTGTCCTGTTCCACCCCCATTTATTCTATTCCCTCTTTTGAACCTGTCCCTCCTTAGAAGTGTTTGCTTCAGATTATCCCCTCCCCCAATCTGCCCTCTCCTCTATCATCCCACTGCTCTCTTACCCCTCCCCCCCATTTTCCTGTAGGGTAAGATAGATTTCCATACCCAATTGAGTGTGTATGTTATTCCCTCCTTAAGCCAAATCTGATGAGAATAAGACTTATTCATTCCCTCTCACCTTCCCGTTTCCCCTCCACTGTTAAGAGCCTTTTCTGTTTTTTTGTGAGATAACTTACCCCATTCTACCTTTCCCTTTCTCCTTCTCCCAGTATAATCCTCTCTCACCCCTTAATTTTATTCTCCAGATAGCACCCCTTCATCTTTTGTTTTTTTTTATTTTTTTTTAGCACCCCTTCGTATTCAACTCACCTTGTGCCCTCTATCTTTACTCTATCTATCTATCTAAATATCTATATACATACATACGTATAATTTTTTTCCCTCCAACTATCCTAATACTGACAAAGGTCTCATGAGTTACAAATATCATCTTTCCATGTGCTGCCTGATTTTTTGCAAGTTTCCCCATAGAGGGTAGTCCTATCTCCTGTCTAGTAGACCACCCAAAAAAAGGAGATGATGAGACTTGAAGGGAACTAGGAAGAGGCTGTTAGAATCTTGAGGGGTTCTGCTTCCTACTCCCCTGACTGCTCATTGGAAGTTAGCTGCTAAACTCTCAACATAGAGTTTAATAACTGCATTGTTATTCATCTTTAAAATGGACAGCATACCTATATTCTACCTAGTCAGCTATGGGTTAGGCACTGTGCTAAGTATTGGGAATACATAAAAAGTTGCGAGACAGTCCCCTCAGTCCCTGTCCTTACAATATAATGGGGGAAGAGAACACATAAAAAGGAGCTGAAAAGTGGGAAGGAGGACGGGGGAAGTTAATTAGCTCAGGAGCATGATGAAGTCCTGCAGCTGGAGTAGGAAGTGATCTGAGGATATGTGAGTTCGAGTTTATTAATCTTTCAGAATGATAAGTCTCTGAAGACCACGAAATTCAGGGGGTTCAGCTGGGTGGCAGCTTAATATTGTCAAGATGAGTAAAGTAATATATTTTATTTCTTCCGGCAAAGGTGCTAGAGCAAGTGATATTTATCAACTACCTATGCTTAGAAAATGTATGACTGGATTGTACAGCGGTTATGCACTCATTATTGCTAGTTCTCGCCTGGCTTGGCTGAGGAGGATTATCTACATCGATAATGTATTCCATGTGGGTGCCTCTTCCTAGTTGAAGTTTGTGGCAGTAATTTAGCAGAGAAATTTTACACAATTGAACTCAATTTTTTATTCATAACTATTTCCGTGGTGCTTTTAATGTTTTAATAGTATATTCTTCATTTGGTTATCATGAGTTATTATAATTTAAAACTGTTTTGAAATCAGAATTTAGAAATAGAGTTTTCATCCTTAGTGATTTTTTTTTTAATTTGTATGTATATGAAGATGGATTTAATAAAGTCTTCCCAATGGAGAAGCTGAGTTCCTTCAGCCATGAAGAAGTCCAGATGATTCTTTGTGGAAATCAGTCACCATCCTGGGCTGCTGAAGATATTATCAATTATACTGAACCCAAGCTAGGCTATACACGTGATAGGTATGTGCAAAAGAATTAGGACCAACAGAGGAGATTTGCATCATAATGTCTATAATGTACATGGAGTAAAAGTGTTTCTTAAATGACATCTGGTTACCATTAAGTCCTTTTCAAACTGTAGAAACAAGTTTTATTACAAATTCCATTTTCATTATTAGTTGTAAAAGAAAAAAGATTGAGAGAAAAGGAGAAAAATGTATTTTTCTGTAAATTGTCACTTTATTATAGAGCTGACTTTTCCATTTGAAATTTCCTATGGCATGAATTGTTGTTCCTAGAGGTATTAAAATCATTTATACAAAAATTCTATTAATGTAAACTAACCCATTTCAAACCCCTATCATCATTATTCTCTACCCCCTTCCTCTCCTTGAGAAAATTACACGCAATCCAGATACAAAGGAATTTTGAAGAGATTATCATAAACTTTTACTAACTTACTGTGTACTAATAATGTCAGTTTAGCAGATAAGAGAAATATGGTTATTACTGGGTTTTGTTTTGTTTTTTTAAATTAACGGTCTCATGGAAATAGTTTAACATTATACATTGATGGGGTGGGAAGGAACCTTGCTTTTTCACAGCTAAGAGCAAACTTCATTTATCTTTTAAAGAGCCAGGATTTCTGCTTTCAAAAATAATTCAAACCAGTATCATATTGTGAGCCTACTTCATTGTACATGTTCTCTGTACTATATGTAAGGAGGATGTCAAGACAACTGTTCCTTGCTTTCAGTACTGATGTTTAAGGGAATGTTTTGGGGTGAAGTTATTTTATATTACATAGTCTTTGGATTATTCCTTTTTTTGTTGTTTTTATCCTTAATTCTTTATTAGTTGCTAAAGTCCCACTTGTGCTCCTAAATAACTCTGACTTTGTGAAAGTCACTTAATCTTTGAGATTTTCATTTCCTCACTTGTAAAATCATTTCAGTCAACAAGTACTTATTTAGTGCATTTGTTGTTCGTTCATTCGGTTATGTCTGACTCTTAACGACCCCATGGACCACAGCGCGACAGGTCCTGCTGTCCTCCAGTGTCTCCCGAAGTCTGTCCAGCTTCACGTTTGTTGCTTCCATAACACTATCCATCTCATCCTCTGCCATGCCCTTTTCTCATTTTGCCTTCAAGGCAGTGATCTAGGAGGGGTATTTGCTGCATATTGTGTGCCAGGTATTTTGCTAGGCTCTAGGGATGCAAGTAAAAATAATGAAGCACAGTCCTTATTTGTTAATTCTTAAGCTTATTCTAACAGGGAAGACAACAAGTACATAAAAAATATATACAGCATAAATATGAATGTCAAAAATATTTACGAAGTAGTTAAATACAAGATAGTTTAGGAGGGAGAGCACTAGCTTAGGAGGGAGTGCATTCCAGGCACGGGGGACAGCTATTGTGCAAAGACATAGAGATAGGAGATATGGAGTCTTGTGTGAGGAACAAAGAGAAGGCAGGTCTGGCTGGGTTACAGAGTGTAGAAGGGGAAGTAATGTCCAGTGAGGCTGGAAAAGATAGTTGAGTTGTGGCTTGGTCATATATGGCTTTAAAAACTAAACAAAGGAATTTTATGTTATCCCAGAGGCTATAATAGGAAGCGACTGGAGTTGATTAAGTAGTGAAACCATACAGTCAGATCTGTGTTTTAGAAACATTATTTTGGGAGCAGTACCTAGGATGGACTAGAGGAGAAGACTTGAGGCAAGGAGGCCATCAAGGACTTGACCTAACTTGGTAGCTCTTTCTGGAGAGGAAGGGTTGAATGCTAGAGATGTTATCGAGGTAGAAATAGCAAGATTTGGCAATTAATTGGATATGTGGGCTGAGGAGGAGTGAGAAGTCCTAGGATCATGCTGAGACTGTAGGCTTGGTAGGTTGGAAAGAGAAGTTGGGAAAGATAGTTCAGTTTTGGACATAGTGAGTTTAAGATGTGTCTGGGACATCCAGTTTGAAATGTCCAATAGGCAGCTGGTGAGGTGGGACTAAAGTTCATGGGAGAAACTGGGGTTGGATATAGATGATTTTTAAACCCAGATGAGTGATTAAGTTACCAAAGGGAGGGGAGAAGAGAAGACGGTCTAGGAATCAAACTTTAGTGAACGCTCACAGTTAGGAGCAAATCAGGAGAGATTAGCGTCGTAAGAACCCACAGAAAAGAGAGTATCCAGGAGGAGGTGAGGCTGGTCAACAGTGTCAAATGTAGCAAATAGGCTGAGGATCAGTACTGAGAAAAAACTCACCAGATTTGGCATTTAAGAGATCATCGCTAAGTTTGGAAGGAACAATTTTAGTTGAGTGATGAGGTTGGAAGCCACGATGGAAACAAAGTGTCAATCATAGAAGAGTACATGGAAGCAACAACTGCACATAAATTTTTCTAGGGGTCTGGCTGAGGAAGGAGGAAGAGATATAGTATAGAGGAAATGGTAGGATCTAGTGAAGGGTTTTTTAAGGATGTAGGAAACCTGGGAATATTTTAAAACAGTAGGGAAGGACTGGCAGGGAGAATTGTTTGAAGGGTTGAGTTGAGATGCAGTATCCTGGAGAAGATAGGAGGGATATAGGATCAAGTACATTTATTAAAAGGTTTGTCTTTGGCAAGGGAAAGAGCCACCTTTTTGTCAGACTGAGGGAAAGGAGGAGAGAGTGGAAGATTATGTAAAGGGGCTTTGAGATGATGAACATGAAAGAAGAGGAGCTCACATATTGTGCCAGAAAGTAAGAAGCAAGGTCCTTAGAGGGCAGAGGAGGAGGTGGTGTGGAGGCCTTAAGGCGGGAATAGAAAGTTTGGAATATCTTAGGACCAAGATAGGGAATCAATTAATAAAGAATAAAAGGACTGTTTTGATAAAAGGAGGACCCAATGGAGTCTGGATAACATGAATTTTTAGTGTATCTAGTTGGACACTATTATTTTTTGGATTCTACTATATGTGCAAATTATGTGACTGATAATGACCATTAGCACTATTTTCTGCATTTTCTTAAAAGTATTTCATTTACAACATGATCTGTGCTATTTTGATTTATCACACCTGTCTTCTGGCTGATAGGGGAGTGATTGGTATTAATGTCATCATTCTGTTTTAAAGCTGAAAACCTGAGGAAGCATGTAGACACATGGATAGCACAAATCATGAAAAAACCTCAGTGGCAAAAATGGATTAGAATGTAGACCACCTCAAGTCATTAGTTGCTTAGCACACTGAGTAATGAGGTCTCCAGATGTACATTCAAAACTTGCTCCATGGTGCACCCATTTTTGCAAATACTCCCTGCCCCAGAGAACCCTCCCTTGTAACAAATAAGTACAGTCACAGTAGCTAAAAAAATTGCCTCATTCTGCTAAAAAGTGGTGGCATGCCACTTTTAGTTCTTTGAAGTCTGCCTAAATTGACTTTTAGTGACCTTACTTTAAGTAAGTTCTCACAAGACAGAGCTTAGCTCATCATATGGTAGGATATAGAGCTGGAAGAGAACTCAGAGAGACCACAAGATCATAGATTGGGGCTGGAAGGGAGCTCAGAGGCCTTCTAGTCCAGCCTGCTCCTTTTACAGATTTTGAAACGGAGGCCCTCAGAGGGTAAGTGACTTGCCCAAGCTTGTACAGGGTAGTAAGTATCCAGGGTGGGATTTGAACCCAGGTCCTTGAACTCTAGAGCCAGTGCTAATCAAGCTTCTTTATAAGCAGTTATTTAAAGTTTTACCATTTTGTCTTCCCCATGATCAGCTTGTGGTGTAGTGTTTAGTCTGTAGTGTAATGTAGAAGGAGTCCAGAATTTTGTGCTGTAGAGGATTTTGGAAGGCTTTCTAGGAAAGTCCCTTGAATGTGGGAGAGATGACTTATTTTCTTGACTTCTCATCTGCTTTTTAAAAAGTCATTAGAGTGATTGTTTTGACTTGAAAATAATTGCATTTGCCATATGATGGTGCTTGACCAAAATCAGTTTGTAGAATATGATATTTGCTAAATGTACTCAGTGTAGGGCATTTAGTTAGTTTCTGTGACTTTTAAACTTTTTGTTTTGTTTGTTTAGCCCGGGTTTCCTGCGGTTTGTGAGGGTTTTGTGTGGTATGTCATCAGATGAAAGGAAAGCATTCCTGCAGTTCACCACTGGCTGCTCAACTCTGCCCCCCGGTGGACTGGCTAACCTTCATCCCCGTCTTACTGTTGTACGCAAGGTACAGACTCTCTTTGGAGGGGGCTCCAAATGAAATGTTAGCATTGAGTGACTGAAAAAACTACTAGCAACTTAGCAGATCAGTCATGATCTTTGGTTTTCTTTTCATTTCTGTAGGTTGATGCTACGGATGCAAGTTACCCATCAGTAAATACATGTGTGCATTACCTTAAGTTGCCTGAATATTCCTCTGAGGAGATTATGAGAGAACGCCTACTAGCTGCTACTATGGAGAAAGGCTTTCATCTCAATTGAACTATGGAGTGCAATGAAAGACATCCAAGACTTTTTTGATAATAATGAAGCCTCTTGTGTTTGTGTGCAGAACAGTGTATGACCTTCACGCCATGCTCTGATGACACTTGCCTTTTTTTTCCACCTTTGAGGCTTAGAAACTTGTGGAATAAGTTTTTTAGCTGCTAAAGACAAAATGAATCCCTTTTAAATACCCAGCCAGCTGGTAAATAGCACAGAACACTGTGATGCTTCAAGGGCTTACGTGACTGGAATAAGGTGGTCCTGTTTGATTGTTCCAAAGAGCAGCTCCTCAAATCTTCAGTGTTCACTGAAAAATTTCTAACAGTGTATTTGTGTAAAATTTGTCATTTCATGCCCTGTACACTACAGTTGCCATCACTGATCCCTATTTTGCTGGCTTTTAAGCTATTTGGTCAAAAAACCTGCTTCCTTAAAACTTAGAGAGTTAATGGGCATCTCAAGCTTTTTCTTTCCCTTTTTAATGATGCCTGCACTATCAGAGTATTCTAGTGTTCTCTCTTTTGTTTGGCATATAATCATGCACAACCTTTTTATTTCTTTGAAGTGGGAGTATATTTTTATTTCCTAATGCCCTGCTATAAAGATCAAATTCTTAAGTGTGTTTGTGCAGCTCAACAATAAAGCTATATTAAAAAAAATAAAAATAAAAATAAAAAACACTGGTTCTAGGTGCAAGGCACACTTAAAGCAAGTTCTGCTTTTGGTTGTATTTTCTTTGTATATTATAAACATTTATTTAACTTGTTGCAGTTTGAAGTAAAAAAAATTCCAATGTGTATGCTCAACAATAATCATTAAAATGTTTGCAGCGTACAAATTTGTGTCATGTGACTAATTCACTGCCACTCGTCAAACTTTGAGCTTGACCAGATTATCTTTTATTCTTACTGTCAGGTTTCATTTTATAAAATTATTACATGAAAAATATTTTTCTAGAGTAAATTCACTTACTGAAGTTGAAATGTAAAATTTATGTTCCTTAGCTTGTGTTCATTTCAAATAATGTATTCAGTGTTAGCATTAAATTAGCAAGAAACAATCATGTTATTTGTATTAACTTTTTAAAAACCAAATTTATTACCCTTGTGTCTACAGAAACATGAAAGTCTTAAGTTCTTATTTAGGTGATCTTCAGAAAGCTGTGTTAGAATGAAGAGACCTCTTCCACTGCATTTCCCTAGTCTTGAAAACAGGACTGAATATCTTCAGTTTGCAATTTCTAAACTCTTGAGACTAGATAGGATCTGCTTATGCAGTCAATATTACTAGCCTTGACTTATGCATGTGATGAAATTGCACATTTACCTATATAGCAGGTGCATTTCCTTTCTGTAGTAGCTGACTGGTCTTCTTAAAGTTAAACTTAAAGATTTGGGAACTACCATATTCAGTTGCTACGTGAGAATGTTGTGACTGTGCTATTGAAGTCAGCATTTAAAAATGCATTTCACCTCATTGTCAATCTCATAGTTTTTGGTGAGAATTAAGGTTGAAATGAAAACATAAGAGCAATATTGAAATGTATGATCTTTGCTTTAATCCAAAAAATACTGGTGGTGTTAACTGTCTTGATAAGGTCATGAGTGCATGACTAAAACTTTGTACTAGTATTTGGATGAAAATACATTTTATATGTTGGGAGTATTGCCATTATTTAAATTTAAATAATTGTGAAGAGATAACTTTCAGTGAATCTTTTCAGAGACTTATTCTAAAAAATTATTATATCTAGAATAATGATTAATTTTGTAAAATCAGCCTGGATGTTACAGTATTTGACAGGATAATCAGAAATTACCTGAACACTTACAGAAATGTTTGATTTTTTTTATGTACCTTGTTGCTTTGGTGGGTAGTTCATACCTTGTGATTTGGTTGTGTGTGTGTGTGTGTGTGTGTGTGTGTGTGTGTGTTGCTCAAGTAAGCTGCTCTGCCTGAATTTAACAGGATTTAATTGCTGGAAGAAACTTTTAAGAGAAGAATGCTAAGGCCCAGAAATGTCATGATTTGTCCACAGTCACATAGGTAGTAAGTAGTAGTTTATTTCAGGGTCTTCTGTTCCTATACTGTCTTACAACGAAGGTAAACTTGTTGCTGCCAGAGAACAGCAGACGAGCTCCGTGTGTGGAACCAGTACGAAGAGGGGCAGAGGCGGTGATACCTGATGCTTGACTTGAGTTTGAGCCTGGAAACTATCTAGTACTAAGTGGAGACAGCACTATCCGTTTCTTTAAAAAATAAGTATTTTATTGATGCTTAAATATTACACACACTTTCAATGTCTCCCTTCTTCCATAGAAGCCTCCCTTATAAAAAAAGAAGCATCTTTAAGCAAAACAAACATAATGGCTCTGCTGAGAGAGATGAAATGAACTGCCTAAGGTCACACAGCTAGTAAATGGCAAGACTTGGGATATTTTAACCTTCCTACTTTTTACTCTCAATCCAGAGCCCTTTCCACTGCCATAGCTTGTTCCTAGACTTTCCTATTACTGATTAGTTTAGGTCAATGGTCATTTTAAAAAACAAACCAGAAAAAAGTCAATGAGCCACACTGTGAGTTTCTTCAATTTTTCAAATGTGTGATTTTTCAATTCAAAATTCCATAAAGATAACTAGTAGATGTGAGGCTCCCTAAGTAGGATTTCTTCAGTGATACCTGTGTAGCATTTTTTTTAAAGTCATCAAGCTCACAAGGTTCTAAAAATCTGTGCTAAGATGTAAGACAACTACTATTTTGGTATGACCCAGAAATTAATTTTGTACATTCCCTTGGTGCCAAGTCTTGGTGTACTAGTTCCAGTAATTCCCTGACATACGCTACTAATGAAGTGCCTACCAAGTAGGACAGTGTTTTCTACCTTGTATGTCTCAAAGACCTCGTTCCAGCCTGGGCTTCCCCATTGCCCTAGGTCTCTTTATAATACTGCTGCCAATGGTCACTTCTGCTCATACATCCTGCATTCCTCCTTTCAATGTATCTTCTAGTTTTTCCAGGATTTGCCTTAGAAGGCTGACCAGTAGCTGCTTCTGTCTCTCATTTAGTTAGATCCTAGCTTTACTTATACAAATTCTTAAGTGAGTAAAAGTATTCTAGGAAATAACTAAATTTGGAGCAAGTGAATTAGGAAGCAATTAATAATAAAAGCAATAATAACAGTATTTGGTGTGTTGTCAAATCTCAGTAAACTTGTTCATTTGACTTGGGAAAATGGGGCTGTTAGAAAATGGGGAAGGAGACCTGCATTCCACAAGGTGGCAGAATATCTTTATCTATCCTTCACCCCAAGCACACAAATAGTGCATGTTCTAGTAATAGTGCTTTGTTTGGAGATATGGACTATGTCAGACAGGGGGAAGATGGGAGGTCTCTACATCTTTCATTTAAATATGAGATTTTATACACACACACACACACATATATTTTGCATTGTTCTAAAATTAAATGATAGGGAAAATTGTTTTGATCTTTTAAAATGTGGTATAAATGGGTAGTTGAAAACTTATTTTGATTCTAATTATCCATTACTTGATAAATGTACAAATTTGATGATGTTTAAATTGCTATATAGCCCTCAAAATTTTTTTAATTACAAAATGGCAAATGTAATCAGATTAAATTTTGAAAAGTTTATTTAGAAGATATACTCAAATTTAAAAGAAGAAAATTTATCAAATTTTATCCAAAAAAAGACAAGAAAAATCTTAAATAGGAAAACAACATGATCTTCAATTATTTATGCAGTTTTTCAAGCCAATTTTCAAATTTCATTGGCTGACAAATATCAAGCTTCCCTGTCACCTCATCCTGCCATTCCTTGATTTGATTTGTGAAATTCAACTGACTGCCCAGATTCTTCATTTAACAAAATTTAAGAAGTGTGAAATATGCTTAGGATTACAGTTGGTAAGATCCCCACCTATTAATTTACTTAATAATTCCCATTGCATATCACATTTTGAAGATACCTATTTGGAAATCCCCAAGTCCCTAAGCCATCCTTTTGGCACTGGACCCCAATTTGCTGTAACATGAAGCCTTGTGAATTCTCTGGGGGTACAGCTGCAGGGGGTGTTCTGTGCCTCTGGCATTTCCTGTGAATCAGTGCCACCAGGACATGGCTTCTTTATTCAGCTTTCTGCCATTTTGTCAAGAATCAGGAGAGGAGCGAGGATTCTAGCCTTGTTAGTTTCCACAATGCAGCCATTCAGCACCATTTCATCCAAAATGATGTGCACTTTATCCAAGTTAAACATTATCTGGGAGAAGGTCAAGTTAAGGATCTTTTGCTTAGAGAGCTTCACTTAAGGAACAATTAAGTTCTGGGCTTAGGGGCAGGAAAAATTTTCCATGTCCAAACTATTACAAGCATTATATTAACATCGCCTCAAACACAACCCTAGAATTAGACTAGACATTTCTAATAATAATGAAAAGTTTTCACTTCTCGTGTCTACATGAATGTGATGAGTTTGTCCAATTTTTCTTGGTCTGATTGGTAGAAATAATACTAAGAAACTAAATAAAATTAAGGTCCATCATGGTTTACAAAGGTAATCTTTGTGTTTCCTTATAAAATATATGATAGTACATTTTTTAGAGTATCTGAGTTTTTTTATGAGAAGAGGTGGTAAAATATTAAATAGATGAAATCTGCTTTTACTAAAACTAAATTTATCATAAAAAGGTCTAGTTTATCCAGCATAGCAAATGAAATGGTGTCTTAAAGGAAAGAGCATAAATGAATGCATTGCTTTACCTCGGACTACTCTTTGTTGTATATAAAAAAAATATGAAACTTACAATATGCCTGAGCCTCAAAAACTTACCAGGAAAGATCCTGTTGTTCTTCCTTTTCTAGCTCTTCAGTAAACTTATTGGTACACCTGAGCAAATAGACAAATAAACACCCTTTGGCTTCTCCCCGTCCCCCATCCCCACCCCATATTTGTGCATCTGGACAAATGAGAATCTGTGATTCTCAAATTTTGGGTTGTTTTCCAGATTGAACTCTTGAGATTTTTTTTTTCCTCCTCTTTTGGTCCCAATGCCTCATTTGCAGAAATAACTGATAAGGCATATTTGATGTCCTCTTCCGTCTTACATTTTCACTTCCTTTCTCTAATGAGTAAAAAGGAAAGACCCTTTTGGGACAGAAGAGAAGCCTTCTTTAAGGAAAACAGAATAAGTTTGGTAGGTGGGAACATGCTTAACTTATCTAAAGATAAGCCAAGACCCTGAATTGAAAGTAGCACTTCAAAGTGAAAGGTTAAGATCTCCATTTTACATACACTGGACTTGAAGTGTAAATTTCATTTCACACATTTTTTCCTCTTTAAAAAAAATTTTGCTTTAGAATTCCTGAAGGAATACAAATATATACACAGAATGAAAGAAGATGATCAGAAAACAGAGCCTAACCAGAAATATAAAAGAATGTTCTTTTCCTCAGGTGACAGCAAAAAGCACTGAGAGTACTTTTGAGAAAGTTTTAGAAAACTGAGTAGAAATGCCTACCAGGAAGTTTTTTTGGGGGGAGATTGAAGGAATCATTGCAACTTCCCTTCACAGCCAAAGTTCTTAGAAAAGTTATCTATTATCTAACAGCTCTTCAACAGGAATATCTCTTAAAGGTAACCAATCAATGTCCTCTAATCCAATAGTCTTTTTTCCAGTAATCTTCATCCTCCTTGATCTCTCTGTAGGTCCTGACACTGTTCATCACCCCTCTCTTCTAGATACCACACTCTCAAGGGTCTCATTTCTCCAACTGTTCTCTTTCTGTCTCTGGTAGCTCATGCCTCTCCTCCCCAATTCCTTAAAGTCAATTTCAATCTCTCAAAGTTCTGTCCTTGATCCCCAACTATACTCTTTGCTGTGGGAATCTCATTAACTCCTCTGACTATAGTGATCATAGTTGTAGAGCTACATGGGACCTGGAGTGGAGAGGTTGTGACTTGCCCAAAATAAGCTTCCAGTGTGGAATCTGAACTCAGATCATCTATCTCCAAAGTACTCCAGATGCTTTTCCCACTATACCATACCGACTTCCTCTTTTAAGGAGAGATATCTATGTCTCTAGACCAGAATTCTTAGCACTACCTGACATTTTACCCATTATGTCCCAACATTCCTAAAACCAAGCTTTGTCATCTTTGCCTCAAAATTCTTTCTGATTCTACGATTTTTATCAATGGCATTATTCATTAACTCAGCCTCCTATATCAAAACCATAAGGTTTTCTCCTTTACCTCATATCCAATCACCACATCGTGTGGAATCTATCTCCACAATCTTTCTTAGATCTCTCTCCTCTACTGTATTTCCACTGCTACCTTCATTACTATTTGCCTAGACACTTAATATAGCTTCCTGACAAGTCTTGCTTCTACTCTCTTCCCTCTTGAAGCCATCTTTGATGCTGACACTATCTTTCTTAAACAATACATAGATCTGATCATGTCATTCCTCCAATTGAGGCTCCTGCCTGCCATATAATGGTCAAACTCCTTATTGTTGTTCATTCTTTAAAGTCATGTCTGACTCTCTGTGACCCCATTTGGGATTTTCTTGGCAAAGATACTGGTGTGGTTTGCTGTTTCCTTCTCTAGCTCATTTTATAGATGAGGAAACTGAGGCAAACAGGGTTAAGTGATTTGCCCAAGTCACACAGCTAGTGTCTCAGGCTGTATTTGAACTCAGGAAGATGGGTCTTCTTGGACTTCAGACCTGGTACTCTATCCACTGCACCACCCAGCTGCCCCAAATGTAGTGCAGTCACATAGAAATAAGACGGAAAGATAAGGTAGCAATAGACTGCAAAGGACCTGATTTTGAATGTACCAGTTTCCTCATTCATAAAATAAGCTAGAGAAGGAAATGGCAAACCACTCCCAGTATCTTTGCTGAGGAAACCTCAAATTGGGTCATGAAGAGTCAGACACAACTGAAATGACTAAGCAACAGTGACTATGTATATACCATGCTCTAGTCAAACTGGACTACTTGGCACTCCTAGTACCTACCCTACATTTTCCTATTTCTGCCCTTGTTTACCACTTCCTGTTAATTCACTGGAGAAGGAAATGGCAAACCACTCCAGTATCTTTGCCAAGAAATCCCCACAGAGAGCACTGATGTACTATGGTCCATGAGGTCACAAAGAGTCAGCCATGACAAATGCCTGGAATACCTTCCCTCCCACCCACCTTTAGCCATCTGAATTCCTTTAAAGCCCAAATCAAAAGCTACAGCTTTTCCAGGAGATCCTAATATACAGTTGACAAGGGCCTTCCTTCCCTGCCCCATTCTTTGGATCTCATATAGCCCTTTGTGCCTTTCTTATGCACTTAATTACCATGTATTATTTTTATAAGTTACTTGTGTATGTACCATAGGATCAACTAGACTCCTAAGAAGAGGGGTCATTTCATACTGAAATTTTCTGTCTCCTTCAGCATTTACCCCAGCGGTCTCCCTGTAAGAACGAGCTTCTTGCCAAATGAGACTTTAAAATCCAGCAGGTTAGACCAGGATATGTTTTAATAAGTTATTAAGCTTCATTCAAATAATCTTCTATCAGAATAAACTATTCTTCAGGAACCCATGGGAAACGTCCTTATGTGGCCCAGAAAAGAAACACTGCTCAAAGATGGCATATTAATAACGCTTTCCATTTATATAGATCATCACTGCGTTCTACAACCAGGTAATTGTCAAACTGGAACTGGACTAGAATCTTAGTCCCCTGACTCAGCCTTGCCCACCAGGCCACTGTTGCCAGGACACAGAAGCCTGAAAAGGTTTTGACAAAGTGAGGTAGAAATGGACAGCACAAGAAGTTAAGTGAAGAGAGACCTTGGGAGAAATGATCTTGCTACATTCAGTAAACAACTTAGAAATGTCAACCAGCTGCTTCAGTCAGCACCTTTACAAGATTCTGCTCATCTCCAGTGATTTTCAGGTAGACAAAAGAATATCCCAGGGTTAGTTCAAGGACCAGACTAGTCTGCAGATTGTTCTATCTAGCCTAAGAAGTTGATCTGCAATTCTGATGTACCTTCTGGCCACTGGCCAACTGTTTTTAAACAGATGAGATTTGTTGTCATGCTAGACATTGGCATCACCCCACTGGGGGAGGGCCACAGTCCTCAGGCAACCGTCATTTCTCAACACCCTGGAAATTCAAGATTCAAGTCACCTCAGGAATGAGGAAATTCTGAACCTATGACTGTAGGCACAGGAATGGCAGCCTATCTGCTTTGGCTTTGGCTCAAAATCTCAAAAAGCGTTCTGATCTCTGGCAACCAACTAAAGATCTAAAGAAGGGTTGATCAAATTTATCTTTTGTTTTCTATTCTGAGAACCCAGATGTCTGTGACTGACGCAAAGGCCTGAAGGCTAATATTTTTTCTAGTATCTAGATGCACATAGCTCTCTGAAAAACAGACCCTGGGTATTCATTAATTTTAAAACTTCTAGGGCTTTCAGTTGGTCCTATTTCTATGGCACTATCAACAATGGTGTTGCCCAGAGTTCCAGTACAGAGGCTATATGCCAGGTGAGTAAGGGCTAGATGGGTATCCCATGGGCCCATGACAACCAACACAGGAAAAGAGAAGACTTTTCTGCCCTGCACTTTATTGAGAAGCTAACAAGCTAGCAGTAGACACATGATATATTTTGTTTCCTCAAAGGAAAAGTTTTTTTTTCTGTGTGCAGAGGACTGAGGATTGATGATATTTTGATGGGCAAATATTCATAAACTCCTTCCACCAACATAGATCATAATCCCTCCATAGTTTATGAGCTCTTGCCAATAGTCAAAGCCTTCCAGAGCAAAGTGATCCACTGGTATAACCTTTGAGAACCCCAAGTCATTTCCATACCATGATGGAGCACTGGAATAGAACTTCAGTGCAGGAGGCATCAATCAGCTAGTCCACAAACATTTATTAAGGAGCTACTACCTGCCAGGTACTATGCTGGGCAGTGGTGATACCAAGACAAAAAATTAATCCCTAAAGGAGCCTTTTAATCTATCTACACACAAACATATGCAATGTAAACATAAGTCCATATAAAATAAACATACAAGATAACTTTGGTCCAGAGGTACTAGCACCCTGGGAAAGTGATAGTATTTGAGCTAAGCTTCAAAAGAAACTAGGAGTTCTAAGAGGCAGTAGTGAGAAGGGAGTGCAGTGCATTCTGGACATGAGGGAGAGCCTGTGGAAAGGCTCTGACTGCACTAAAGAGAAAGGGCAAGAAAGCCAGTTTGGCTTGACAAAAGAGGGCACTGAAAAGGCAGGCAGGAGCCGGGTGGGGAAGGGTTTCAGATGCCAAGCACAAGAGTTTGTATCTGGTCCTATGGTAACAGGGAGCCATTAAAGATTGTGGAGTAATGTCAACAACTGACTGGTCAGACCAATGCTTTAGGAACATCACTTAGGCCTGATAAAAACTGCCCAAATAGTACTCAAAAGCCTGGAATGTTTGGTAAAAAGCATATGAAAAGGTCCTGAGAAGGGGAAGTAGTCACAGACATCTCAGTGAGTGTATCTCAGACACAGACTCAAGGTGGAAACTGTCTCCTCCCTGAAACAAGAATTCCCTCTACAGTATCCCACCCTTTCCGTGACAGGGCACTCATTGTTTCCAGAAGAAGCCCATTTAATTTTGAAATAGCTCAAACTGTTAAGAAGATCTCCCCTGAAGGAAGCTGAAATCAGCCTCCTTGTAACATTCATAACTTGGTACGAGTTCTGCTCTACATTGTTAGCCACTGTCAGTCAAACATCACAGCCTTCCAGATATTTGAAAACACACCGAAAACTGCTATCACATTACTGTTATCACCCAAATGTTAAGTTATGTACTTACATGGGTTAGACTGGTTTTCAAAGTGACCTCTTATTTTACTTCCAAGTGATAAACAGAATTTTTTAAAGTATGAAATTAACTTGAAAGTCAACCTGCTTCCATAGCATCCAAACAAAGTCTGCTTCTAGGCTCCTGCCAAATATCAATGTGCCTGAAAGATTTCTGTGCAAATGATACTTCTTTTTAGGAGTCTTTGCAGCTTTGATTTAAAGAAGGAGATCAAGGAAAAAAAGAAGAAAAGGCAATTAGCTCTGGTTGCTATCAAAGGCAATGATGACAAGGAGGACAGTCTTTCTAACCTTTTATCTTGTCTGGACTGTATCATTATTGATGGTCTTGGTCTTACTAAACACCGTATTGGAGATCAAATGAAATACTAAATGTAAAGCATTTTGCAAACCCTAAAGCACTATGTAAATGTGGGCTATTATTATTAGTTTTATATTGGGATTCCCTGTAAATCCAGTTGCTCCAAGAGAACTGGATATGTCCTCTAAATTTTGCACACAACCCCAGTCATTCTAGATCAGGGATTCTTGTCCCTTTTTTTGTGCTTTGAACCCCTTTGGCAATTTAGTGAAACATATGGACCCCTTCTCAGAATAAGATTTTTAAGTGCATAAAATAAAATACATAGGATTGTATATCGTATAAAGGGAAAAATTATATTGGAATAAGGTTATTAAGATATTTTAAAAATTTATAGACACCAGGTTAAAAATCTCTATTATATGCTTATTAGAGGTTAAATCAATAAATAATAGTGATATACAAATGAACACTTTGTGTAGAAATCAAGCCAGTAATACTTTTTTTGCTTTGTGTGAGAGAGAGGGATTCTGTCCATCTCTGAGAATCTAGCTATGACAAGTAACACTTACCTGCTCAGGTAATCATAGGAGATGCTTTGCACGGTAGAGTGTGAACAGGCACATAGTACTGAAAAGGATACATCTAGTTCACTCTGAAAAAGATTAAAACAAAATAAGGGAGAAGATAGGAGAGAGAACAGTATTGCTACATATAGACACTGACCAAGAAGGGCTTCTGAGCAGAGAATGCTCCAGGGACTCCAGGACCCCAGGGAGTCCTGACTTTGAGGCTTTCCTGAGAATAGGTTGTCCTGAGGAATTCTAAGACAGAACAATTCATCTTATAGACTGGGAGAAAGTTATATAATATTCAAGAGAAATAAGATTTTTAAGTTAGAAAAATCACTGGCTGGGTCCCGGCATACCCCAGGGAAAATGATGTTTCCTCAACAGCAAGCCTGTTGAAAGCTAGTTGAGGCTTATCTCAGTTTTCTAAAATTTTGATTCTGAGAAGTTTCTTCCAGCACAAACCTGATCTCTGTATTGAAGAGTTGGAAATTCAGTAAGATCAAAAATAGGCTTAGCAAGAATGTTCATAACTCCTAAATCTAAAAATAAATGTCTGATGACAAGATGTCCTGCTTCAGTGGGACAGATGTTATTTTCTTTCCCACAGAATTTTTTGCTCTTCTCTTTCTGTTATTATCATCTTCACTGGGGTATATATTGGGATTATACAAGTACTGTCCAGTTACTTCTTCTGTGCTAAATCTCCATTCTTTACTTTTGTGGTTTATGTGGTCATTATATCTCTCTGTGGAATTATAGCCCTAATTCAACAACCTGTTATTTTACTCTCTCTGTCACAGAATAATAAAAAATAAACAAGAAAACAAATAAATAGACTGAAGGCAGGGTACTGCTCATTTTTCCTTTTGATTCCTCCAAATCTATGTCTTTGCCATTTTAGGTAAGGCTACTTCTTTTTGAGACAAAACCTTTATGTTGTTACAAAATGTCAGCTCTGAGCTCATAAGCTTAATTTTCGTTTGGAATCACATCTAAACAAATTTGGTTCCTTGAATTACATTTGACAGGGTCTAATGCAAGAGTCCTCGATATGCAATACAAGATGAATTTTTTCTATCTAGTCTTTAGGATCTCCTAGACGAATTTACTGTTCCCTAAAGGCTCTACTCTTGGGGGCTCACCATATTTATGCCTAATTTGGTTCAGACACTCTGTTGGCATAACACAGGGCAACTCAGAAATCCCAAGCTTAGCTTCTTCAAGAGAACGGGTTACAGGTATGTGTGCCTGACTTGCTTCTACCTTTCAAGAGAACTGTTACCATTCTTTCCTAAGTCAGGCTAATAAAATAATTGGTAGCTGGAGTTGAAAGGGATCTCAGGATGTCCAGTCTTAACATAAATCATGAATGCTGTCTACACCTGGACATTCAGCATCTGCTTGAAGATCCCCAGTGATGGAAACTCACAACCCTTTATGGCAAGTCATTCAATTCTCAGACCTTTGTAGTTATTAAGAAATGTTTTCATAGACTGAGCCCCGATCTGCTTCTCTGTCATTTCCAATGAGCAGTCTTGGTTCTGCACTCTGGAATCAGAACAAGGCTAACCACTCTTCCTCATAAGAATCCTTCATTTATTTAAAGATAGCTATTGTGTTCCTCCCAAATATTTCCTTCTCCTCTGCCTCCTAAGTCCTTTCTACCTTAGGTCAGCTCTGATCATTAGGAATTTTTTTTAACCAGGTTTAAATTTGCTTCTTTGGAATGTCTACCCATGTGGTGTTTGTAGTCCCACCCACTGAGGCCAAGCATCAACATGTTTAATCTCTTTCATGAGAGACAGTACTTCCTGTACGTGAAAACACTATCATGTCCCTCCTAAATCATCTCTTCTGCAAAAATATCCCCACTTCTTTCAGCTCATTCTCATGTGGCACAATGTTGAGGTCCTTTGGTGTTCTGCTTGAGTCTCTAGATTCTCTTGAACAAATCAACATCCTCCATAAAATGTGGTACTGGAGACTGAACAGAGTTCTCCACACGGCATCTACCCAGGGCAGATACAAAAAGTATCTCGTTCCTCATCCTGGATGTTCTGTCTAATCATTCTAAGTTTGCCTTGTTGTTTTTGGTTGCGCTATCCCACTGTCCACAGGATGATCGGATCATAGACATAGACCCTGAGGTTCAGGGAAAGAACCTCAGAGGCGGGCTGATCCCAGAGAAGTTTAGTGACTTGCTCAAAGTCACAAAGGTCATTTTATACATTTTAATTAAAAAAACAACACACAAAACAATTTCTCTCCTGCTACTACTCCCAACCTCTCCACTGGGGAAAAGCAAAACAATTCCTCACACTGGCTATGTTCAAAAATGTGTGTCTCGTTCCACACCTTGGATCCACTACCAGATGGTCTGCCAGAATGACACACAGGTAGTTAAGGTAGAGAGTCAAGATTTGAACCCAAGTCCTCTGACTCCAAATCCAGTGCTTTTTTCCATTACCATGCTCCCTCTCTCAGGATTTTAAATCATACTGAGCTTGCAGTCCATTAAAATACCCAGGGTTTTTTGGGGTTTTTTTTAGGTGAAGTGTTGCTTAGCCATCCCCCCACCATTTTATATTTGTAATGCTGATTTTTTTTAATTCATGTGTAAGGCTTCACATTTATCTCTTATATTTCATAATATAAGAATTGACCCAACATTCTAGCCTATTGAAATACTGCATCCTGGGTGGCACAGTGGATAGAGCACTGGCCCTGGATTCAGGAGGACAAGAATTCAAATCCAGCCTCAGACACATAACACTACTAGGTGTGACTCTGGGCAAGTCACTTAACCCCACTGCCTAGCCAAAAAAAAAAGAAAGAAAGAAAGAAAGAAATACTATATCCTGTAATCCAGAGAGTTAGCTATTCTTCTAAGATTTGTATCATTTTCAGATTTCATAAGAATGTCACCCAAGGCACTGATTTAAAAAATTAAACCAAAAAGGATAAAACAGAGATCACTAATGTACTCTACTAAAGAACTCCTTTCAAGTTAATATTAAATGATTAATAATTTACTTTTGGAGTCCAGTTATTCAACTAGTCCTGAATTCACTTAGTTATCAGGCCCACATACCTTCATAATAGCACGAGAGGCATTGTCAAATGCATTGCTAAAATCCAGGTAAAGATCTCACACCTACCAGATTGGCTAATATGACAGAAAAGGAACATGATAAATGTTGGAGAAGATGTGGGAAAATTGGAACATGACTGCATTTTTGATGGAGTTGTGAACTGATCCAACCAATCTGGAGAGCAATTTGGAACTATGCCCAAAGGGCTTATAAAACTGTGCATACTCTTTGATCCAGCAATATGACTCCCAGATCTATATTCCAAAGAGAGCATAAAAAAGGGAAAAGGATCCACATGTACAAAGATATTTATAGCAACTCTTTTTGTAGTGACAAAGAATTGGAAATTGAGGGGATGCCTATCCATTGGGGAATGGCTGAACAAGTTGTGGTATATGAATGTAATGGAATACTATTGTGCTATAAGAAATGATGAGCAAGCAGACTTCAGAAAAACCTGGAAAGACTTCTATGAACTGATGCAGAATGAAATGAGCAGGACCAGGAGAACACTGTGCACAGTAACAGCCACATTGTGGGATGACTGACTGTGATAGACTGAGCTCCTCTTAGCAATGCAAGGAACTAAGGCAGCTCCAGAAGCCTGACGATAGAAGACACTGCCCACATCTAGACAAAGCACTCTGGGGTCTGAGTGCAGGCGGAAGCGTGCCATTTGCTCTCCTTTTCTTTGGTTGTTCTATTTTGTTCCTTCTTTCTCGTGGTTCATCCCATTAGTTCTAATTCTTCTTTCGATCATAACTAATGTGAATGTTTAATATGAATGCATAAGTAAGGCCTATATCAGATTGCACACCATCTTGGGGAGGGGAGAAAACTTAAAACTCAAAATCCTATGGAAGTGAATGTTGAAAATGAAAAATAAATTTTAAAGAAGTAAAAAGTGAAATAAAAAATTGAAGTTGGTCAATGAGATTCCTGTGCACTACATTAGTCTCTATGGACAATGTCCTAGTTTCCTCCCCAGAATTGTTTCTGTATCTTCAGAATTCTAATTCTTTAGAGTTTTTCCAAAGGTCCTAGGAGGACTGACTGCTGTTCTAGAATTTTTAACCATTGGATCCAATCCATTCTTCCTCTGAACCTTCTGAAATGTGCTCCCCAAAAATCTAGGACGCATTTCATACTATGCCTAGCTTTTTTCTTCACAATAGTTTTTTCACTTTCCAAGGTTTCCATCACTTCTGTTCTAACAATCAGTTTTCCCCTGTTGAGAATCAGGACCAGAATAGAATTTCCCCTTTTTTATTCCTCTACTAGCTGAAGAATGAATTTATGGTTGAAGCAAATCAAGAAATTATCTTCTCTGCTTCTGGCAAAGGCTCTAGCAAAAGCCTGGGTAATGGAGGTCCCTGGGCTCATGATGTATTCCAAACTCCTCGTCTACTTCCTCTTGACATCCAAATGCTCTGTACAGTCTGTGGTGCATTCCAAGGACAGCGTCACTACTGTTCCTGTCTCTGCTGATCTTTACCCAAATGCTCCCAACCATGCCTCCACCTCTGCTTCCTAAATTTTCTCACCCAAGTATTTTCCTATGGTGTTGCTCAGCTTCACTACCTTTTGCCTATTTGTTTTACTCTAAATAAATTATATCCTTCCAGAATCAGGCATCTTACTCTTATTCTTAAGAACTCAGCTGTCTCCTAGAGGGAATTTATTTTGGCTCTCAAACCATGGCTTTGGATAGAGAAAGTCCTTAAAGGTAAAAGGCTTTAAGACCATAAGGATAATGCAGCTTTTAAATCATAAAGGTAATGTGGCAAAGGGGAATGATATATTATTCCTATCAGACAGAGAAGTCATTTTAAATTAAAGTATGGTAAGTTTCAAACCTTTTCATTCTGTGATATACTATATGGGATGGACAGTCTGTGGAGAGAATATAGGATTTATTCTTACTCAGGATATTATTACATTAACGAAGACTCTCCCTTGATTATAACTCCAAATGTTCCTTGTCATGTTTACTTATAACTCTGAAGATCACAGGATTTCATTGAGAAGAGTGGTCCTGTTTTTAAAGCACTCCAAATAGAAGAGGATATCAATTTCTTAGATGTAATTCTGTTAGAAAGATCTCAGCCAAACATAAGTTTCCTTGGGTGAACTATAGTAAAGAAGAGAAATTGGGCACCTTTTCATTCTTAAACTGCTGAACTGCTATGTTTACAACTAATTCAAAACTCAAAAGGACCAAGGCCTTTTCTGGACAATTGGGCAGATGAAGGCAACTATTTCTTTTGCTATGAGACTTACCACTCGGCTGAAATACATGTCCAAAACTTCCACAAAATTATGGATGAATTCATATACAGCCATTTCATTCTGAAATGAAAAAGAAAGCTGATAGATGGTGCTGTTAAATTGAATATGGAGTGAAACACAGAGTAAATTCGTGTGTGTGTGTGTGTGTGTGTGTGTGTGTGTGTGTGTGTGATTCATTCTAAAGTCATTTCTTTTCAGTACCCTAATACAGGCAGGACTCAGAGTCTAATGATTAGAACATGAAAGTGAGGAGTGCTGAGCTCACTTTGAACTACCTGATTTTAGTGCTTCAGATAACTCACCTGGAGGATAATCTCTGTCACCTGCAAGCCAACTCTCACAGTTGCAGCAAACTGATGAAAAATAAGACTTTCCTAGATGCCTGCTCTCTCCCTCTCCCAACCCTATCTTGAACCCAAAATCAGGAAAGGGGATTGATGCCATTTAGGGTACAAAAGTCAAGACAAGACAGGAATGTGACTCTGCTGTCTTGAGCGTGCTTAGTTGCTTAAGGCTTCGCCACATGTCTAGGCTTGAAGAGAACACCTTAAGCTGCCCATCACCTAATGCAGATGATATTTCAGTTATCTTCCTCCACATACCTTTTGTTTTCTAACACAAATCAAGTCTTTAAATAATCGTGAGAAACTTCAGTGGAAATTAGGAAAGAGAAATGCCAGTTTAGCAAAAACAGGCTTAATACTCCAAATTCTCTTGCATTTTTCATAGACCTTTCTATTTTCTTACCTCAGTTTCATTGATTCCAACCACGATGAAAAGAGCTGCATACTGCCGGTATATGAGTTTAAAATCTTTATACTCGATAAAAGAGCACTAGATAGAAACAAATTTAAATATCAGATCCCAAGCTGAGAGATTTCTTCACAAGACTGTGCCTATTTCCCACTTAATTTGTGAGTGTCTGTCAATACACTCCCAGAAATACAGAACATACCAAGGATTAGCCAATCTTTGTTTCACCCTTCTCTTTGCAACCTTCAAGGGACTATTTTGGACACTTTCCAGGGGGAGGTAAATAAGTGGCCTAGGGGAAAGAAAAGTGAGTCTACCTCCACAGGGACCCATCTATACAGGCTTTTTTTCCCTTGTGTCTTGGCTTGCCTCCATGGGGAACAGAGAAGATGTATTTAATGAATAATCTGTACATGAGCGACAGCTTTGCTCATGCTGACTCCAATGTGAAAATGACTGATCTAACAAGGAAGGAAAGGTTTTTTTATTCTTTATGTTTCCCCCAAGTTTCATGGAAAAGAACTAAGGACTTAAAGTTTCAGAAAGTGCTTATAAGTCATCAAAGAGCTCCATATGTGAAATTTATACATCAAGCAGAAATCTTGATTTTTTTCCAGGTAGGTAAAAGAGAGAGGTATTTATCCCTTCTATAAATTATTTAAAGATGGCTTTTGTGGGCAGATGCTAGACAAAATCTTCTACTCTAAACATAGCTTCATATGAATAAATAACTACTCTCCCATCACTATCATATGAAAAAATACCTCTCCTTTTATTTGCTTGTCTACTAAAGCCATTGTAAGGAGAAAAAGAGAAGAACCTATGATGACAGACATCCAAGGGAGAGGCAGCGGTAAGGATCCCAGTACTCTCCCTTTGGAATTTAGGGTATGTTTGACCAAACTCAGGCTGAGAAAGCCCTTTCTGGCTCTTAGCAGTAAGATGATGTGTTACTCTCAAGGGGCCAGATGCACCTGTGGAATAAAACTGCAAGTTTTCATTATGAAAGGTCTGTAGCTGGAGATTCATCTAAATAGTTTTGGGATGGGGGCTGGGAGAATGGACATTTGCTTCTGGCTTTTTGAATCTGAAAAAAGGTGATACACATAGTTGTCTGACTGTGGAGCCAGTACCACCTCTACACACAGCTGGGTTCTTCAAATAAAGACAACCCATTTGTGAGAATCAGACATCTTTCTGAAATCCCTAAGGAGTTACTGGCATAAAAAGCGCAGAGAACCTCTGCAGATAGAGGAGAGAAACCTGGCACTCACCCATCCCAAAAAAACTCACCAGGTTTCCAAGAGGCAAGATAATGTCTAAAATAATTTTGAATGCTTCAAAAATTGCACAGCCACACATTCCTGAGCTCATATTCTAAAGGCCAGTTTGAAATAACGCTGTAATTTGCTGAGTGCTGGCTTTCTGTAAAGAGGTTTAACTATGACTGCTTCTCCTAGTCTGTTTATGCTCACTTGTATTTCTATGGCTCTTAAAATAGCCCTTGTACAATCAACCCTGTTTTCTTCTGACTAGGTATGTCTGAGAACGTGAAATTGGATGTACCATGGGCAAGTCACAGCAGTGACTTGGAAAGGACTTCTGATATGGTAGGGCTGGAAAATAAACTTAGATGCCAACTAGGGGAAACAGTTTCAATATATGAGATGTCAATACTTACACAAATTAATTTTTTTATATTCATCTCAGTAATAGCTCATATTCTCAGTCTATGTTTGCTTAAGAATAAAATGGGGAACCGTGGCATTGGCAGAGATAATCCAAAGAAGCTTCCTATTTCTGCCTCAATTTTCCAGATATTTCAGAAGAAAAAAAGGAGTTGGGAGTCTGCCTCTATCGGAGAATTGTCTAAATTCTTCATTTCACTTACTTTGCATATATAAACAGAGAATTAGGTATGAGTTTGATTTTTTTTTTTTACATATAGCATCATTATCTAGTAGAGAGTATTGAACCTAGAGCAAGAGGACCTGAATCTTAATCCCAGATCCACCATTCAATTCCTACCTGAGTGACCTTGGGCAAGTCCCTTAACCACTCTAGGTCTCAGTTTCATCATTTGTAAAATGACGGAGTAGGCTAGATAACCTCTAAAGTCCTTTCTGGATCAAAGCTACTAACCCATGAACCCTCACTCTTGAAGGGTTGGTAGGGTTATTTACTCATGAGTTTTTTCTCCCTTTTATTCACTTAAAAATAAAAGAAATCCCAAGTTCAAATGAATGTTTTGGCAGTAGCAGAAGTTATATGAAATCTTCCAGTTTCATTTTAATTTTAGAGACCCATTCACCATAAGGTGGGCAAATAACAAAAAGAATATAAATGAAGAGAATGTCACGTAACAAGCACAAAATGGGCCAAAGGGATTTCACTTCCATTCTAGTCATTTGAAAACTGTTTCTTGGCTTCATAAAAAAAAACTGTATCCTCAGGGAACTAACGAGACTCATAAGGAATGGTTTCTGTATTAACCCCAAAAAGGGTGACACATCTATTAACATTTTGGGGTAGGAGGAAGGCATTGGAGTTGCCATTTCCAGTGAGTGCATTGTTTGCTGTATATGGACCATGCAAGGAGTTGGTAGAGAAAGGAGCTATGTTGGGGGCTCAAACTATTTCTGGTGGTGGGCATTTGTTTTGAGGTAGGAAAGCAATACCTACTGAGAAGAAAAAAAGATAGATTAAAGAAAATTATGTCCTTCAAAATCTCATAATAATATGTCTGCCAAAGCTGCCTTATTGAGATAAAAGAGAACCACAGAAACTTACTTGTTCTTTGGACCGTGATAAGCATGTTTTGATGACATCTGCTTCCAGAAGGGTTCTCTTATTGATTTCCACATGTTCATAGTATCTAGAAAGTCTGGTCTGTCCCTGTTTATTCACCATGAGGAAAAATTTTATCATTTTTCCTGGGTAGTATTTAATGTTGCTATAGCACAGAAATATCAGCTGTAACTGGAACAGTATACCTGAAAGGAAAAAGACAGTATTAAAGATAATCGAATTTAATAGACATTTACTAAGTGCCTACTATATGCAAGGCACTCTGGTAGGTGTGAGTATGCAAGAACAAATTTTTAAAACACCAAATTTCCAAAAGACTCCCATTATATTTTCTAGTTATTTGAGGTGACTAAGTTCAATGGAGTTCAGTTCAGTTGTTTTTGGTTTTTGTCTGCCTTCGTGACCTCATTTGGAGTTTTTTTTGGCAGATATTGAAGTGGTTTGCCATTTCCTTCTCCAGTTTATTTTACATTTGAGGAACTAAGGCAAACAGGTCACTCAGCTAGTCAGTGTCTGAGGTCAGATTTGAACTCAGAAAGATGAGTTTTCCCGTCTCTAGGCCTGGTGCTCTATCCACTGTGCTACCTAGCTCTAGCCCCCTAGGTAAATAAAATACTCTCTAAATAAAATCTTTACTCCTTGAGGTAAATGAACTTTTTTTCCCCCAGAAATATTTTTCCCACCTCATGACTTAATAAAAAAAAAAGTTATACTACGTAATTAACTCCCTACAAAAGTTCTTTTCCTGATGTCTCCCTAAAATGCTCAAATAGGGGCAGCTAGGTGGCGCAGTGGATAGAGAACTGGCCCTGGATTCAGGAGGACCGGAGTTCAAATCCTTCCTCAGACACATAACACTTACCAGCTGTGTGACCCTAGGCAAGTCACTTAACCCCATTGCCTAACCAAAAAAAAAAAAAAAGCTCAAATGACCCCAAAGGCTATACCAGCAAAATTTAAGTGCCAGGAAATTCTGTCAAGCTGGAAGTGCTTCAAGTACGGTTCCCATGACAGACTATATTTGCTGTCTGAGGGCTAGCCTATGTAATTACAGAGAAGATCCTTACCAGTAGGTTGGCTACAAGACAATGAGGTATTTGGTCCAAGTAACCCTTAAAACAAAGAAAACTTTTTTAAAAGGCTCAGTTTTCTGTGGTCTTCTACTCTTTCAGTGACTGTGGTTGAAGAGAAAAATATTGGGCAGAAGGCTGAATATGCTACATATGTGCATACCTAATCACATATACATATGAAATGCTGTTTATTAAAGCATGAGTTCCTTGTTCAAGCCCCAACAAGTTAACAAATCACTCTGGATGGTTGGGCCAAACCACCACCATCACTTAGATCACTACTTCCCCTACAGAGGATACAGCCCAGACTCTACACCTGAGAACTGGAAGAACAGCAGCCCCCCAGGCCAACAGCTCTGCTCCTAAGCTTCTTCTCACAGCCATTATGTGGGGGAACATTCCTATGGAGACCTGATCCCACAACTGCTTCTGCAGGTGTTGCAGCCACTGCTTCCCTCAGTAGTCACAGCAACTGAAGATGTGGAAAATAAAGTTCTTGCCACTGGAGTCTTTGAAATGATCAAATGATTCAAAATTGAAATGGATGTAGCTATCAATGGAAATGACACTAAAGGGGTAGCTAGCTGGCGCAGCGTATAGAGCACCGGCCCTGAAGTCAGGAGGACCTGAGTTCAAATCCAGTCTCAGACCAAACACTTGACACTAGCTGTGTGACTCTGGGCAAGTCACTTAACCCCAACTGCCTTTAAAAAAAAAAAGACACTAAAGAAATATATTCTTAGTAGTCTTGCCACTGTACCCGAAGGACCATGGGGCTGTTCTATCTGCCCCTCCATCTAAACTCTTTTATAAATGTTATTTTCCCCTATTACAGGAGTTCTTGACCTGGGGTCTATGAACTTTAAAAAATTATAACTTTAATTCAATATATTTAGCTTCATTTAAAATTCTATGTATTTTATTTTATGCATCTAAAAACATTATTCTGAGAAAAGGTCCATAGGCTTCATCAGACAACCTTTCTGAAAGGGGTTCATGACACAATAAATGGTTGAAGAACCTCTGCCCTGTTAGCATGTGAGCTTCTTAGAATGTGACTGTCTTGTTTTTCTTTCTGTATCCTCAGAGTTTAGCAGAAGTCTTGGCACTGGTGTTTAATAAATTCTGGTTTATTCATTCATTCATTCATTCATTCCTCATTCAATGGAGTAATTGAACTATGTCAATACCGACCCTCTCACTATAAGCAAAAAGACCAGCATGCATATAATAGACTATGTGGCAACATCAATTGCAGAGGATGAAGACGTAATGAAATTCTGTGAAGAACTTGACAAGATCTTCCAAACCAAGTCAGCATATACACTAATGTTCAGGGAACTTAATGAGAAAATGGTCAGAGGGGATAAAGTATGATGGGAAATATGTTGGAAAATATGGTTTGAGATTAAGAAATGAACAAGGATAAAAGTTAGTGAAATACTCATAACTCTATGCCATAGATAGTTGTTTCCAAGAGAGACTGAAAGGTGTTGGATATGGTGAGCACCAAATAATGTTGCAAAACTGACTATATCATAACAGATAGGAAATATCTAATTACTAATGTGGAAGTCATTTTCTATTTTGCATATATTTGCATATTTGTGTGCTAGGGCTGTTGGCTAGTTAGAACAAAGATAAAAATCAAAAATAATCTAGAAGAAAAAAGAAGGAAGGTCATTAATTACAACAGTTCTGACGGCCAATTTGTCTAGAATGAAAAGTGGGAAATGGATATAAGCAAAGACATTGACTTTAACTGTCACCATTTCCTAGAGAAGTTTAACTATTTTATAGCTATAACCAAAACAAGGAGGTGCACAATGTCCAGAAACCACCTCTGCCAGCAAACACCTATACTTCTTGTCATGCAGATGCTACAATTACAAAAGCAAAACTGATCTTATTTGCAAAATTCATTTGCAAAATATCATGGAGGTAGAACAAACCCAATACAGAAGAGCAAAGGGTCACCAAGGAAAAATGAGTCTGTATAAAGTTTCACAATATTCCAGTAAGCCAGATAATCCCAAGAATGTTTATGAACAATTTGGAAGAACAAAGAATAGATGAAAAAATGGAACAGACCTGCCAATATTTCTATAACAACCTATTTTTGTTACTGATGTCTCCACATTCAGACTCAAAAAAACTCATTTCCCAATGTATTGCACAAGATATGGAAGTGATGTCAAGAAAATGAAACTGATGATAGCTGAATAAGACTAAGCATATAAAGAAGATATTTGTACTGGAGGTGACACAGTTTTGAAACTATTGATTTCCAAAATATCAAAAAGAGGTGAATATGTCAAATAATTCTTAAAAATTGTAGATGGTATTATTACAATAAAAAGCATGATGGAGAAAGGACATCAGCAACTACTGACCCATGTGACTACTTTATCATTTATACTACTTTATAACTTTTACAAGAATAATTGACATATATGTAGAGAACATCCTTGAATGATAATGTAATTGATGATAGGTCACTTTTTAAGTTCTGCAGTATAATTTAAATACATTATTTCATTAATTCTCACCCAACCCTAAGAAGTGGGTGGTATTTGCTTGTGCAGACAGTTCTCTACAGCAGACCAGATCTTCCCAGTAACTTAACTGATGGAAAGATTTAGACAATGGAAAAACTTGTGTTTACCGCTTTTCTCATTACTTCAATGTAGTTAACTTGGTAGGGCAAAATTCAGCCTTAAGGGGTCTCCTCCAACAGTGGTCACCTACATCTATGTTCAGATCACACAAAACTCCTTGGCAGAATAGCAGACATATTTTTGTATAATGATCTTCTGATTATTGTTATCAAAGTGGCACAAAACTGTGAAACATATGCCTGCCAAAGGGATTCTCTTTAGGTGATGCATGTCTTTCAAATGTTCCCTTTTGATGTTGACTGCAAAGCCTAGAATACCACAGGCACCCTGTCCTGGGATCCCTGACTACTCAAAAGTGATTAACTTAATAATTCAAACCAGTCCAATAGAAGTAAAAAGACCTATTATCCATCCAGTTATGACACACAGTTAACATGAGAAATTCATTAAGCTTGTGCAGTAGTACATATATCTTGGATAGATCTGGACCCAAAACAGAACAGAAAGAAGAGAATTCAACTGGGTTATCTTTAGGAAATTGCTCAGAGCTTTCAATGAACCAAGGTTGTTCCTGGATAGAAGAATCCATCTTTTTGACACTATCATTCTTCCAGTGATGCTGTCTGGCTGTGACTCAGGGAATATCACAATCTGCAAAGAACCAAAACTGTGTGGGCAAAGGGAAGTGGAGAGATACTGTGGACGTAACTAAGCTGTAGCATATTCCCAAAGAGGAAGTCGCACATGATACAATTTTTAAATGTCCTGCAAGAAGTATTGTAAAAGATACCATCCAAATGTTTGTATCCCTAGCATCTAGCACAGTGCCTGGCACATGGTAAGAGCTTAGTAAAATGCAGGTTGATTGATTAACTCTTCTGGAAGTAATGCTTTATTAGCATAATTAGTCCAATGAAATATAAACCAATCCAATAAACATTTATTGTCATGCAATTACTATGTGCCAGGCATCAGATGGAGCCCTGGGGAAACAAAGTGAAAAACAGGTTCTGCCTTCAATAAGTTTATAAGATGGTAGCTGTATATCACAGAGTATAAGTCTCTGGTCACACAGACCAATTGATTTTTCTGTATTAAAAAATTCAGACTTGCTTTATGGGTCTGCCCTTGTCTTACTGCTGCTCTCAACAACTACAACCAATGGCCAACAGCCTGTCCTACCAGATGCTTAAGGAATGGTTAATGGGTAAATCTCACTTTAGCCTCAGTTCCCACCTAGGGTAGGTAAGTTACTTCTATTTGCCTCAGTTTCCTCGCCTTTAAAATGAAGATAATATTGACCCAGCAACACCACTTCTAGGTCTGTATCCCAAAGAGATCATACAAACAGGAAAAACTCCCACATGTACAAAAATATTTATAGCAGCTCTTTTTGTGGTGACAAAGAATTGGAAATTGAGAGGATGCCCATCAATTGGGTAATGGCTGAACAAACTGTGGCATATGAATGTAATGGCATACGATTGTGCTATA